TTTTTGTGCCTACATCACTTCAGTCTCAGTGTATAAAGAAATACTAAAATTAAGTTCCCTCAAAGATCTACTGAATTAAATAAGTAATGACGATTCAAAGCATCAAATATAAAATCTGCGAGAAAATACACTAAGATGAAATCCATCATCGTAAATAACTTTCATGAAAAAACTAACTTATTGACAGGAATTCTAATAATAGAAACATAATCATGAAGAATTATATGTCAGTAAGAGAAGCAGTAAAAACAAAATCAAACGTTTTCAGTATTTGAAAGTGATGAAGCGATAAATTAAGTTGAAGCCAAAAAGAATTTATAGTTCAACTACTATTTAAACACATCGCATCTGATCATGATAAGTATTGAAAACGTTTATATGATGTTGACAAAAAATAGATTAATTTCTTCATTGTTTTAACGTTATTATCAATGGATATACTATATTATCTGATCGTTCATTTCCTGTTAGAAGTTTTCAATAAACAATTGAACGTGGAAATTCAATTATTAATAAAAGTGACTGAATAAATTTATTTCCCATAAAAATAATTCCAGATATTCATTTCAGCCATGAAGAGTTTCGACAAATTACACTATATATTTATTTGGCGTAAACTGATGTCATTGATGTTGAACTTCACAAAAGTGTTTTGATATTATTATGACAGCACTAAGACGCCTCGTTCAACACACTAATTATTTTGCAATTCAGCACGAAGTATCATAATGAAACAATCTCCGATTTGTAACACTACTAGTGAATTTCATTCAATCAAGATACGGTAGTCGAATCAAATCAAATAATTTATTGTGTAACATATTAATGTACACAAGTTTTGTTAGGGAACAATCTTTCGCTCGGTTCATCAGTTAAATTATAAAATAACAAACGAATAAATTTAAGGTTGCAATGAAACAAACCTTATAAAAAACAGGAAGTTAGAGGCAAGAAGAGGAGAATTCAGAGGGCAAACATGATGAAACAGGACATGAGATAACAAGCAGTGTGACACTTAATTTAGCGGATATTGTGATGATGAAATAAGAGGGTGGATGAAAAAAACCTATAAACAAAAAAATCGTGTGTTTAGATTGTTTTTTTATTTTTTTTTTGAAAACACCTGTAATGTATGTGGGAAACAAGTGAGTTTAGTGTTGTGATATTAACGGGCAACAAGAATCAACTTATCAGATATAAGAGATTGAAAATTAATCAAACCTGTATCTGTATATCGCTCTTGGCAAAGTAAACTAGCAGAGTAATTGCATGAATTTCTCGAAAGGCCGTCGATTTTGGAACCGACCGGACTTACGCAACAATTTATTTGACTAGTCATTTGTTTGGTCAATTCATTGTTCATCGACAGTTTGGAGTCCATTTATTTTTAGGGTGCAGACAAATGGTGTGTATGGTATTTTTACTCTTAATTTACTAGGTATTTCTGAAATCAACACACTTCGTTCGTACAGTACATGGTTTATTGATCATAATTATTCCAGTTCATCTACTGTGTAGACTCTGTGATGGAAAACAGAGTGAAGATTATTCGAACGACATAGCTTGTTTTCTATGCATAATGAACGATGAGCTCTCCAAAAAATAATATACGTTCAACAAAACATGTAGTACTGTTTCGTTGACAATCTTCCATATTTGGGAGAGACCGACTACTTAAACAACTTTCTGCAAGTAGTAGCGAAATGAGCGTAGAGTTCGCTTCTTTTTGTTTTGTGAAAGCAAACATCAGAACAGTTGACTAACTTTCCAAAAGAATACTTAAGATCTTGTGTAATGAAGATTGTTTTATCTGTGCTTTTATTATTGATGATTGCAAACTTTGTTGGGTAGAACTGAACTATGTATGGTTTGCTTTCGCACTATTCACATATACTCGGTGTATGCTTTTTTCTAGATTATCTCTTCACAGTTATTAGCTGTAATCTACTAACTTCATCGATGTTATGATATACACGTGTCTTATTCAGGGACATCATTTGAATGTTCCTGTGATTTATCTCGACCGTCATTCGGCACATATTGCATCCTGGTGTTGACACTTTAAGTAATCGAATTCTCAGCTGAATAGTGTGATTGTTCATTCCAGATACTACAGAAAGATCGTTATTTCTTACATCAGAGTGAGGAATGCTTTATCGGGAAAACTGGTTTCGATGTGTACTTGTTGGGCTGTATGCGTACAAATATCGTGACCATTAATTTGAGTCAATCGGTTCGCAGATCTAATCAATGAAAATATGTTATTTATGCTTTCTTACTATTTTGTCATATAATATATTTGGATCGACCCATGATACATGTCTTGTATGGACATTGTTTACAACGATTCTTGAAGTGATCAGTTCTTTATTATTTCGCTATGAAAGAAAACTGAAAACAACGCTTGGTTTGTTATTTAACACTTTCGAGTTTTTAGAAGAAAGTTGTAATCAAGTAGTTGTTTATATCATTCACGAACAATGACGTCAGTGGTGAAGACTAGCTGCTAATTTATTCCCCGAATTACAACTACGTTTCGCATTTTTACTGTCTATTTGTGCTTGTCAAAGCACCAACTTTCTAAAATCTTATATTGAAATCAATTTACGGCATTTTATTTGGTCGCATTTTACTTTCTTTTACAAACTAGTCATGAATTCCATGTAAACGTTATTGATATTTCAACTTAAATTACAATTTTCTGTGTTCTTGATATTCTCCTTCATGTATACTCACAGTAATCAATGTCATCAGCTGCGGAGAGCAAACTGAAATATTTCTTCTCACATAAAGAACAGTCGTGTATGTTCAATTCTATGTATATCTATATTAAACGGGATTTTTAACGAAGATGAATATTGTCAGTGCAAGACAGGGGTAAATCTTCATAATCAGCTTTATTTATTATTATTTGAATTCACAATAGTATCAAACCAACTGAGTTCTTGATGGAGTTTCGTTCTTTGAGTTGGATGTTTTGGTTGTGGAGTTACTAGGAGTTCCTTCACTTGGAGAAAAGCATTAAAATTAATTATTTATTCCTACTGATTTAACATACTTATCATTCAAACATTCGTGCAAACGCGTGTGAAATGTTAGAGTATCAGCTATGTTGTGAGTTGAAATGCTGTGAGAATCAGCAGCAAAATTACATCCATACTTGGAAATAGTAGAAAATCCAACTAAGCTACGATTACATCAAATAAGGTTTATAAATCCTATGAAAGAATATGTATAGAGTCACAGCTTTCCAAGTAATTGTTTAACGCATTCGAACTAATTTAGCTGAAAATAAGTTCAGTAAACTGAATATGTTACCTTTTAATTCTTCATCAGCACAAACTTCAAATTAAAGTGAGCTATGTGAATTTATAAACAAGAAACTAGCAGCTTAATACACGAAACGAAGTTTAGTCGTTAGTTGTTTACGCTAGTTTTTTCATCTCCCTACAAAGTTTCTGACTGATCTGTAAACGGAATTCATTTCTGTTGACTTATGACTGATAATAGTATTACGCATCTACAAATTCTCTAGTCAAATGTAGTATGGTTTCTAAAGATGAAACTGCCGAGCTGATCGGGTTTTAATACTTCGATTAGTCAGTAACCTCCCAAGATATCTTAAAATCAGCATATTATGGTGATTAATATAAGAAACCACAAATTTACAGAACTGTATACTCGTTTCAACAAGAAAGATTAGAACTAGATCACGACAACCGAACTTATTATTTATTTATTATTATTTATTTTTATTATCTGAGTTACTTGGAATACAGTACAAGACACCATGCAATTTCATTTTAATTCAAATAAGACCTGTACAATACGACTGCGGATTATTATAACTACAATATAGTTAATGAATGTACTGATATCAATGTAATCCTAACTCAATACAATTATGGAAAGGTCAAATTATGGTGTTCATTTAATATAACTACAACTTCAGTCCATTTTGATGTTTATCTACTCTACTGTGATTTCATTCATTCAGTAACTTTGAATGTGGTGCTCTTGTTGTCTCCTTACAAAGTTAAATTATTTCAAAGACGATTTGCGATAACTGCCACCACAACTAGCAATAATAGATTTATTTGCTTAAAAAGATATTAATTACATTCTCTCTCTACATGCGCTGGCGCTGACCTTCAAAATTGATTCTGTGTTAAGTTTGGGTGCGAAAAGATCACGAACAACAAAGTTGATCCAATATTTACCTGTACATTTTGAATCCTCACAGAAATTACATATCAGACTTTAGCAAATTAAACTCTCATTACTCTAGAACGAACTTATTTCCGAAATCCAAAGGCCTGAAAGTCATGGATTAACATTCAAATTATTATCGTTATTTATTGTTTAGGCACGTAGTCGTTAGTATAAAGGATGACCTAAATATTTATGCACCACACAAATCAATGAATCTGAGTGTGGGCTGGGACTGTCCACGTACCCAAACCGAAAAATGTGGTCTCCTTAGAGGGTCACTCTACGAGCCTTTGACCTAGAGATTTGGTCCATAAGGAAGTACATCAACTTTGCGATATGCTGGCGATCAACAAAAGGAGCCCGTGTGTACCACTGGTTTAGAACAAGGGTATTCCTACTCTCTTTTATATGGATCCTTCCGTACCACAAACACAGTTTAAGTAATGGACGTTTACTCAACCTTCCAAACAACACCGTAGGCGCGAGGGTGAATAGAAATTCCTCGGTATTGGCTAATAAGAGTATTTCGAGAGAGCAGACTCGCTCCACTCTTCGTTAGGGACGAAGTCATGAGTCGGATCGGACAAATCCTTAGTCTGAACCACTATGAGTAAATAAAAAGGTTACTCAAAAATCAAAACATAATAACAATACTTTAATGGTTCAATAATCTTTACCACGTAGACGAGTTTTTCCCTGAAACCACCTAAACACATCTGCCTTGCGTTTTAGATAAGTCCATTCATAAATGTGTTTAGTGTCGAGTGGTTATTTTCAATTTTCTAATTATTATTATTCAAGCAGAAACTTATAAATATAAGGTGTAATTACTTGTAAAGAATGTAGGTGCTAAAATCCAATGAATACCTATTGAAAACTTTACGTTTTATAACAATATCCTCTTTTAAACCAATTAATTTGTCGAATAATGAACAGGATAATCACATTACAGAAAAAAAATAAAATATTACGGAGATTTCACAATATTAATAGTGCATAAAAGAAAGTTTCATTACTAGTGAAAAAGTTTGGCAGTCAACACAATCAGAGTTTTTGAGAGTTGCTAACTGATAATGAAGGGAATTCTAATTGGATTCAAATTAAAACCAATGTGTCAGAAAAAAATCGACCAGTCAACCATTAATTGACTGAGAGAAACAGTCAGTTATACATGATCATGACTCCAGTGGGAATGTTGAAATATTGATTGTACGTATACCTATTCAAATAAAAAACTTCTGATCCGAAGTAAACTTAAACACGATGAATAAACATGAGATTTTGACATAATCAAATCAAATATACTCCAACGTTCAAAGTAACATGACATTAAAAAAATTTGCACATCGAGTTCGTTTGTTACCACTGCCGAAACGATATAAAATATTAGAATCACAAGAAATTAAAACATCCAGCTGGTCGGGAATTATTAACAAGCCAAATAAGAAGAAACAACGGAGGCACTGTGGCAATTTTAGTAAACAGTCTTGAGTGCACACAACATTTTATATAAATAAAAAAAGAAAGTTAATGATTATCGCATAAATACACGATCAAGCACAGCCAAAATAAAACTAACTCCAGATTTGCTCTGAGTTAGACATAAAAGTTGAGAAACGGTTTTGTATAGTTCACACAGAATTCTTCTATTATTACTGCCACAATACTTGAGGGAAGTCATCGAGCTGTAATTCGTCAGTTTTTGTCTCACCATTTTTAACAAACTGCAAACGGATCTTCATCCGTGGACGTACCTAAATATAGAAAAATAACCGGGACTTAAGTCAATAAACATTTTTATGGACAATTAGATTAGATCATCTAATGCACTTGTCTGTAAAAGAGTTAACTCAATGACATGAAGACAATTTTGAATGGTATAATTTTCATTGTGGTGTTGTGGAGATTGTTAAGTTCCATTGAAATTATAAATCGATCAATGTTAGACTACCATTAGAAATGTGATCGATTCATGATTTCAATGAAACTTAACAATCTCCACAACCCTATAATCAAAATTATCACGTGCTTACTAGTGGACAGCTTTATGAGGACACTTCTTCCAGTTCTAGTGAGAAGTTGTGACCAGTGGAGTCCGATCCTGTCAAGTGTGAAGACAATGGATGAGGTCACGCAAGACCGTGGATTGATCCAAGTTAGACATTATTACCATTAGATGCCGGCTTAGTGGTCTAGAGGTTAAAAGTTCGCGCATGAGACCGTAGGTCCTGGGTACGACTCCAGAGAGCGGTAGTTGTGGATGCAGACTGTTGATGAGTTTCATACTAAGACGAAACGACAGTCCAGTGCTTCCAGGTTTCTATTGGTGGTCCAATACCATAATTCTTAACACACACACATCACAGGCCTTAGAATAATTAGAAGCTAAAACAACAGAGAAACTAACCAAGAGAATCCTGAGGCTGGAACAGATTCACGCAAACACGTAGCTTGATGACTAAGTATGCAACAAGCATTGATTGTAAATGGTCATGTCCTTTTATCGATAAAAGGTTGGTGCAGAAACGATTATCAGGAAGAATAATATAAACCAACTCAGGAGAAAAAAAATCAAATTGCTTTTTTTACCCACTTAAAATCGACCACTACTACATTTGAGTCTGTTTTGATAGAACATAAGAGTATAATTACAATAGGCTTGTCACAATCAGTTAATCCAGGTTAGTATTTAAAGAGGAAAAAGTCAAAGAGAACAATTCAGTCACTACCGTATTTAGGACGATAGTGGGTTAACAATTAAGGCGTTCAACTTCGACCACTAGAGTCCACGCTTCAAAACACGCTATACCAGCTTTAGTTTTGGCAACCAGGTAATAGAGAATGTGACTCACATCCAAGTATTTGATCGATGAGTTAAACAAAATAGTTTGACTTAACGAAATGACACAGAAAAGCATATCTCTACTGTCTGATAATCAGAAATGAGAAATAAAAGCAAATGATAAAAAAATAGTGAGGCCCATAGAAAAATGAAAAATAGTGTCAAACAACCAGTTTACCTTTGGAGGAACGCTAAGCTTCAACATTTGGGTTAGAGGGACAGAGTTTGGATCACATAGAATAGAATTAGATGATGGTGGGAAAAGCTGTAGCTGACAAGATTTGGGTACAGCAGCTTGGAATTCAAAAGAATTAATTGGCTGGAGACTTGTGGTAGTTGCTACCAACTGGATTGTAATTATGTTAAAACGACCATCCAATACACCAGAAGACATGAAGTTGAATACAATTTTAATATCATTCGAATTGTATATCGTGATGGAAGGAGCTGATGGAACTAAATTATTGTAAAAAATGACCGGAGATTATAGACGGTCAAGCATTATGCAAAAGATAGTTTGCCGCACACGAAAAGTGACAATATATTAATTAATGTATTCTAAGAACTGATAAAATTACCAAAATGAAATTATTTACTATTGTATTTATACTTATTTTGACATACTGAAATAAAATGAAGTGTTTATGGACTTTCAGCGAAATCAAGACAATCGGTGCTAATATTCTCAAAGCATATGAGAGGTAAAATTTAATTTGAAAATTTGTATATCGGTCTAAAGTGATTTTCGTTTTGAGTGAATTTTGAGTGCACTTTTATGTAACAAGCAATTCACAGTGATTTTCAGTCAACTTTCAGTTGTATTAACTCACTTAGTATCCAGTTAGTTATTTGATTTTCAAAGCATTTTTCTTTGCATTTTTGAGTTGTGTGACAATTGGTCTATGTGATAAAATTCTGTAAGCAACTAAGTGATAAACATTACGGAAAGAAGTCGCTTGCAAGATTTTTTTCTAAACACAGTGATGTTAGACAGGAAATTAGTGTTTAATTACCCTTTAGGCTACCCTGCCTACAAGTGAGGTTCCATCTGATCTTGAGGCTATCATTAAAGTAAATTTTGTCACCAATTTTACAGTTAGAGAAGTTACTAAGCGAGTGATTTCCGGAAATGTGATTATTTACAAAATAGCTGAAAATCCGTTAGGTACTTGATACTGAAAACAAGCAATTTTCTAGATAGCTCGTGTCAATATATCCGTTACAGATAACCTAGTTAATATCGGTGGTACAAATGTGAAGAGTGGGGCTTCTTAGAAACTATATCAAGGTGTTCATATTGGAGTAGCTCCTCAAGCAACAGTCTTGTGAATAGACTGTAAAAATTTAATTAAATCACTAGTTTATGCTCAGATTCCATTCAGACTTTGAAAATATACGGGACTATTAAACCTGACATAATATTCAAACCAATTAACTACCGAAAGAAATTATGACCCCTGCAGAAACGTCAATTAAAACTGAATGATTTCTGTACAGTTGCACAAGTAAGAATAATTTTTAATCAAATTACAAAGAATCAGAAATAAAAAGATATTAATGTCAGTTCAAAAGTACAAAACATGGTTTGTCTTACAAATAAATAATCGAGATAACCTATGAATATTGGGTAATGGTTAATTTGTGAAAGATTTTAAAATTATTGCAAACCTTTTCAGTGGCATTTTCGTGAATAATAATGAACTCCAAAAAAGCATTGGTTCAGGAGTCACTCATACAGCTAGTAACTCTCAACAGTTTTACTTATCCATAAATTAATGAAGCCATTGGATCATTCAAAGTCTAAAAAATTCATGAATTAGATAGGATTGTATCCATTCAAGATAGCGGGTCTGATATTCCACTGCTTTATGCACAACTATTCGCATTTTCGCTCTGTAAATAGGCACATCCCTACTGCTGCAAAACCATTTATAATGTAATGCAATAATGAAGAGACAGAAAAGGGTATGTTAACTGACCTTGATTTGTCGAACCTGGACCAGAATCATTGACAAAATTAAGGTCCAAAACAGAAGGTTGTGGGGCAGGTTGAATAGTAGGAGCGCCAAAGCCATTTTGAATGCCAAATAAATCACTTGAAAATCCTGGAGTGTTTTGGGTGTTGCTAGGCACTGTCGTTCCGGACGGCGCAAATACATCGAGAAGATCTAGTAAATTAGTCCCGATATCAGAATGATTAACGGCTGCATTGTGAGCTATTATAATCACAAGATAAACAAAATAAAAGTCAATTTCACAAGTAGATAATTAAAAGTAGTGAAATCCTTTATGTTCATCCTGATATTCTACTTTATGTGTAAATCAAGAAACTAGGAATTGATGTAGATATGATAATCCATGTTGCCAAAGTGGAAAACAATAAATTCATAGAGCTTGGGTTCAATAAACAAAGTAGTGGACAGAAACCGTAGTTATTCGTGGGATAGATAGATTTAAATATGCACCAAAGAAGTAATGCTCATTAAAACTATCTCTTGTGAAAAATAAAATTTAGAACTTACTTGTATGAGAATCAGATTCACCTTCTGGACCCAATAAATCGAAAATCGTAAGCGACTGAGATTGATTAGTTGAGCCATTAATAGAAAGACTTTTTGGAACTCCAGTATTTACTTCTCCAGTTTCAGTACCATCACTCTCGTCAACGGTACGACTCAAATTATCTGGATTCGAAGTTCCAGATAAAGCGTTTGCCGGTAGTACAGGCATGCAATCAAGTAAACCACTACGAATACTGATAGGTTGTGAACAAATTTTACTGTATTCAACAGATCGTTGTTGCAACTCAAGATTAACATTAGTCGAATAAAATCTTATGAGTTCATTTAGTTTCCTGTAACAGTAACAAATCATGGAAATTAACAGTACACAGTTAACTTTGCCAGGACAACAGAGCTAACAACATTATAATATAACAAAATCCCGAGAAAAACAGAACATTTAGACAAAAACGACAAGGAACTTAGCCTACATACGGAATGACTGTCACAGACAAAAGTAGCTGGAAAGCGCCATCAACCTGATAAACGTTACATTACAACTAGCAAGCTACACTCAGAACTCCCGATCGTCTCATATATCTGGATCCGACTCTCTTCGCTTCGGCAGTAACTTCAGGGTGACACTCCGCTGAATATCCACTGCATACTACTTATCAGCCATTTTTAGATTAGTGTACACCATATTAGTGACTAGAAAGTCAGCAAATGTAGTTTCACACTAAATTAAATGATTGCTCTATATGTGAAATAATCTCATTGAAAACTCACTCTAAATGTGTCGGAGTAAAACGTGTGGTTAGTTTAACTAGTGAGTTTATAATCATTTGTTTTGTTTGTACTGTTGAGGTCGCACTAACTAGAGCACGTTGTAACACAGTGATCAATTCTAATTCAGTAACTGGATTTGGAATATCTTCAGAAGGTTCTGGCGAAACCAACAAATCACCATACTCCCCGATTGTCCAACACGCAACCTATAAAGTAATTTTATTAAAAAGGTAATATTCGGTGAGAAAAGATAACGCAAATAACTTTGCATTATCACACATTAGTTTATTAGGACTATTTAACTGAATTCGAAAATTCTGAAGTTAAAATATAAAACCTGTTTCGTGAAAATGTCTAGCTCCATAAATCAATTTTATTTACAACGGTTAAAAAGTGATATACTTTTGGCTGTTTTATAACCATCAAGATCCTGATTAAATTAAATATTTGCTATCTGATGCAGTAACCTCATATTTTACTAGAAAAGCCAACTGTATACATAGAGACAAATGGTTGATAAATGTTTGCTACATCACATATATTGGAAGAGGCAAAAATGTAGGATTTTCGATCACGTTTCATTTGATTATCTCTAACTTAAACAGCTAGAGCCAAAAACAATTATTTTGTTTGCATTAAAACTAGAAAGCTACGCTAATACTGTTCAATTTACTCAGTTAATTAAAAGTAGTTTTTTATCTGCATAACAAAACAAAAAACTTCAAGTAACTCGAGGAACCATATAAAGTCTACGACTAATGATTGCCAAGCTGCATCAAAATGTGGTTTAAAAAGACTAAAAGAGTTTAACATTAATATAATTTTAACAGTTAAGTAAATAAACTAGTACTACTTTCATCTGAGAAACGAATAACGTCAAAGTTCTTGTATTCGAATCTCCTGAGACGAAAATGTTGCATTTAAGCATAATGTTATTACAAGATAGACTACTATGAGAGACTCCATTCAAAAGAACTACAGTTCTAAGCTTACAAGTTAATTAAAAAATTAACTATACAAAACGTATTAAGACTAATTATCGTCTAAAAATAGTGAACATAAATAACTTTTCCTGCTTAGCTATCAACTCAAATCTTAGTTGCTTCCTACTTTTTATAAACATAACTGTTTTGGATTGCTGCACAATTACATTCCGTAATTTCCAGTGTTTATTATTGTTCAATTTTTTTCCCATTTTCTATCGAAACCACTGTTCTGTCTGAACGGTCTGTAGTTGTGGAATAGTGGACTTTATATATACTTCCCCCAAAAGCAATACTTAATACAGCCATTCTTAAATCGCGATATACCTAAGGTCGGTACCTATGCGGATAAATCAACTTCATCACCGAGTCACGAGAACCTAAGACAAAAATATGGTATTTAAACCTGAAATCAAAATTTTAAAATGTTTCGGGAGGCTAGTTTTAACCGGTTAAATCGAAAATGTGATCATATATAAAGCAAATCATAACACACCTGAACCAAAGGTTGTTGAGACATGGCTCCTTTCATAGCATTGAAAAGCTGAAACGTAGCATAGGCGTGTAGATCAGGATTTTGAGAAATCAAGCTAACTAATGATGATACAACGTCATCTCGTGCATAGTTCCCAGCCTATGGAAACAAAAACGAAAAATAGGGAAACGTAAATGATGATACCTTGTAGAAAAATCAAAGCTTAAAAAGTAATTTTTAGGTTTGTAATACGAATCTTTACAGGAACCAAACAGAGTGTGATTAGCACAAACTGATTATCAACATTTAAATTTGTTACGCCAAATGTAGTACTAATCCTAAAACATTCACTGATACGTACACCAAACCACATAATCAGAATTACAAAAATACATCTTCAGATAAAACTAGAGAGACGTTCAGGCATTAATACACAGGAATCTACTGATTCAATCCAACAGCAAGAAATTGTAAGCCCTATTAACAGATGACATAATTTACAAAATTTCGATCAACCCTTCCAATAATTTAAATTTTCCTTAATGATGGTGTTTTGGAAAATACTTAAGTAAAGAAATCAACAACGAAACGATGAAGGATGAAAAACCGATACATCATTTTTCAGTTGTTATAAAACAAAACCAAATGAATTAAATGACTTCAAAATATCTTAAAAGATTTACGAATGCTGTTTAAATTCTAATAAAGCAATAACATATGACAATCTTAAGAGAAAATAGGGCTTTTAAATGCAGAAAACAGAAAATCGTCAGAGCAACAACGGGCATTATTACAAAATGATTAGTTTTTTTGGAACAAATCATGAGTATGTGAATTCAATTTATATGCTCACAAATTAGTTAAAAAATTCTAAAAACTAAAACCTACAGTGGTTAGCAATTTCATCATAGTGTCTACATGCCATCTCTTATTTGGAGCATATTTCTCCGCTGCTATCGAAATATTTGAACAAACATCGCCTTTGAACTCATTATCACAACTTTGTAAATAAAGCAGAAGTTCCTTGGCCATCGCACATACATTCGTATGATTTGTTAATGCAAAACATAAATCGATAGCACGCCTGTTGAAATAAAATTAAAAAATCATCTGTTTAATCTCAAAACACTGACGAATGTTTGGTTATTCAATTTATAAGGTACTACTACTACTACTACTACTACTACTAGAAGTAGTTTTACATACAGATACATAAATATTACTGTTCGACACAGAAACCAAAACGTGATTCAATAAACATTAATTACTAAAAGAACACTTAGACAAATTTTGAATGAGCTAAGAAGATTTACATACATTTCATGATTTTATGACATCTGAATGAAGTGGGCCGTGATAATACATTTAAATAGTTATGACGTAGAGTTTGGTACATTTGACTGAAACATTATTTTTAAAAAAAATCACATGAATCTTGCTCAAATTTCATACTTATAAAAGTCGACTAACCTTTGTATTGAAACATCAAGATCCTTCAAACAGTCCAATATTGTTAATCTGTGTCTCTGTACAGCTTTGGAATCAGCGTGCACAACTCTCAACAAAGTATTGAGGGCGACGTAGCGAATGTCTTTGTCCGTGTTTAGTAGAAACCGGCCCAAAATGTTTATAGCAAGAACCTTTGGAAGAATCAAAACATGAATCCGTAACAGAACGCTCCTTATACAATAACTTCCATAGCTGATATAAAGCACAAAATACTAGAAATATACGTTTCCTGAAAATTCATTTGCCGCCATTCATTCATTCACCACGCGCAGAATTTCGAACTTGGCGTCGAGCCACCTTCTAAGTGTAAGAGCTAAAGATACTACCATCCCATTTTTCAAATCGAAGTGGGCAGGGTTAGAACTTGTGGCTTAGTAGTTTAAAGTCGAACGCCTTACCAAAAATAAAGAATTTATCATTAGTTAAACCACGATCGGTGGATAAGAAATCTATCACCAAAATAAATCCACAAACAAGAAGAAAACTCAATTCCTTTTAAATGATTATGAATCACAACAGAATTCGAAACAAAAAATAGATTTTCGGGTACACAAACGTATCAGCTCTGTAATGGGCAATAGAAAACAGTGTGAAGTGTGGATATTGATCCGAATATTATCTAAATGAATCTAAATTAATGTCTTGGATGCTAAATAATAGTTTCGTCTGCTTTATAATACACTAATAACCACCCTTTGAAATCAATAACAGTTTGGTGCTTTTTAGCTCAAGTTATTACTCAACTTGATATTTAATTCTGAAGGAATTCATAGGGGAAAACAAGGTGCTGAACTACAACGCAGAACGTCATACGTATGGTCTCTACATCACTTCAAGCTGCCATACCGCATTAGCACAAAGATGCAATTAACAATTCAAATCCCATAGTGGTAGCTGTAGTAGAAATATTAGCGGTAATGGAGGAGATCAGGAATCAAAGACATTATTCAAGAAGTACAATTCAGAAATGAATATAAAAGGAAAAAGATAGAGGTGCTAAGGAATTCAGAATATTGGAATTCCAGAGAACACAAAGAGTGGATGCAACTGTGCCATTGCAAACAATTTTGGGCCATGACATTGAAGGTCTCTAACCATCGGTTACCATCATCTTACGGACCACAACCAGGTAGCCTACATCTACCAAAATGACTTAGTCCACTAGTCAATGACTTCATGGATTTGTGCCTTGTTTTGCTTTGGTCACCCCTAGCTTTCATCCAACCTACTCCTACACCATAAAACGTCACTCGTCGAGGCAGTCGGCGGCACTTCTTTAGTACTCCTTTTAATAACAGACATTGCCACAGAACCACTCCATCGACAGCCAAACGCCGATTTAAGGTCAAGGAATACAGCTACAGTGGGACCCCAAGCCTAGTTTTTTCTAGTCTTCTCTTCACGAGCTCTACTTAAGAATCGAAGTATTATAGAGGCTAACATCTTAGACACTAAATTAGTTAGACTGATTCCTCTGTAATTGACACTGACTGAGACAATCAGTGATTGAGACCAGTCAGATTGGATTGTATCCAGTTCGAAAATCCTACTCAGATCTCAGTCAACCTAACTGCTAAATCTGAACCACCATCCTTAAAAATATCAGGGGTAAGCTTGTCATAGCCTGCTGCTCTCCCTCGCCTTAGATTCTCAATGGCTTTCTCAACTTCATTAGGAGTCGGAGGACATACACCAATTCGCCACTCAGGTTCACTGGAGATTGTGGGTAACTGAAGTGTGACTAAAGGCCAGTTGATCTGATCCCTAAACTGTTCAGCCCATCGATCCAATCTCCTGGATTGAAAATGGATAATATGCCCATCCATTTCGAGAGAGTTTCGCTAACAGTCGGATTCCGAATTCCAGTTTCCTTGATAAGTCAGAACAGTTGTTTAATGTTACCTATCGTCGCTTCCATTGCTTTTGCTTTCGCTACCCACCACTGCTCACAATCATTGCGTAGGCTTCTTATCAGCTTGCGCTTAAGCTGACCTCGCTTTTGGTTATCCTCAGAGCCAAACGGGATGAGTATCCGAGCATCTATCAGTTCGGCAGATGCTACTGAGACCTACTGTTTCTCCCTAACCTTATAGTTTACCTTACTAGCAGATATCATTAGTTTCCACAGCCTTTTGGACATCATTTTAAGCTGCCTCAGGGTGGGCATTACTTACATGGCCGCCTAACTGTTTATCTAGCTGTTCCTGAAATATATTCTTAAATATGCTTTCATTAAGTAGAACCCTAAGAGGTTTCCTTGAAGTGTCTCCTCTACGTCCGTTAAGATGCAAACAAATACGCGCTCATAGTTGAGCATGACCTGAATCTAAACATGTGCTCCTGAGCGAGAGACAGTCCTCTATCGAGCCTCCTCTTTGTTGGCTGATAGTGACGTGTTCTATCTGGGTCCAGCGTTGTGAAGATTTTAGGAGTCACCATGTCAGGTGTGCTTGCTTATGTTTAAAGTTAGTATTTGCCAGAAAAAGGCCGTTATCTGAGCTGCAGCTGACGATCGCCACTATCTGTTCTTTGAACCACAACACCATAAGATCCACCCAGGTGTCTTTTCTTTCCATTTAGTCTATCGACTTGAGCATTAAAGCCACTCGCCACTACTACTACATCAGAGCGCCTAACTTTTTGGAGAAGGTCCGAAAGCTCTTTTTGAAACTAATCTTTTACCTTGTCTGAGCTGCAGTCAGTGACAGCGTACGCAGAGACGACAAAAAGCAACGAAGTGTACTGAGGTGATTGATAATTATAACATTTTCGATATAACCGAGTAAAACATTCTTACAACAAACGTACTCGTAATCCTGGATCTGATTCTATTCCCATTATCGTTAATACAATTTCATAGAGAATTGCATGACCAACATTTTTGCTCGTTTCAGTATTTGTAGCCACCTATAAATTTCAAATGAGGCAATCTCAAAGTTAACAAGCAAACGAAACAGAAATTTAGGGATTTAGTAATAGAAAAGTGATTAAACAGTACATAAATAACATTAAAATGTGTGCTATTCAGAATCATTGGTGTATGTTGAATAATCGACACCTACCTACCTTGAAAAGAAAGAGTAGTAGAGTTTGACGACAAGAAACTGAAGCTTAAGTCCGTTGAATATAATGTTAACTGAATATTAAGACAGTGTAGAATATGATGACCAGGAAATTTCAGTAACTTAGCTCAAAACCAACATTTACGAATTAGTAAGTCATAAAAATTCTTATTAAACATTTCCAGACTCTCACATGATGTTTTTCTCGACATTTCCACCTTGTATGTTGTTATCAATACGGTTAACGTCAGAAAAAATGGATCTCAAGTCAGATCTACATAATCGAGTAGTATTTTTGATCTCAAACAGTGAGTATGGTTTGAGTGCGCACATAAGCTTGAACGTTGTTAGTATTCTATAGTTACAATTTTCAAAATAAAGCACAATTAAGCAAACATGCTAACATGATAACTAGACTTAATCAAGACTGTTCATACATGAAACTTTTAGAAAAATGTAGATCAAACAAAATGCATTTTAAAAAGCATAGAACAGTACTTAAGCCACAGTACAATATAAGTTACCGTCAACGTTAGACGGCCACGAATCGAGGGATACAGATATTTGTCTACATACTTACAGAGACAATGCAACTTGAATTATTGGACTCTTTAATCACAGTTTCATAAGTTTTTTATACGCTATTGATCTTTTTTTAAAATTTAAAACGTAAGTTGATGCTGTCAAATCACATGTTATGGAAAAATCAACGACCATGTCAATCATGTGAAATAACATTTTAGACACAAGAATGATAGATAAGAAAAAAGACCTTTACAATACTGATAAAAACAATGTTGAGTACTGTAAGGATTTATAATTTAAAATTACTTGAGCTAGAATATCATTCATTGCCTCACTAGCAGTTTTATCACCATGACCGAGAACACGCATAAGCCGTAGTATTTTCACCTACGGTGGGAAAAAAGTGAAAAGTATTAAAACATAATCAATCACTTACCGTTATTGCACAAAATCGATTAATACGATACAAAGGTTTTGAAAATATTTGAGAATGTTAACCCTTAATTAAATCAGAAAAATAGTACACGTGATACGAAAGACAGAATCATCTTACAAAACATAACTATTGTGTTACTTCACTCTCAACCAGTCAATTCACATTGAAAAACTACAAACAATTTTTCATTACAGAGTGATGGAGATTGTTGTTGATTATTGAAATCATTGTTAAACAACGATCTCCAAAACGTACAATGTGCTCACTAGTGACTAGCTTTGTGAGGAAATTCTCGGAGTTCTAGTGAGAAGACGTGATCAGCGGAGCTCAATACTGTCGGGTGTTAGCAGTAACTACCTAAAACAATGGGTGAGGTTGCGCAAAATATCACATTGATCAAAGTTAGACATTAACACCGTGGAATGCCGGCTCAGTGATCCAGAGGTTAGGAGTTTGTGTGTACGACCGAGGGCCCTGGGTTCGAATCCTGAAACTAGGAGGAGCCGTGGATAGGCACTGATCATGAGTTACATACGTGGACGAAACGGCCGCCCAGTGCTTCCATGCTACTAATGGTGGTCTAACAATGATTGATTGATGGTTTAGATAATAAACTACAAACAAGTTGAATATTAGATTCTTATTATATTTGAAGAAATCTAATAGTTTGGCTACAAATAAACAATCAAGATAATCAAATAATATTCTTTACGTATACATGCCTCAATGAGAATGACGGATAACCCGACAAAAACTACAGATACTTATATTCCAAACTTGTATAACCATAATGAAAGTATTTTACACGCAATAAATTATGAGAATCGGGTTTATGTATTATAAAAATTTATCAGGCTATAGAAAAACGATTACATGCGGTCGAAGTCGATGAAATAAACAACCGTTGTTTGCTCCAAGATATTCAAATGAAAAGGTGCTTGAAGTAAATACAGATAACCTATAAGTAGTTTTGAGTTAGTTAAATCCCACATAGAAAATTGAAACAGTACCAACTTTGTGAGAAATTTGGAATATATTATGTCATATAGTTAGAGGGCTAAATACTTGAAATATGAGAAATACTTACAATTTCATGTATTCCAAGTACAACATCAGAAATCATACGATAAAAGACGTGAAATAACTGAAACTGAACTTTAGAAGGTAATTCTTTGTTTACTAAGTCACGGATCAACACAATCGAGTTACGTTTTTGAGCAGTATCAATCCTCATATTGTGAAACTTAAAATGAATGAGTTTCTTTAACAAATACGTAAATGGCACCAAAGGAGAAACGCTGAAATCCAGTCAGAAGTATGGGTAATATAAATATAATACCTCGAAAACGTCTATGCATACTGCCAATTTTTAGAAATCGCCAATAACTAGAGAAAAAATTTTAAATATTTCCTAGAAATATTTCAGCTCAGTAAAGCGCTTCCGAAGACAAGTTTTTAAGTTAGTAACCAAAAAAACCACTGACCAATATCACGAATCTTCATGAAAAACTCAGTGGTTTTAAATAACGGTAAAGCTCAGAAACACTCCATATTTCCCGAACGAATACAATGCAATGGGTATCAATTAAGTGAACTTGGTAGGATTTTAATTTATAGAAAGACTAATTTAAAAAATATGGTAACTGGAGATCAAAAATAATAAAAAGTTTGTATTTCACAATAACAACAAACCTGTAGAAATGGATCACTTATTTTATTAACGTCATGATCAGGAGAATAACCTGTCATGATGAGATTCTTTAATGTACGTACTAGTGTTGGGACTAATTGCTAAAGGATAAAGGGAATTAAATGAAGAGAATGTATTACACTAGTGAAATAACAGTGATAGAGTTTAATGTAATTACTAGAATTTGAGTAGAACATCAAAGTTATTACAGGAAACAAAAACACTAAGATTAAGTCTATACAATTACTAATTCAAGGTAGAATATATTCGAAAGATTTGCGGAGCGTAAGTTGTTGGTAGAAAATACGAAAAGTCGCCGATTATGTATTCTTTTAACTAGATAAAGATGGAACACGGTCGTTCAATAAAGGTTTATGGAATGAGGCTACACATGTACAACCCACAACAATACCTGTGAAATTTATATGTTATATAACTGCATTACTCATAAGTAACTAGTTTTCTACTGTATAATTTCGTAATGGTCCGTACATTAACTATTCTATCAGTACATACTAAGTTCTACATCGTAGCTAACTGACTATTTTATCAGTAGGCGCATTTTTTGTTAAGTCCACACATATTGAACCAGTCATTCCTGTGCTTGTCAGAGTTGAGAATTGACTGCCGTTGTTTAGTTCATTATCTTTGATGTGTGTTTTAACGTGAGCATTTTATGGTATATAGTAAACAACTTATTAAGACGGTTCGCTGGTTTCAAACGACCTCAAGTGCGCCATCATGATGAATCTGACGACTCCCAAATAAATGGACAAATCTATATAGAGAGGGAGCTGCTTAATACTGAAAAATCGGTCAACCAAAAAATAGTTTTTTGAAGCACATAAATATCAGGTGATTAGAATGAACACACCTTACGAAAATAATTCAAAGTATCTGGACTGCGTTCACACATTTCTTGGATTAAACAAATGGTCGCCAATAAAACTCCATGATTTTTCTCAGACAGAAGAGAACGTGTACACGGTATAAACATTTCCATGAGATCAGGTACCTTTCGAATGATTTGAAAGGCACATAATGCCGCCTGTTGAAATAAAACAAATCGAAAGCACTTCAAGAAAAAGTAAGCGACAAAATTGCCACCGGTAAACTCTGCATTACGTCCAGAACCAACTACTTTTTTGTAGTAACTGTACTGGAAAATCCTAGCAACAGTTGGAAGTGTCCTTTGTATACTGAAAATAAACAATCCGTTGGTCATAACTCCATGTCCAGAAGTCAGATCAAAATATTAAAATATTTTGAAGTGCACTTTACGAATTGTGACTGGATTGACAACATACAGAAAAGACTATTTTATTTCCTTTGGTCAATAATCAATGATCTACCAGTACACGACAGTAAACACTACGAGTTTATTAATCCTATTTTCAAGATTTTATACACTAATTAGTTACCGTGGCATTATTAGTCACCTTTATACATAATGCCATGTTGAATAATTGCTTGAAACAAATATATGTTATTGTGACTGTCTTTCTGATTATGATCCTGATTATCGTAAAACACTAATTAAAAACTCAGGCCTGACAACATCTGATACGAATAAGTGGATTACGCTCGAGTCATGAACGATAGGATATTTGAGTATTAAGTCGACCACAATGTTGTCAAGACAAAACTGAGGTAAAAAGTTAGTCACTGATGAGCTGAATTTAGTCCTACTGAGTATAAGCTGTTCAAGCTAATACATTAGAACTTTCGTAATTGCCTATGTACAACTCGAAACCCACAATTAATTATCAGTTTCATTCTAGTGTTTTCTTGTGGTCCATTTTCCTTTGTGTATTTAATGTGAAACAACTCAGATTGCTAAACACGTTTAGTCAGATTCTAAATTACTTATATCTGACTGTCTTTGACTTAGCTGATGTTGAATGATTTCTTAACCCAGTTAGGTGGATGATAATACATAGAAAAAAACCTTTATGAAAACCGAAAGAAAAATGTTTTTCCGACACAAATAGCAAAATATTGGATGAACATCTACAAATATCATTCATCTCCTAATACAACTAGAGACAAGCAATAAACGCGACGCCATACTTGGAAAATATATTTTGGCAAACTTCAGTTCATGACTATTGCGATCAGTGAAACCGAAAAAACTATGAACATTTAATGCCTATAATTTGAAATATGAATGCCGACTTACCTTCTTTTTTATGTACGCATTTGATGATCTTATGAGTCGTTCAACTTCTCCAGCTAAATCTCTACTCATTTCAGCGGAACATATGCTTCCCAAAGTGCAAAGAGCCAAACTAACAACATACGTGGTTGGATGATTTAAATCGCTGTGAATGTAAATAAAATTAAGATAAATATGAGTCATACAAGTGCAGAAAAGACAGTATACGATGATATCAAGTTGCACACTTTTAAAAATGAAAATCCCAGAGAGTATACGGTAAAACAAAACTAATCTGACTAATTTATTTGACTACACCTAGAAAATAATGAGCATGCACCAAACAAACAAAACCTGAATTTACGAAGAGTTAGAAAACCAAGAGTACAACCAAAAATAAATTAACGACATGAAAACAAGTTTTTTCAATTAGAGTTATGGAGATGCCGGCCCAGTGGTCCAGAGGTTAGGCGTTCGCGCGCAAGAGCGAAAGGTCCTAGGATCAAATCCTGCAAGGTGCAGGAGTCGTGGATGCGCACTGCTGATGAGTTCCATACCTGGGCGAAACGGCCGTCCAGTGCTTCCAGGTTTCGAATGGTGATCTAACAACCATTGATTGATGATTTCAATGAAGATAAGTGACAGAGAACCCTATATTCTAGTAGATATAGCTCAGTTAATAATACAACCAGCAACACAATTAAGCCAGGTACTTCAATTTTTTCGGTACACAATGTAAGAGAAGAACACTACAGGATTTCCATTGGTTTCTGTTTTGAATTATGTCTGGTAACGTTTCAAGCCACTGAATCGTATCATGTCTAAAACCCCAATCAGAGAGTCGTGATGGAAGGACTTGTTCTAGTCCTGCACAGATTTCTTTTATACTGTGGCTCCGTGTCATGAACTAACTATTTCTCATCCTTTTGTATATCACCCCAGATTCTGTGAATACAGCATGACGTGGAGGTTGCTGGGATGACACTCATAACACACACCAAAGCTACCAAAGACGGGATTTTAACATAGTGACACTTACTAAGCCATCGTCACTGATCCCAGATACATTTTGTCAAGACTCAATATTATAAAGACGGTGTTGTCACTGAGTGTCAGAAATCGTTCGGAGACAACAACGATCGAGTGCCGAGAGGGTCACCGAACATCCTCAGATCGAAGAATCCACGTTACATGGGGCGGAACCGCTCTCACCGACAGGTTATAGACCCTACGTTTCACAGCCTGGCTAATATCATGACCGTGTCAAGATGGCCGAGTTTGGCGTGATTCGTTCTGGTTCCCACTATACGTAGGTTGATCTCATCACCCAAACCGAGATCAGCGTTCACACTCACTCAGATATACCAGCCTTTTGACTACTTCTTTATCATCCTCATCACCAAGTGCCAATACAAATTCCCGACAGTCTTGTAAAAAGTAATTCACATTTTGGTGTAAAGTAAATCCCATAATTACGGACATTGATTACCAAATGATAAAGAGCAAGTTGGATAGCTTCATATAATCGCATAGAAAGACGATGTTGTCTGCAGAGTGAATATTGAAGTCGTCCACCAGGTAACAAACATATCAACACCACCACAACGTACTTTGTTTAGAACTGTGTTCGGAATGTCACTGTTGGCAAAGTTGAAGATTTATGAAATTGGGCAACCTTATCTAACCGCAATACTGAAATGGAACAACTGAAGGAAGTAGTTGTATGCCCTTACTTTGAGGTGCTTGTTTACAATGCCTTCCAAATGTTATCGAAAATTTCTGATATTTCCTTCCTCAACAGACATTCCCAGAATACAGTTCTATCCAACGCACCGTTAGTGGCCCTGATATCAGGAAACGCATGGATTGTTATACTGTAATACGTATTTGGTGACGAGCTGAGATTCGTTAGTCTGTGGTGATTAATGGTAGCATGATAACCCCACACGAACGCATAGACAAAGCTACGTGGGTTTCACCGGATAAAATTGCACAGAACCAAATCGACCATATCTGCATCGATGAAAAGTTCAGAAGGACCATAGACGATGCGGGAACAAAGAGAAGAGCTGGAATAGCCTCAAATCAACCAAAACGAAACTGAAATTAAAGAAGAACTAGACAACTAAGCGAACAGCATCACAAAACGTTAATACGACGTTTCGTTGGGATACTGGCAAACTCAACGAATTCAAGATAGTCCTCAGAAAAAGGTTTCAAGCCTTTCACAATCTACAGGAAGGAGATCAACTGGAAAAGGATCAAAAAAGCATCAACTTCAGCATTTCATGAAGTTTTCGGGCACGAGAAACACCATTATACAGAATGGATCAATGTTGATATTTTGGATAGGATTCAATAAACGAAGAACAACAAGGCAGCAATCAATATCAAGCGAACAAGAGCAGAGAGAGCCAAGACGCAAGTTGAATACACAGAAAAAAGCAGCGAAATGAAGAGTAGCATCAGAGATGATAAGTGAAAATATGTGGAAGGTCTAGCAATTATAGCAGAAAAAGCTGCAAGAGAAGGAAACATGAGAAAATTATACGATAAAATGAAGCTTGCTGGAAACTATCGTAAACCAAAACGACCAGCGAAAAGGAGAGAAGGTAAACCAATCACCGACACTCAAGAGCAGTGCAACAGATGGGCAGAGCACTTCAAAAAACTCTTGAATCGACCAGCCCCACTGAACCCACCCAACATCGAAGCAGCACCTACGGATCTCCCAATTAATGTTGACCCACTAATATACGAACAGATCAGACAAATCAATAGCGGTAAAGCAACAGGACCAGACAACATTCCAGCCGGGGCACTGAAAGCAGTCAACAGTAGCTGCTAAGATGTTCCACGCTCTGTTCAGCAAGATTTGGGTAAAAGAAGTCATTAGCAGACTGGAAAGGACACTTCATCAAGATACAAAAGAAAGATTTCAGCAAGCGTGGGAATTACTGTGACACTACTCTCAATATCAAGAAAAGTTTTCAAAGTGTTGTTGAACCAAATGAAGAATTCAGCAGACGTTCAACTTCGATTTCATCAGGCTGGATTCCATAAGGATCGATCGTGTACCAACGAAATCGCGACACTACGGATCATTGTAGAACAATCAATCGGATGTAAACTCACTACTTCCTTGACTACGAGGAAGCGTTGGACAGCATGGACATGATGATACTATGGAGGCTTCTTCAATACTATGGCGTCCCTCAGAAGATAGTCAACATCATACGGAATTCTTATGACGGATTAAACTGTAAGATCGTGAATGGAGGACAGCTCACAGACTCGTCCAAGTGAAGACCAGTGTCAGGCAAGTTTGATTACTCTCACTCTTCCTCTTTCTTTAGGTGGTCAACCGGACTATGAAGACGTCAACATCTTAGGGATGCACCGAACACAGAGGGCAGCTCGGATGCAGCTGGACGCTCTGGACGTCGTAGACGATCTAGCCCTTCTATCCCGTACGCAACAACAAATGCAGGCGATACAACACAACAAGCACCAACTAAATCATACTTGACAGCGAAGTTTTAGAAGTGGGAACCTTTACATACGTGGGCAGCATCACTGATAAACAAGATAGATTTGATGCCGATGTAAAGACACGTTGTGGCAAAGCAAGGGTAGTTTTTCCACAATTGAGTATCACCTGAAACTCAAGACAACTGTCAACCAACACGAGTCAGGATTTTCAATACAAACGTCAAGACAAAGCTACTATATGGAACGGAAACTTAGAGAACCAAGAAAGCCATTGCTCCGAAGATACAGGTGTTTAGTAATAGTTGTCTATGTAGGATGCTGAGGATTCGTTGGCCATACACCATCAGCAACAACCTACTGTGGAGAGAACAAACCAGATTCCATCTGACGAAATTAGGAAAAAACTCGGGAGATGGATAGTAAACACATTGAGGAAAGTACCCAACTGAGTCACAAACCCTAACTTGGAATCCTCCTAGTCAAAGGAAAAGAGGAAGGTCAAAATATGCATGATATCGAGAACAAGAATGAGCATCAGTCGGGTAGATCTGGAAAGGAAAGCCCAGTACAGAGTAGGTTGGAGAATGTTGGTCGGCGGACTACGCTCTACGATGGGAAACAGGAGTAAGTAATACAAAGAAGCTTTTTTTGGCCATTATGAATTCATTGACCACAGATCTTAAGTGATCCAAAAGTTGATGGCTACAAATAAGACCCTAAGGATTTCCATATAGATAGCTCATCGCACTGAAACTAATTACAATAAAACAGTAGATGTGTTTAGGTATCGTCGACAAATAAGAGTATTAGGAATTCATGTGTCATATTTCTGCATTATATTGAATTTCTAGATTACTTTTTTGAACATTTTCATAACTTAACATTGTCACACACAACGGAATGTTATGGGAAATCTGAAGGTTTTTCAATCCATAATGTAAAAACCAATGGTACATCTGAAATAAATTCAATGTAAAATTTAACAATACAGTGAATGTTAGAACAGTACATACCTGGTTGAGAAAATAAGTCAAAGCCTAACAATTTGTGATAAACTTCCTTGAAAATGCTGAATCCAAATATTGATTTTATCCAAACCGTTAGTTATTTGTACAAAGGATCGCCTAAATATTTATCCGCCACACAAATCAGTGAACTCGAGTATGGGCTGGGATACTCTCCAGATGCCCGAAACAGAAAAAATCGGTTTCCTTAGGTTACCTCCCGAGCCTATAGGCCTGGTCCACAAGGCAGTGAAGCAACGTTACGCTATGCAGTTCACTGGTAGCTGGGGAAGCTACTTGTTCCTTATGGATCTGTGAGTCTGTGTGCATCACTGATTTGGAACCAGGATTTTCCAAACTCCCAAAATGGATCATCCGTACCTGTTGGATCATAGCAGGTGGGCCTTAACGAGAACGATCATTTAAGTAAGAAAATTACTTTACAGAATAAGGTCTAACATATTATTACTTACAAAACCGAACTTTGGTTAAATCGCTACCAAAAAACTCACTTTTTTAGAGAATTTGTAACCAGAAGATGTACATCTGTCCGTTCATCGAGCAGGAGCATAGCGCCCAAATAACCAACTCTTTTATCAGTAAAACGTGGAGAGGCAACTAGTTTTAAACATTCAAGCTATAAACAAAACGATGACAAATGCCAATCGGTAACGTCAAACCCCTAGGCAACGGTAAGATAGTTAATATATTATTTAACGACTAGGGGTATGTTCACGCTCAGGCCTTAAATACATTGATAAAAAATAACTACAATATTAATCAATAGACAAAAAAGAGGATTTGAACAGAAACCACGTAAAAACTATGATCGCTATTCACGCAACAAGAAGGAAGTTTGACTTCTGCATGACAAAAAACCAATTTATTTTTAACTTAGCCACAGTAATACGGAACATCGAATCTGGCAGATGTGCATTAGTTCAAGTTTCCACACCACATGAGCGCCAACCAGTGGTAATGATTAGCACATAGACATCAAACAAGGACTTCATGGACTGGTGCCAGATCTTTGTTTGGTAGTCCCAAGCTGACTACCAACCAACTCCTAAGCCATTTACGACTGAGCGTTGAGGCAGAGCATGGTTAGGTATTTTTAATGCATATCTCAATCACTTTATTCGATTAAAATTCACTATCTCATCAATAGATTTATCATGGATGGATTTTGGCAAAAGTTAACCTAACACTGAGTCTGAGTCAAGAACCCAGCAGACACCGATTGAAGACTGGTGAGACTAGAGGGTGTTACTGCTAGTATTCTTATGTCGAAATAAGTAAGTTGGGGTTCAAATTTGGAACAATTATTTTCTAAACCAGAGGTGTTAGGATTCAAAGATTTTAGACTACAAGAGTAGTTTGCTGAACAAGGAGAATTATCAGCATAAAAACATACTTGATTATATGTGGGTGAATAAAACTACTGCCACATATACCCAATAAAATATATCAACTAAGAAATTAAATGCGAATTTCTGGAGATAGCCAGAAATGCATTAAATGAATAAGATTAAAAACTTACCTGACCAAAATGAGCTGGGTAACCCAACATGTGAATATATAATAATTTAGCAACGTTACGACATCTGTAAGTATTATTTTCTTCCCGAAAACTATCTCTAATTAACGCACACTCCCGATTAACAATCGCCCGTTCTTCTGCAGCTGTCCGTGCAGATCTAATGTCTCTTACCAACTCTCGCAACCGCTTTGGAGCTGGCATCTAAAATGGGAAAGTTACGTTACCACTTGTATGCTACTAGCTCAAATAACAATAAACTGTTACTTTATATCGTACAACTTGAGGGCTGGTGCAGTATCGAAACTAGTCATGATAACTGATTTACGAAGGTGGTAACCCAAAGACAGGAAATTTTTAATAACAATTTAGAAAATAGTTAAGAAATATGGTAAAATGAGTATGGGATTTAGAATATGAACCAGACAGATACAACGCAGAACTTCGTACGTACGTACATCAGTTCAGGTTGCCATGCCCCATCAGCGCAGAGACGCAACTGTCAGTTCAAATCCAACAGTGATAGCAATAATAGAAGTATTAGCAGTAATGGAGAAGATTAGGGAGCGAAGATATGATTCGAGAAGTATAATTCAGTAAGATGAGGTTAGAAAGACAAAGGTAGAGGTGCTGACGAATCCAGAGGATTAGGATTTGAGAGAGCACAACGAATTGATGCACTTGCGCCATCGCAAACGATTTTGAGCCATGTCGTTCAAGGTCTCTAACCATTGGTGACTTTCGTCTCGCGGACCCCAACCAGGTAGCCTAGATCTACCGACATGACTCAGTCCACTTGTCAGTGACTTCATGTATTTCTGAAATGTTTTGGTCTGACCGCCCCTAGCTTTTTTCCAATTTACTCGTATACCACAAAACATAGCTCGTCGAGGCAGTCGGTGGTTAGGCATACGCAGCACATGTCCCAACCACTTCAACTGATGAAGTTTCAATGCTTCATCTATTGATTTGTCATCCCTACCTAGAACTCGTTTCCTAACGACAGCATTGCTTATACGGTTGTCCCATGATACACGAGCAATGCTTCGGAGGCATCGATGATCGAAGACTAGTAACCTACGGAAGTCCTCTACTCTTAACGGCCAAGGACTACCGTAGGTTACTAGTCTTCGATCATCGATGTCTCCGAAGCATTGCTCGTGTATCATGGGACAACCGTATAGAATATGTTAGTAATTCAATACCAAAATATGAAATAATACATGCACGTGTGTAATCGACATAAACTGCTAATTATTTACGTAACAACGCTTATCCTAGTGGGCAATACATTGCCATGAAACTGAAGCAGTAACGTTTTTTCCCTCAAGAAAACGACAACCAAATAATGCCGATAAGGTAAGAAGACATGGAAAAACATCATGTAGGAATTTCTAGTTGCACATACTCCATCAATCACTCCTCTCAGAGGCATTGTGTGGTCTATATTGGGCTATAGCTTATTAATTCAGGCATATGACTTTTAAACAGTCAAAGGTTCGAACTCTACTCCACCTAATTCGAGTACCACTAGTTACTGCGCTCGGAACACTACCCACGCACAATTATCTAGTGAGCGGGTCCATTTATATTTTTTGGTTACTCAAATGCTTTGAAGTAATTAACTGGAGAACAGGCTATATAAAACTTACAGTTGGAGTTTTGTGTGAGTAACGAAGAGCTCACTTGTTAGTTTTAAGTAAATACTGATACTTCTTATTCAAAATTTAGTCATATTAAAAAAAGACGACTAGGTCGGGATTTACTGAGACAAGATTATCACACACCACTACTAAAACGTTTTCAAATGATCTAAGATGCACCCAACCAGTTGGCCTTTATTTTAATGATTTCAATTACTAAAAAGTTTTTAACAGCTATGTCCCGAAGCCATACAAACCGCTATATCTAAAAGAGATTGAATCGCTCGGAATAGACCAAACAGTCTAACGAATAAGATCCCTCCTTCCAGTCAGTACACCACAACGGTCAAATTCTATTTGGAGTAAGGTTTCAGACAAGTGAGAACACCTTTTAAATGTAATATGATGGACTAGATTATATAAGTGATCAATTATACCATACGGTATTTATCAGATGATATCAGATTCCAGTAAACAAAATATCATTAAAACCATAAAAAAGTTAGTGTACTACAATATAATCGCACTAGGGAAAGTTTGGAATACCGCTTAACTAGTATGAAACACAAACGCAGAGTAGTTAACCTCTCGGAGAATTAGCGCAAGCCACAGAGGCAAACCAATAAACACTGAGGGTTCAAGGTCCAATATTTCTACTCATCAATTTTAAGTAATAAGCATAGTAGGTGTACCACATGTTCCGGTAAGGCGTTACGATAAATAACCACTCGATGGAAGCAAAATTCAACTCTCAGTTCATTCGATCGCGGTTTCTGAACCTTCTTGCAGTTACTGTGGAGGTAATTAAGTCTGGAAGGAACAGAAAGATAAGAAATGTTAACACGCAAATCCTTATCTAAGGTATTGAATGCCAATGTAATATTACTTCGCGTTCTGTGATGAGGTGAAAAGTTCTAGCCTTTTCAAACGGTCATCTTAGGGGATTTTGGAAAGACCCGTCACTTGGTTCTCGCACTCATGGGTGTGATAACATTCTTAATCAGACATGGGCTAGCTGCTTGGATGTGATACTGCGGGTGAGGTGCATAACAACCAACACGTATTTTCGAAAAATAATTCGAATGTTCAGGGAAGTGAAAATAACATCCAATACCCATTGGCAGTTGATGCATTACAATAAACAGTTGTTTTCAGATCGTGACGGACTGTTGCTCCTAAGGATTTTTCCGTGCACACCATGTACCCTTGATAGCATACCAGTAATTGTTTATACTTGTACTTACACACTACTCCCACAATCACTTTCCGGGCCTCAACTATAGTACCATTTAACAAATTCGTCCAGGTCGGTTTGGAGATCAAGATGATCTCCAACTTTTAGTATCATCTGCAGATAACGGTGTAGACGAATTATGGATTCTCAGTCATCGTTGGCGTTTAAAACGAAAAACAGGGTACCTGAGATAGTATTTTGCGGTACATCACATTTCTGACTGCTTTCCATTTATTCCCACCCTCTTTCTACGACCTCGGAGGAAGGTTTTTACCCACTTGTGTATACTCCCTGTTATTCCAAAGCTCGAAAATTTCTGAAAAATCCCTAACTAAAAAACCTTGATGTATACTCTGATGAAATCTATGAGTGATATGTTATGTTATATGTTATTTAGCTCCAGCCAAAGTTACATCAAGAGTATTTGTCAGGCGTAATTTTGCATCTGTATTGGCTTCCTTTTTGTCTCCTGAACGTTTGGACTAAACAGTCCAAGGTTCACTTTTCTATGGCCATCATTTTTCGTCTCTACATTTCTAAGCTACTTAGGAAACCTTTTCTTAATGAGTGGACAGTTTAAAAAACATTTTCCAATGCTTGGTTTTTACATACCTGTTCATAGAGGTATGGGGTGGGATGATTGCAAAGGATGATTCCAGGGAGGTTGAGCAAATCTTACACCTGACGCCTTTAAACGGTTTAGCGAAAGAAAGTAACTGTAGTTCTGCCATTGGATAAAGGAAGCTTGCTATCCACTGCCATTTTTGTGGTGAACGTTGCCGAACGGCATATAAGTAAGCAATATCGTATCAACTGATGTGCAGTCGCCCATGGCTGATTGACTTACATGGAGGAGAAAAGACCAAACCCAAAGAGGTTAATGAGGGATGAAAATCGATGAAAGCAGGTTTCTTCACTGCCCTGTTACCTAAGTGGCGCCAGATAAGAAACGCCTAAAAATACAAACGTTTGGCTGGGTCTGTTTCCATAAGGAAAATTGACCACCCACGTCGTCACCGGTCACTCAGGATCTCACAGTTAGCATGATGTAGCAACAAAGACCATTCTAGTCATAGTTCATGAATGGGCAAGTCGTGCAAAAGTTAAGCTAATGGTAAATTTTCCGACAGCAGGTTTTGGCCATTTCACAGACATGGTCATTTCGATACAGCATTTCCAACAAGTGATTGCGAATGGGGTAGGTACCCAGCAGACTTCTTGAGTGTTATTCTAAATTCAGGAATGATTCACAAGAACTTGCTTGGAGAGATTCATTCTCAAAGTATTTGAATAATTCAGTGGGTTAATAAGTTCATATTTGTTTTGGAAAGTTCCGACCTGAAGGCGCTTAGCATAAGCCGTGACCTTGACTAACTGGTACGTAAGATGACTTATGCTCGTAAGAAGCTCCATGAATGTTCTGGAAAAAGAGGAAAAAAAGCAGTGAAGCAAATGTAGATGTGACCAGATATGACCGCTCATAGTGAAGCGAACAATTTATTGGTTAATCTGTAGATGAAACTCAGATAAGATGCGTAAACTCAAATGAATATAGTTAATAATTCCTCAAACTAGTGAGTACAGAAGTAAAGTGTAATGAATTATAAAGTCAGTATATCGCAAGAGAACATGAAGTAAGAATGTTGGACTATATCCAGCAAGAATAGTGAGGTTTGTGAAAAACATTGACAACCATAATGTTCATTTTCCATATTTTTTCATCTAATACCAACCTGTAAGTCATGCTGTGTTTCATTGAGCATTTAGTAGGTTATCTTCGTAGAACAGTTATCCCAGAATAAAACTGTAAACATGAGTCTAAAGAGTAGTAAGAGTAAAAGAGCTAACTCCGTTTCACCACTATTAGATGTACTATACTAATATATAATGAAATGTCAGCGCAGCATCAACATCAGAAATAATCTTTAAACATACCCCTAGCATCTTTAACTTTCCAGACTGATAGTAAGAGCAAGCACGACCAAGCACTCAGACTGATGATTATTATCAAACAACAAGATACACATCCCAATACCAAAGTTTAGAGCTACTAATAAGTATGATAATATTGGATTTTTCATACAAATCCTATCTCTTACAACCCAAACATGAGTGCAGTAACCCTCAGAATAAAAATGTATTATTACCCGACCCATCCAGCCGGTAAAAATAACCCATAGTTTTAAAACAGCCATAAGACCATGTAATTACGTGTGGCAAATCCTCACTAAGTAAAGACTGATCCAAATAAATATATAACCAAGGCTAAAGGTTGTAGGATCAACACTATACTAAAAACAGTGGAGTGCTGCTTAATCAAACTATTCGACTGTGTTTGAAATACAGAGTCTTGTGATAACTCTGGAGGGACATGTAGCTCAAGTCTTTTCACAAGATATGCAGAGCATATGCTCACTTGCCCTGCACAACCTCATAGGTGACATTCTCACCTCTGCCTTAGGAATGACGACCGCAAGTAAACCCTAGGATGATGGTTAAAATGTTGTCAGAGGTAGCACAATATCTACTTGGTGACAATCTAATCTTAACCTCCAAAGATGGGTTTCCGAAGTGATGGAGATGAGATGCATACCAACTATACTACCTGAATGCTATAACCCAAGTACAAGTCAACGGGTAACTAGTATCTGTCTTATTTTCCAACTTTAATAAATCTTTTGATATTATCTCACGCAGAAGGCCTCTCGCCAAACTTAAGTCATTTGGAATCAGTAACCCACAACACTCGAGTTTTGCTTCATTTCTAAAATGACTGCCAGTAAATGGTAGAGTAAAATATGGAAGAAATGAGTACTACATCAAAAGCTACATATAGATAAAGGCCTCACTGACTTTATACAGGCTTTCGACACAGAACCTCACAACCTACTTTTGTCTATGTTAAGCAACATCGGGATCTGATGCAACTTACTGATTTGAATCAAGGATTTACTAGTTCAGTGCCCAGAAGGAGCACGGTTTAACTCCTAGTTGCCTACCTGGGAAACGTTGCATAGCAGGGTGGCCCAAGTTACAACTTTGGAGCCGGTATTGCTCTCCTGTATTTAAACAACCCTCTTAACCACCTATATCAGCTTTTTTATGTGCTGTCGATATCAAGGTGAGAAGAGTGATCGAGACGAACGTGATAGTTTACAGCTTCAAAATGACCTTCAGATATTATTTGAATGGTTTAGAATTTCGCTACTTCTAATACATGTTTCCAAGTGCATCACCATATACACTGGACAAATGCACCGTGAATAACAACGAGCTACCTGATATCAAGACACAGAATAACTTAGAAGTTATCAATAGCCAAGACTTGAAAACCACAGCACATTGCCATGCAATAGTCGCCAAATGTTCTGGAACCATATGGTCTATAAGTAGAGCCCTTAGCAATGATCATGCTAAGACATCTTTGACTTTAATTGAGTATTCGTTCATCGTGTTCGGAAGTGCTGTATTCAAGCGCCCAGAAAGTGTCTAGAAACGTCACAGAGTTGTTGGAAACTGTCCAAAAAACCGCAACTGGATTGATTTAGAGAATTTCAAGGTCTCAGTAAGACGAGGGGGTGGATGAATTACACTTATTTCCTTTATTATTAAGCGGCATCAAGAGTTGCATAACTACAGTTATCATATTACTCTCTTGTTTTTTTCAAAAATATGAATTTATGAGGACACTCGAAAAATGATCACAATCATGGAACAAATTACTGATTATCAACTTTCTCACTGAGGCATCAACGGATGGAACTCGTTACTTCAACGCGCGATCAAAGTTGTTAAATCATTCACAAGAAAGTTGGATCATTGCTAGAACCAACACAGATCACTTAGCCTCCTGTTCTTTCCAAAATTAAAATGAAACTGAACTTCATTCGCATGAGTATTTTCATTCACTAAACTTGCATCCGAACTAAACTGGCACATTGGTAGTTTGACACGGTTTGTCTCTTGTCACACTGAACTAAATGATTAATTTTAGCATCCTTTCAATCCCTGGGCCATTCAACCTGGGTAAGTGTCATTGAGGGATGTCAGCGACTGTGGATACAGCCGATTAGGTTATAAGCTACTAAGCGATTAAAGAACGGTCTCTTTAGTTATATATACCAATTCTACTGCTAGTATCCAGGTGATGTGGCAGTGAAAAGTGGAGTTATTGAGTGGCTGTAAACTTGTTACACTTATCTCTAACCGAAGCATCTACACTAACCTATCAAACATGTCTACGTTTTGTGCGAACACAATCACTCTGAACAATTACGGCCAACGTATGCCTTCAACTTAATAAACGAATCACTAATATCAGTTTTTATATTTTCATGGTCTCCGGCTTCCGTTATTGCTGAGCATTTTCAAATACTTTTTTATTAGCTCTCAGTTCATCTTGCATGCTCACTGAGTTATTGGATATATTTATCATCCCTATTCTTTGCCTAATTTTTTTATATATTTTCTCGTCAAACAGTGCACCATTATGCTAGAAATAAGCGATTACGTTTGCTCACTGCCATAATGGGTTTAATTCTAGGATATTTTTGGCTATCGCATATATCTCGATAAATTTTTGTACATAAGTTTGGACTCCGTTATAGATTTCTAGTTTAAATGGCTCAATGAGTACACCTATCGGCAGAAGTTGTATTCGATAGTATTATTAGACATTGTTAACCCTTAACATAACGCATTCAACATTCTCAATTTATTCGTGTGAAACTAGTGCGAACTAGTTAAATTCCATCCTCTCCTTTAAGTACTAGGGTACATTTCAAGATTCTTGATGTCATTCGATAAAAATAGTATGACGAACCAACTTCACTAGTTCAGGTGAATACTTTAGCCATTCCGAAGTTAGCAAATTTTGAGTCTAAACGAACACTCAGTTCAAACCAACAGCCACCACATCAGTTATCTGGAGACAGACAGTTTGCGGTATGAAAACTGAAAAAATAGAGTGTAGAAGAGGGAAGAAATGAAAACGAATATTTTTACTGGATGCAGATAGAACGTCTGTCAGGTAAAAGCAATAAATGGGCAGCAGATTATATGGTGGGTTCTGAACTTCGTACAGAAATCTCTAGTATACATTAGATTACACTAATCAAGGCTCACAAGAACTAATCACAGCACTTCCAATTCTTTTTCTAGTGCATTTTTACATCCCCCTACTTGATGTACATATTATTACTAATATCTCTTAGCTTATAATTATTTATGTACTTATACTGTAGTTGGATACGCTAGATGCCAATAGTCCGTTTGAAATTATCGCTCTGTAGACTTGAAAAATGAGTGACCATACTTGGTGCGATTTCGCAACAATCGTGAGCCTTAAGTTCTGGGACAGGATAGTAGATGTCCTCGGAGAATAGGCACAGAACACCTTAGTGGTGATAAATGAATACAGCATTTGTCAATGTGGTGGTGTTTGGTTCTCTGAGCTGGTTGTTTGGGTCAATGTCGATGTGTTTGTTGATTGCTGATTGATCTCAGTGTCAACTTCATAAAAATCATCGACCAAAATCGTCAACGCAAGCGAAATCAAGTACAGGAACCAATAAACGGATCATCCTACCATACATAAAAGACATATCGGAACATACAGCACGACTACTTAAACTATTTTGAATGGGTGTGGCACACAAACCAACAGAATCAGCTCAATCAATCATATGTAGACCAAAATACAAAATGACAAAGGAAAAAGAAGAAAATATCATCTACAAAACAAATTGCTCAGACTGTGAAAAACACTACCTAGGACAAAGCAGACGGCCTCTTCAGCTTTAATTACGCGAACCCAAATTAGCAGTCAAACGCCACGACAATTCTTCGCTTATATCAGTACACACCGGCAATTAAGGACATACATTCGATTAGGACAATGTGGAAATACTGGGTAGGGGAAGGACAAAGAAAACAACAGAATTTTTAGGGGATTGGCTCTCAGGCCAATCAGCAATCAACAAGCACATCGACATTGACCCAATTTATCAACCAATCAGAAAAATCATTGGTGACATAGGATCAAGAAAGAGGTCAAAAGGGGAATACAATCAAAACAAAGGTGCAAACATTGACAAGTTTAAGGTCAACAACAACCAATCAAGATCCAGGTTAGCAGAACAAGCTACAGGTCAAACGTGGAGAAATTCGAATGTTTCACTTCTATCCGAATTTAGTGCTGATGATGTTGTTCAGAAGGGCGATGAAAGCTCCACAACCAAAACAACCAGCTCAGAGAACGAAACATCAGCACATTCATCCACCTGGGCTACAAATTTTCTCCACCATCTCAGCATTGTCAATTATTTGTGGTACACTCTTCTGTTCCCTTGTTCGAACCACGATAAGCCTTTGTACGCATGAACTGAATATAAAGCTAATAAACCAGCCGAAATCAGTGGACAAGGACCTAAAGATTCAAATTCAGAACAAACGAAAAACAGTTCACGGCGTTACGCCTAATTTTCGCTCTCATCTACAACCCATGACATTTTACAGAATCTAGAAATATTGTGAATCAAGCGTTCGAGAATCAAATGAGCTTTTTAAGGAACATTCAGCTCATAATAAAACAATGCTATAAGTGGTTAACGGTTCTTGTAGTACTTTGAATTGCCATTTTTAATCTGGTTTTCCTTGAAAGGATGGATAACATGGAATTCGACCTAAAAATCTTAGCTGGATATTAATAAAATCCATCTCTGAATCTCAGCAAACGTGGCGTACATGTTCATCCATGTTCAACCAGTCCTCCATTTCTGATGGCTGTGACGATCCACTAATGGGACCAACGTATGTAACTTGTACTTTTTCCTTTGTCATTTTGTATTTTGGTCTACATATGATTGATTGAGCTGATTCTGTTGGTTTGTGTGCCACACCCATTCAAAATAGTTTAAGTAGTCGTGCTGTATGTTCCGATATGTCTTTTATGTATGGTAGGATGATCCGTTTATTGGTTCCTGTACTTGATTTCGCTTGCGTTGACGATTTTGGTCGATGATTTTTATGAAGTTGACACTGAGATCAATCAGCAAGTCACGAATGAACTTCTTTTTAACATAGTCGCCTAGCTCAAAACAACACCTGTATCCTACAGATGATGGTTTTCTTAATCCTCCAACTTTCTACCACATATAGCAGGACATTTGTAATGAAAACCCTGACTGTGTTGTTAAGTGATAGCTGCTATGAGTCCCAGATGCTAATGAGTTGTAGAAATACATCATCTGCTTTGCTACTTCGTGTCTTTACATCGACATCAGATCCACCTTGTTTATCAATGATACTGTCTAGAAATGTGGAGGTTACCTCATTTTCCAAAGCTTCACCATCAAATCTGATTTGTTGGGTGCACATATTGTTGTAGAAGACGATCTTACTTTCAGTCTTGTCTAGGGGTACTGATTCAGAGGCTGCTGCTATAGTGGCTGTCTTCTCGTCTGTTTATAGTTCGGTTATCTGAGGAGCGGAAATCGTTTAGTTGCATGCCAGATGACCACAGTATTCCTTGCTTCCCTTGGGGTGGTTTGAACCACGTGCTCACCTCTATTCTAGATTTGCCAACCTCCAAATGACTGATGTGTTCATTAGGACTAGTGAAGTTGGGTAGTCAGACTTCTTTTGCTGAATACCGTCAAGAACTTTAGATTGTACTATAACACATAAAAGATAGTATGGACATTAACTATATTTTACTAGTTTGCCACACGGACATTGAATATTGTTCGCTAATGGAATTTGCAGTATAACAAAGTCATTGATTTGTTATCGTGAATGGTCTGCAATCACGGCATTAGCAGTCTCATATTCAAGGAAATTTCATGCCCAGAGAATGTTTCTAATATACCTCTGGATCTCAATTGCATTTCTTGCCTAATGTCTGTCATTTTCGATCAATCTTTGGAGCATAACATCCGTCAACTATATGTAAACAAGTTTTTAAAATTTCTTGAGACCTCCAAACTTCATCATGAGACTACAGTCTGCAGCCAAACGTCAGTCGAGAAATCGATAACTACTATTTTAGGTAATTCATTAGATCTTAAAGTATTGCACTCAGAGATGAATTCTACAGAACTCCCTAGGAAGAATCAATGTATTTTTACGGGTAAATACCAGCTAAGAAACAAAGTAAAACGACACTAAAGGTTTGCAATGTTTGCTTCTTCTGGCTGGTCCTGAACTGAAGCTGAAGTTCCTGAGTTACGTGTACTATCAGGCAAGAAGTTACATTCTATTTTATTCGTAGGTTATTTCAAATATCGACAAGAGTCAGAAATACACCTTTAACTTGAAGCTGTTTTGCAATATGTTGGACAATTTCGCAGCTGTTCATCCCGATCTTTTAAGTATTTCTTGGTTTATTTCTAGCATTAGATGTAATCATGAATTATATTTCTGTATTAATTAGTACCGTATCATCTTACCTGAACCCATCATCACTTGTCTACTTAAATTCTCTCCTTAAGCATCTTCCGAGAAAATGTTTTGAATCAGTAAAGATGGTCTTTCAGAAAGTTGTGCAATTGATCCTTAGAAACAAGAGTAGGGACGTTGTGGAATCCGGGCTAGGTTTACTGAATTAGTTTAATATTTATAATTGCACAGATTGTTTGCTCAAATTGTCCATCTGCAATCGGAGCTTCGTTGATGTGTGCAAATACAGAGAGCTTCCAGTGGTTTTGCGTGCCCTTTTGAATTCTCATGATGATCAAATTAAAGGAATTACGCTTAAATTTATTGAACTCTTAGTTAATAGCTTTAATGGTGATGCGACTAGATTGATTTGTACTTCTGGTGTTATCGGTATGTACGATCTTGTCTAACTTATTTTAGAACTCCTGTTTGAAAATATTTCATTCAAAAACCCATATTTCAGGTACTGCTTTTGTTTAGCGTATTATAACTTCAGCAACGTTTTGAAATGCTTAGAAATTATAGGTCCAGAAGCAGAGTTGATGTCTTCTAGTTTCCTACCTCATGGTGAGTTCTTTTTAAGGCTGATGGTCATTTTGTTTACTTAATAGGAATTAGTCAGATTATAAAGGCGATTGATTCGAGCCATGAGCTTAAAACCAAACCTTTGTCAAGGCTCATTAACATCACAAATAGTTTCATAGTGTAGTAAGTTGGTAGATTACTGACATCTATTCAGAAGTTATAATGGTGCATTAGACCTTTTTATATGTCCATCAAACTTAGGACAGTTTCTGAAGGTCATTTCAGACATTGTGGAAGACTGCACACCAGAAATTTGGTTTTTAGGAATAATTTGCGTCATTAATATTTTCAAGTAAGCTGCTTAAGTAAATTTATTTGCAGGTTTGAAAGGCAAACAGGAATTATGCCGTTTAAGGAGCTCAACAAATTTCTAGAATCTGTTGAACACGTTTCACGTAAACAAATGTGTAATTTGAGGCATGTTCTCAAACAACCGAATGAAAATTTAGTCACACAGTCAAATAGAAAAACAGAAGAAAAGTTTGTGTATATTTTACTGCCAACTTTGCTGAGTTTGTTACAGGAAATACATGCGTAAGTTCTGCTTTGATAACATCAGCAAATTCAGCTTCTTGTATAAGAACAAAAAAATCGAGGTAAAAGTATCTGAATTCATTATCGAAACTGAATATACTCTCACGTATATATTTTTTTCTGTAGTAATGAATTTAGTTTTTGTAAGTTTTATTCTAACTAATTCTTATCTTTTTAAAGCAACTGATAGCAAAAAATGTTACTGTTGAGGACTTACTATCTGTGCTGAAAATAACAACGCTGTACGCTTACGGAATATGCTCGGACATTGTAGTGAACGAGATTATCAATATATGTGGAGGAGTATCCGAGCAGTTTCAGAATTTCAAAAAATTTATTTCGAGTGTTTTGAGGAGCAAAATTTACGAAAGCTTCACATTACTTCTGCCACTTTTCTACAAGATTTGCTTTTTGACTAATACTCAGGACTCTAAAACAGCAGTATTTTCATCTGGCTCCTATGCATTAAAAAATGAAAAGCAGTAACTTCGTTTTCCGTTATGTTGCTAACTAATATTAACTCTAGGGAGATCAGTGCCGGCTTTTATTCCACAAGTTTCTCAAGAGAAGTTTTGCTAAGTATGATAACAATCAACTGCAGTGTGTTCAGCGATTTAAACATTCTACGTCTATCAGGTGGTAAACATTTAACTGATGTACTAAAGAAGGATGAGTTAAAATTATGGATTTCTACTTTAATTCGTGGGTTTAAACATTTTAGAAGTAAGTTTAGAATATAGTTAACGATATAAGTTACAAGATCATGATCGTTTTCAATAATAATATTAACTTTTATGAATCTTACAAACATTGAGATTTTTAAAATATATTGGCGTCCCAAAAGTCCGCATTCTTTTTTAAAGAAAATATGAGCCACTTACTTCAAAGAACAATATTATCTAACTAGGTTATCTAAAGCTGAAAAAGGTGTTCTAAATGACAGTTTTTTTACATTTAGTGGTGTTTTTATTACCAATTTGAAATCGTAGTTTTAATATTTTTTAAATCTATCGTCGTAGACATCATAATCATATTGCTTTAAATAAAAAAAGTTTTAGCCCGTATTTGATCATATAAGTTCAATGTTTTTGACTAAAATGCTCACCTGAAACAATCACTGCTTAGATTACTTATTTTTATTTGATCACTGTCTTTTATTACCAAGGTGTGGATTTCGAGTATCTTGAAAAATACATGGAATTGAGTATCCGAGGATATGAATTTATTGATATCTCTGCTTCGGCGATTTCTGTTATCTGCGTTCTATTTAACAGTAACATTAAACATACTACATTACAGAAATCCTTTTTGGTTGGACCTAAAAGTTCGTTTAGGTAAGTGATATTAAGGAGGTAAATCTAGTTTGTCACAGCTTTACTCGAGGTTTAACTATATAAAAGAAGCAAACCTTTAGTTTGATAAAGATAGTTGGTAATCTTTGAGGCATTTTTGCTCACCACAGCCCATGACAACAGAACACATTTGTTTTTCATGTCACAAAAGTTTTTACTGACCAAATTTATTTTGTTGTATGTTTTATAGCATAGTGAACTACATCTTACCAACTGTTTACTTATGATGTTATTTTCACATCGTAGTTAATATCGTTTGTCATCACACTTTATGTAAGAAGACTGACAGAATCTCATCAATTTACTAGGCTGTGATACGGAAATTATATCTAGTAGACTTCTGAACAGTTAAAATCGTTTTAGTGGTAGCATGCATATATATTATTTTCATTATATGGTCACAACTAAATTTCGTATGTACTAGAACTAATCTGCATTTAATTAAATGACTTACTATTGATTAAAGAGATGAAATTTCCTACTTCGTTATCAAAACCGATATCACCTACTCTTTCCTAGACGTTAAATCTAATTAACTACAGAAATGGATAATAATAGACATTCACAGATAAACAAAACCATCATTTTAATAGTTGTCTACTTTAGAGTGGTCAGTGGTTTTAACTTAACTCAATAATCTCCACAACCTCAGACTAAAACCCCATCACCAGTTAAACAAAGCAACTAGATGAGTGAGGTTCTGTTTGAAATAAATATACGCCAAGTGTGTCACTGAAATACAGTGCGGTGTACTTTTTCTACAGCAGTTATCTACTTTTCGAAATTCAGTGCAGAAGATATGATTACTGAGCCTCTAGCTCTGTTTCGCATCCCTAAACGTTGACCAATATTACGTGACAAATAAAAATTGCCGATCAAAATTACTTTCTAGCACCAGCTTCAAACCTTATTGGTCCTTTACTCGATATATTCTTTCTTTGTGCCCTGCCTCTTAGTCTAGAAGTGTTTAGCCAGCTCCTAAACTAAGGGATTGAACTTGATAACAGATTTGTAAAAATAATGTCCAGTGAAAATCAAGTACTCGTCAACTAGATCTTAGAAGAAACAAATGTTTGATCTACTGTAGGTATTGATTTAAATACCATGTGATTAAAAATTTGTTGTGAGTCAAACATGATGCCACGGATATATAAAATTTATGAAACTATTAATATATGTAACTGGACCTAATTCATTCAGACTTCATTTTAATCAAAACTGTCCTTACAAAATGCTATTACTGATACATAACCTAGCTGTAGAAGTTGTTCAAACTTTATTTATTAGCCTGCCTACGATACATGTAAATAGGCATCTTATTTTTCCCAACCACCTGACGATTCTACTGGACAATGTCAGTTTTGAAAGTATAAGTTAAGAAATTTACTCGTTCAACCTTTAAATTCTATAGCCCATTTAAAATGTAAGGAACTTAAATAGCATCTGAGCCCCGCGGTTGGCCATTTATGTTTCGATAGCTTAAAAAAAGTGAAATTCCATTCTGTCTACGAATGCGCCTCTGATCATCTGTAGTTTTTATCAATGAAACAATTCTTGAGATAAACACATTCATTTAGAAAAACAGGGCTATATATATACATATATATATATATATATATATATATATATATATATATATATGGGCGATATACATGAGAAAAATACGTTATATATGTACGAATTATTTATTTCTTGAATTTAATGTATATGGTTTCAAAGAGAGGAGTGAAAAACATTATTTCTGATCTTTTAAACCCAGGTATCGTGTTATTCTGCCAAGCCAAACTATAAAGCAAATAATTCAGTTTCCTACCAAAGTAGGAGTAAACTTCTTTCTTTTGGTTTCGGTTCTAATCACTATAGAATTTCTCATCACATATACGGTAAAGAAGTGTTTATCTTTGCTAACTGGTTATTCTTCTAGTGTTTGCCGAAATTCTGGAATTTTAGTGATAACTCTTCAGTCGTTGGTGAATATAATAAAGGTATTTTGCTGTAGCTTTGAACACGTATACCTGTTTATCTGAGCACAAAAGTGTTACATCCTTTATATAACTTACTGACTAAGCTTATAATGTGTTTCCTAAGTAATTTTAAATTTAAAACAATCTAGAAATCTTGCAATTGGATTCTTCGAAAATAGCATTGATAATAAATCTCAGTATGATATTAAAACTAATTCAGAACTGGCCACTTACGTTTAGATAAAAAATGAGTTTCTGTCTGCAAACAGATGGAAATTCAATATAATAAACTTTGATTCAATGTTACTTACATTCTTGAAAGGCAGAGTATACAAAGTGCTGATACAATGTAATAGATGATGTTGAATATTTATATGTATTTGATCTAATATGTTTGAAAGTTTTTTGCCAAATCCGACAGTTCTTTAGAAACGTGACTGTTAAAATATTCATAAGCTATAAAGGTATTTAGTTGAATCCTAGAGTAAATCTGCCATAATTATCTGCTTTGTTATATGAAGTTGGTTGTAGTCCTCCTAAACTTTAATGAGAATATGAAACTTTTTTGGATTCTAGGATAAATAAGTCGCTTTTCTATGTACATAAGAAAATAAGTCGTAAATGTATGCTTTTCAAACTATTAATTCTTTACTTAGATTATTCAAGACCATGTTACGAACATAAATTGTGATATTTGTCGAGAAAACTATCCCATCTAATCATAATGTGAATTTCTATCACCAAGTATATTTTAAGGTCATGTAGTACCAACGAACAGTAACCTCATAATAAACTTACTGGCGTTTTCTCCTTCATACGTGTTCATTTATACGTAGAACACTGCTATTTTTCACCGATAAAGTTTTTAGAATTTTGAAAGCTAACCTGCATTACCTTAAACTTACTAACCGTTAACATGTGGAACGTGAAAATTCATTATGTTATGACGACGGTCTTCATTTTATAGGTTTAGATATATTGTCTTTAGCGCTATTTGATCGTCTGCAACCTGTACATACTCTGGTTCTTTTGCACACTCCGCGATTTTCTACTTATTTACAAAACTGCAGTCCCTGTTGGATCAAAATAGCCCAAAAAATTGTAAGTTGAAAGTATTTTTCGGTCAAAGCGTAAAATCTATTGATTGCTTTGGTAGGGACTAATGTCGATCGTTTACTTATTTTGACCTCTTCCTAAAAATTGCTGAGTTAAATGATAGATCACTAACACATTTGGCATTACAGAAAGATTGGATACCTCGATACCATTTAACCTTGCGCTAACTTTTAAGAGAATACTTAGTACCTGAATTGTATATCCAAAACTGCTTATCAAACCATAGGCTTACGGCTGCATACAACTTAACGAAAACATAAGTTCCGAATCGTAAAAAAATTTTATCTGGTGTTGATAATTACTTCAGATAGTAAAAATTCCCAAATATTCAAACATACTCAGATGTAGTTTATCCATCATAATATGTTCTATTTGCTTTGTTTGAAGATATATAAACATATCTCTGTCATTTCAATACAATTCGCAGTCTTTTTCGAAGACAACTAGAATGTACCTAAAACAGTATATTGATTTATAACTAACTTATTACTGACAAGCTCACATACAAGTATAAAGGTCGAATCTAAGAAATACAATAATATAGGTATTTTATTAGTAATGATTGTCTATCGTTCTGTTTAAACTACCATTACTTTTCAAGACTGAGAATATATACTAAGTTACGAAATATGGATTTCTGCTATCAGAATACTTATATTTTATTCCATATTTAGTTTTCGGAAAGATGTATATCGATATTACGGTTCGAAAACAGTCATCCAAAAGAGACTGAGTAAAAACAGAATATAGTCAGACTTTTTGTAAATTTCTTTGTTGTTTACCAGTTATTGTTTACTATTGGGGATAGTATGTAAAATCATCCAAAAACATTTAGTAAAACCAGGAACACTTAAAATTTGCTATCAGAGTCATTATATAACTTAGACCCTTTTAGTGATCTTTGCTTGTTAGTACTAATAGTTACATCATGACGTAAACAGTCTGGTGTCATTTTACGCCTAAAACTCGTTGATCTCTGTTCTTAAATAATTAACTGAAAGAAGAATGAAGTGCCTACAAACAGAAAAATGTCAGCCACTAATTATAAGATAACCAAGGCAAATAGAATTATACAAAACAATGCGCTGATCAGTTTATATAGCCAAGATCACTTTCAGACATTTATTGTTTTTATTTCGACGTAGATACTACAGTGTCACAGTGATGAACTACTGATTGAGAAACAAGTATTTTCACTGCTTCCCACAACTTACTTCTTATTATCCAATACTTGGGTGAGATTATGATTTCTTGATTAAATGTTTATTGCCCTAAAACATTTATTTTACAATCATGATTATTCTGATTCTTTTTGAATCGTAAAAGAAAATACCTAAAAATATTTCTGACTTACGCTTAGAATAATTATGATTCAACTAGTTCATTAGTTAGACCCTTGGAAATACTGGATAATATTTGAAGTCTTTCGAATGTCATTTGTTTGAAAATAAAGTAAATATATAACCTTTAACAAGCAAATTATACTCTCAGTCAATCAGTCAGTTACAACGTAGAATGTCGTACGTACGAACATCAGTTATTGTCGATTCAAATCCTAAGTAGTAGAGGTAGTAGAAATTTGAGCAGTAATCGGAAAGACCACAGTCCGAAGATATTATTCAAGAAGTGTAATCCAGTGAAATAGATTTGAGACCAGAAACATGAAGGTCATGAGGAGTTCAGATTAGAATTTGAGTGAACACAAAAGATGGATGCAGCTGTGCCACTGCAAACGATTTTGATCCATTTCGTCCAAGGTCTCTAACTATCGGTTACTATCATCTTGCGGACCACAACCAGGTAGCCTACATCTACCAATATGACTCAGTCCACTAGTCAATGACTTCATGGATTTGTGCCTTGTTTTGCTTTGGTCACCCCTAGCTTTCATCCAACCTACTCCTACACCGTAAAACGTCACTCGTTGAGGCAGTCTACAGTCGGGCATTCCTAACACATGTTGCAGCCACCTAAATGGATGAAGTTTCGATACTCCATCTATTGATATGCCAACCTTAACTAGTACCCGTTTCCTAAAAATAGCACAACTTCCTCGGTGGTCCCAGGATACACGAGCAATGCTTCGGAGATACCTATAGTCGAAAACCAGTAACATACAAAGATTTTCCACTCTTACTGGCCATGTTTCACAGCCTTATAGGAGGACGGCGCGAACTGCTGCGCAATACATTTGTCTTTTGGTTAGCAAACGGATATGTCGCCTACTCCATAAGTGCCTCAAGTTGGCAGAAGCCAAACGAGCCTTCTGTATCCGTGCTGAGATTTCGTCACACATCAGGCTATCAGCACTGATGCGACTCCCAAAATAAGTGAAGTGGTGGACACGCTCAACTGCTTCACTTCCTATCACTAGTTCAAGCGCCAACACAACCAAATCCTGAAGCAACATTTTGCATTTTCACGCAGAGAGTCGCATCTCAAACATGCTTGCATTGTTGCTTAGGATGGTCAGAAGACTCTGCATTTTGCCGGTCTTCACCAAGTAGATCTATGTCACCGGCATATTCTAGGTCAACAAGCGAACTTCTTGGTAGAAGTTCAATTACTGAAAAGTCAGATGATCAAAGTGTCGTATCTAAAAGCATGTCAATGACAAAGTTAAACAAAAATAGGTTAAGTGGATTTCGCTGACGAACGCTGGGTAACTGAAGTATGGCTAAAGGCCAGTTGATCTGATCCCTAAACTGTTCAGCCCATCGATCCAATCTCCTGGATTGAAAATGGATAATATGCCCATCCATTTCGAGAGAGTTTAGCTAACAGTCGAATTCCGAATTCCAGTTTCCTTGATAAGTCAAAACAGTTGTTTAATGTTACCTATCGTCGCTTCCATTGCTTTCGCTTTCGCTACCCACCACTGCTCGCAATCATTGCGTAGGCTTCTTATCAGCTTGCGCTTAAGCTGACCTCGCTCTTAGTTATCTTCAGAGCCACACGGGATGAGTATACGAGTAACAATCAGTTCGGCAGATGCTACTGAGACCTACTGTTTCTCCCTAACCTTATAGTCTACCTTACTAGCAGATATCATTAGTTTCCACAGCTTTTTGGATATCATTTTAAGCTGCCTCAGGGTGGGCATTACTTACATGGCCGCCTAACTGTTTATCTAGCTGTTCCTGAAATATATTCTTAACTATGCTATCATTAAGTAGAACCCTAAGAGGTTTCCTTGAAGTGTCTTTATCTGAGATATTTATCTGGTCTTCTCAGTAATGTCGTAATATCTCCATATTATAATGTTCGGCTCTTCATTGTCCTCAACTGTGCGTTTCATGCTAAGCCTGCCTTAACTTAGAAGTAAGAGATGTATCATATGATTCAGGATGCCTACTTCACTTCCTAAATAAATACCACATAAATTTAGGAGCTTTGAATGGTATGAACTGCCAAATTATATATCTTTATCGAAATTCTGACCTCTTGGTATATAGATCTTATGCTCTTCGAGGAATCCGATGATCACAATTCGGATTCCTGATGAAATAAGTAGCCCATATTGCTGATAAACCCTAAATTATTATTTAATGTTTATTCAGACCTCTCCGATTCATAATAGTTGTTCAGCTAATATCAGTCCATGACCTAGTTTCTGTCCAAAGTAAAGAAGTTAAATTTTAACTACTTAAATGTGGCAGATATCTCCTACTGATACGATAAAAGTAGCTAATAAGCTACAGGCAGTTAACAATCTGGCGTTCACTGGTTTCAATAACGCACTTTTTAAATAAATCGATTTGATTTTTACCGCTAGACTGTATGGTATAACAATCTGCTGAAATTCGACAATCTGGATATCCTTCAGCGTTTAGTGTTAACGTTCGAAAAACAAACACTCAGCTTAAAGGTTAGTTTTTGATAGTCAATAATAAAATTTCCATTCAAAATTACTTCAGATATTTTTTGTTTGAATATTTTCACTTACTTAGAAAATAGTATACACAGTATGTTATTACCGTATATTCACCGCATTGTCCCTAAAACATTGTCCTTGAAATTGAAGCAACTGAAAGATATCGTTATAATAGCGGATCATGACTGAGTAGCCTGAAGATTTATGTGTATATTAGAAAAGGTTTATCATGTTTGCTTTCTAGGACGAACTATAGAAAGTGACTAGTGGACACTTTATGTTGTCTGAATCAAGTTCTTGCCTTTTACTCGTAACTTACAATTTAATTTCGAATCGTATCCATAAACACCTCTAATGAATACAAAAATTACTATTTACTGAAAGTTACTTTTTCTGTTAGTGAAAAATTTGTTTTGTTTTAGTTTACTTTCATCAAAACTGCGTAACTACAGTAAACTTTGACTCACAAATCTTTATACATTGCATTTCACGCATAAATTTTTCTCGTGCATCAAAGATTTTATGTTTTATAAACAATAGAACTCAGCGATATAATTATTAAAGCTGTGTACATAATTGTGTCCTTTACTGATTTACGAGTTGGTTACAGAGATATTTATACAAACACTGAAATAATCGTTACACTTTTTACACAAGGAAAAGGATGAATCGGAAGGAACAAGTCATTCTTCAGTTCAAAGAAAACAGTTCGCTCTTTATATTTGCGACTGTCTCTCAGAACTTCCAAATAACCTTCCAGGATCTTTCTCAGATGTCTTCGCTTCTAACTGTGAGTCATCTTAAGCTTTTATTTTGCTTGGGTTGCTTGGATTAATAAATGTTTTACTGGATTGAACCTTGAACCTAAGTATATTTAAAAGATATGGTTTTTTAACATTTTACACTAATTTTCGAAACCCAATTCTTTCTACTTTGGTTTGGTACCTAAATAGTATTATATATATAGTGTGACTCAAAGCTAAGTTGGTAAAATATACTGACAGCTTTGAGTTAACCAATCAGAATCAGGATCACGCTTCATGTATTTTGTGGAACATTTGAAGCTGTGATAGATAATTTGCTTGTTACTAATATTAATACAAAATTAAAAATATTAGGTCTTTAAAATGCTTGAAATCAATAAGCATTTCTATTATGCAACGAAAAAGTGAATTTATATATATATATATATATATATATATATATATATATATATATATAATATCAGTGTAAGCTCCTGTTTTTATTATCTGTTTGTAAGAGTCGGATTAGTGTGTACATGAAAGTGATAAATGTTTTGGAAATTGGGATAAAATTTTTATGACCCGCAATCACGAAGCGCTTTAATAAGCCTTAAATTCTGTGAATTCATTTCAAAAACCCATCCTAATCTTTCTTACCATGGAGTGAATTCCTAGTTTGGGTGACTTGCAAGAAAAGCTTTATCGATCAATCTCCCTGTTTCTGTACTAGTAATATGTGCCTCTGTAACTTTGTGCCTTAGGCTGCTAGAATCTATTTGATGATTTTGATGGTCGAGTCGTCTAGTAAGTTTCTGACTCAAATAACTAGTCAAGTTAAATTTCGTAATAGTGAGTTAAGATAATAAACTAAATGACTAAATCCGGAATAAAGTAATCAATGATTAACAACTTGTACAAATTCGAATAACACCGTATTTAAAAAATCTGTTTAATTAGACCTAAAAATTACTGTCAGTACAAGATTTTAGAATATTTCGATCATTTCATTCTATGTGATACAGCGCTGTCGTATTTGGTTATAACAAAAAACCAATAATATTATCCTTGTGAAGATTTTCGTAATTAATAATATTAGTTTCCCAACAGAATGAATTTATTATTCGACTATTGCTAAAAAGTAAAAGAAAAATCATAAAAACATATACGGAATAGACATGATTATATCATTAATAAATAATGGTTTACTGTAGACTCGAAATATATGTTTAATGAATGCACATCGTTCTTGTCTCCAAATAGGGAGGGCAAACATACCAGATAACATTTGAGAATGAAATACAGAATCAATTCCAAACATTATAGATACTGTATTATAGAAACATATAACTACTCTGAATATTAAGTAGTCCTTAGTTTCGTTTATCATAACTAACCACTGTCTCGTATTCGTTTCTAATCTCGAGATGAAATAACCTTCGTAACAGAGATAGTTAATCTTAAAATTGTTGAAAAAAAACTGATTTATTTCATAAATAAAACTCAATAAATTGTTTTTATTCCTAGATGAGCTGAAACACGTGTATGTGAAAATGTTAAAAATAACATGTATGTTTCTACACGAAGTCTTCTTTCATTCTGAGTTTGTAGTCATGGTGGCGCAACAAAGTATGTTTTATTTTTGTTTGTCTACCGAAATAATCCAAGTTATTAAACTTTTAGCAAATGAACAGCTTGATCCTAATTCTTCACTACGGAATGATCTCCTTGAAATTATTTTACACCTATTAATGAATTCTGACAATAATACACAAGTACAAAGTTAGTTAACAGTAAATTCATTTTTTTGTGAATTAAATGTAAGATTTCTGTCGATTTTACTTTAAGTTTAGTTGAACTATAAGAAACATGGGAAGCAATACTAAATAACAGAGCGATCAACATGGTGTTTCTCAAGCTGATTAATGATCATGCTAAGAATATGACGGCTTACTGACAATAATAGTTTTAGGTTGAATTTTACTTCCTAGATATAATATCACATGTAGTTTTGCTTTCTGCGATAAACGGTCCAATCAGAAAACGAAACTCTCCGAAGCCATCTGCATGAGCTGCAAATTATCTTCACCATCTCGAAATTATACAGAGTACTAACCACTTAACCCTAAAGCCCTAAATCATAATTCTCTAACACTAACTTCCAAAACCTAATCTTTAACCGGTTCACTTAAAAATTAATTATATTTTAAGCATTCGTCTTCCGAAATTTCTAATAGGAACTACTTTAGATAGAATACACGTTTCGATGGATGGTGTGCCAAGCCTCACAGCACACATCCGTTCAAAATGATCCAGTGGGTGTAGCTGGATAACAACTAATACTTGTGCACCAAAAAATATTATTTGTCCTATAGAACTAAGAATGCATCGAAAAAAAAATAGGTTAATTAGTATGAACGTCTATATTCTCCCGACAACTGAGCACACTCTATAGATGGTTGTGAATTTTTTTCGTTGCTTTTCAATGATGACTTTCATTTCCTCACCAATTACTACTGAGATAAGCAAAACATTGTATATAGCTTACCGAATAAGTATTAATATTGATCCTTTCTCATAACATCGATAGTATTAGTTTGACCTTACGTGCACCAAAATCTTCACTTTAAAGAGTTACTTTTTGATAATCTTCTGGGTTAGCATATCGATTTCATCATAAACTGATATCAGATGACGAAACAATGGAAGCGTATGTTCGTCAGTCAAACCCTACAAACAGTTCTTAAGAACTTTTAGGAGAAAACGGTAACTAATGATCAAGAACATTTTACAACATGGAAATTACATAAAAATGTTGGTCCTACACTGTTACGAATGCACGTAAACACGTAACTTGATATGCCTGAACTATTACGAGTTTACCTTAGTTGGAAAACGAGAGCGAGGATCGAGGATCCGGCGACACGACAGGCTACTCTAATCAGGTTGTTCCAACCCCCAATGAGTAGAAGAAGAAGACTTGATATGAAGTAGAACATGTATTTTACAAGCATCCAGAAAGTACGAGGTCCGAGTCCAGAAGAAGATAAGGATTGCGGACTAAGGATCTGGGCCATAAATTGTTACAAATTATGCGTATTTATACAGTTAGGTCCAATAGGAAACAACATTGAAGTCTGTGTCATTGACAGTTAGGACGGCCAATAGGAATTGACCAATAGAATTAGACTTACAAATAATTATCTTAGGATATTGGATGAGTATCCTGACGTACTGTACCCTAGATTGACTCATGTTAGCAACTGCAAACTACTAGATTCCAATTCTCTGAATTAACAGTCTTGAGTTTCAGTAAAACAGGAATCCAATGGTTTCGGATAGGTAAGGTCTTCCGAAACAGAAGGAGACTGTCAAATTACAATTGATTCTTACCGTTCTTCAGATCTTGTCAAGTCCTGATAAGAAATGTCGTCTCTAAAAAGTAAATATTCTATTAAAACGATAATTCCTATAACATGGAATATTTGGAAATCCACTCAACACAAAATATTAGGCAATCCGTACCTGTTTATCCTATCTTGATCATCTCTTATATTTACCAAACTAAAAATTTGGTTTTTCCATTTAGTTGTAAAACTGCTGTGTTCAGAAATCAAAACCTGGGGAAGCTGTATTTTCCGCTTTTCAGAAGAGACGTTCAAAAATTCTACAGCTAATCCTTTAAAAATACATACTGAAGAATTTTTAATCACGGCCGCAGAATTGGACTCCATTATAGGGATTGGTGCCTTGGTGAATATTTGTACAAAATATTTGCCAGTCAACCATGATATTGTAGATTCTGTTAGTAGCGTAAGTAAATAACTCTTTGAATCACCTATTTATTCTAACACACTTAAGCCCTCTCTGTATCCGAACATATGCTTTTGGACTCAGTATGATTGACTTAAGTTCACAATAAAAATGTTATTAACTTCTTTAAACGTTGTATCTCACAAAATGCAAATTCTTCTATCACATTAGAGAAGCAGTGTGTCATATTGACTGGGTTCTGCAAACATCATATAATTAGCTCTATAAATTTAATTAAAATAAGTGGGTCTTAGAAGTTTCATCTGGATTAGTGAATCATCCGACACAATCCATGTGACTTAAGACACATTAAGAAGCAGAAGGAGTTGCAACAAAAATCAACCGAGTCCTAGCCATTTCTACAAATCTTATTAGATGGTGAAAGCTAAAGCTATTAGAAACAGATTACCAAATCACTCACTGAGAAAAGTTGTTAGAAAACGCCAATGTTGTATATAGTTATGAATCAGAAAGATTTATCAAAATAAATTAGGAACAGAGAGAATAAATAAAATATGTGCCTAAACCAATATTTATTTACATTTCATTTCCTTTTTATCCAACCATTGCTTAAATGAAAACATTTTTAGCTATATTTTTCCCATGGTTGTTTGTAAATTCTTATTTCATACTTACAAAACTATGACATCCACTTGATTTGAAGAAGTTAAAGTTCAACAGTTAAGTAGTCAGACAGAGAGATTCACAAAAGAAACCCTTGAATCTTCTAAAAAGGAGATAGGTTTTATAACTTTTTGGAAACCATAAGATGTAACCTTTTTCTTCAGGCTCTGAAAAAGAATTGGTTATAATAATAATAGTAGTTTAAAATAACCATTCATTTCCATAAATTTATCGAAATAAGTCGTTTAGTCATTTTACAATAACGTTTCCTTTGGTTTTATTTTTTGTTTTCATAAGACTAAAAAGATTTTGATCTCCTTTTCTTGCAGTTGTTATTCATGAAGCCAGAAACAATCCTAGCAGTTTTGAGTCATAATCCAGTAACAAGTGGATCGCCTTTTATTGAAATCAGTGCACTTATTTGTCTTTTGGAATCATTTTACGGACCGCTGTCTCATCTCCTATGGTCAGATATAGCTGAAAATTCGAACGAAAACTATTATTGTGAAGTGAGTATAATTACTCCCTACTAATGGTTTACAATTACGCGATTGCTCTAATGAACAGGAACTGATGTTATGTTAGTGTCATTGAGTACTAAAGTAGTAGACAGTTTACATCGCTGATGTGAAAGATGACTGCCAACAAGCAATCTGTTTCCTGTGGAATGTGATGATAAAACCAGCTTAAAAGTATTTAATTTGACAATGCTTGAAGTACACATTCGCTCCTTAGAATTGACATTGTTTTTCTGTCTACCATGTTCATTCAGGAACTTATCTAAATTAGTAGGAAATTTGACGATTTTGTGGCTCATTTATAACTTATTTAACAGTGAGGTTTACTGGCATGGCTTAGGGATGATTGCTCAATTTCTTTTCTAATGAGTTGTTAAAGTGCAGAAGGCTTCATGATGACAGTATTCAATATTCTGTGGTATCATTCTATTTAGTGAGCTTGTTCAAAGTAAAGTGATAAGACATGACTATAAGTGAATATCAAGTAACTATCATGGTCAATCATGTGCAAGTTGCGTGTTTTGTCTGTAAAGAAGAATTAGTCTTGAGTAGTACTTTATGTTTATAATGTTTAGTATTATTGATTCCTGTTAACTTTCTCACAGCTTCTCATGTGCTTGAATACTATGATCATGAACTCAACCCACAAATTTACTCAAGAATTGTCGATTGAAGTATATGGTTGTCTTCTGAGATATATTTGTTTATATACCAAAAAACAATCATTTGTCAGTAAGTTACTTATATTTGCACATTGCTTAGATATGTTCTTATTGACCAGTCCATGGAGTAGTATTATTCTCGAACAGTTAAAAGTAGACGGTTCAATGAATAGTTTTGGAAAGTTTTCATCATCTTTTCTTGCTTTTGTCAATGTGGTATGTGTTCTTGTTCCATACTATATAACCTTTAGCTACTATCGACGAAATGTCCTGCAATTTGTTCGGTTCTCAATAAAAATCAGCTACGGAAATTACTACTAGCTTATATACATGATAAGGATTTGTATGATCCAGTTATCAAGACTTATTTAGGAAGTATATCTCTAAAGGTAAGTAAAAGTAATTTGATTATTCAAATTTCACGAAAATTTAAGATTGCTTCCGAAGAATTTGAAATTCTAGATTCCAGGGAGCGCTTATGTTTAGAAGCTATGGTTGCATCAGATAATTCACAACCTACTGTTAATATCGCTCATCGTTTTTATTTGTTTTATAAAGAAATATTTTGTTTATGAAGACTGACACTTATTGTCTTGTTTCTTCGTTAGCTTTGAACATTTCATAATTAACAAATATAACATATTCCCTGGCAATCAGAAACATAATTCTTATGCCACAAAAAACGCTAACTTCATGCCGCAGGGTCACGTGGTTGTGATGGCAGGTGGCATATGGTACTAAACGGGACATCAGTTAATTTTAGCTGGTCGAACTAGTCTAAACCAAATAAATTTAGATCAGCTGGCATTTTATAACATACACCAGTAAACGTCGAATCTTGGAAAACCACTTAGCATTCTAATTGTCCTAACAAGCGAAGGTAGTTACCACATGCAATACGAGGCTTGTGTGTTGTTCACTGCATGCTTGGGTTGCCCATTTCAGTCTAAATTTTACGTGAGAGAATGGTGATGTGTGATGCCGTATCTAATTGCAATCTAAACAAATGCCCATTAATAGGCTAATTAATTTTCTCTTCCCTGGGGATAAGATTTGACACGATGATACTAGACTCAACGAATTGGTACAGGACCTAGGAACAGTTTTTTGGTACTTCTGGATCCGTTTGACCTCCTCTTTAGACAAAAACCATCTTTATGACCCACGACTTTACACTTCCTGCATCGATGTTGCCTAAATGGGCAGTTTCGCTCATAGTGCTATGCACTACAATGCCAGAAAGGAGTAGGGGGATTCGTTTCCGTCTTTCGGACTGAGCTGGAGTGGGACGGACTGATTGTGGCAGGGGCACAATTATTCTAGTTAGGTGTCTGTTGCACTGCACGTACTTCAGATCGACTAGACCCACCACCCTAAACCACAGTCGTTTCGCGTTGCAGATTAATGAGGCGTTGATACGCATTGGCAGTGTCAAAAAGGGTGAGTTTAGGACCCTGATCCAATCGACACAGTAATCGTGTTCTTATGTCACTTCGCTTCTGGGACTGGAGGCTGAAAATGAGGGCTTTAAACTGGTCTTCAGTCAAAGACTTCAACTGGAAACGTTCGAATTCACGGTTGACGATGCCCATATGTGTAAGAAAATCGTCGTCTTCTTTCATAATTAACTTCAAACATCGATAAAGAGTATATTAAACAATGACGAGTTGTCGCCAAAATATTGACTTAATATCTGGAATGTATCTGAGAATAGGCGATCTCGTGGGTTCAGCTTACTTGCACCCAACTTTCGAAGTAGCAGCCGAACCTTTCAAGCATCATCTTGGTTGGTGAAATCAAATTTAATTAGGTCTTCATAACGCCAGAACCACATGTCAAAAGTAAGGTTGGCATCAGGATCATGATGAAACTCGGAAATGCTATTTTTGATGCCATCTACTGGTGGCGCCGTTGTGGAATTAGATGTGCCAGGCTATATAAGAGGAGGGATTTTCGGTCTTTTTCAACATCTGCATCAGTTTCAGCTGCTGCTTAAGTAACAATTCAAGTTTAGAAGGATCCATGTTTCAAAAACCGCCGTCGCCAATTGATATGCTTGCAGCTATTACCAGTTCACCTTACTCGATAAACGGAACGAAGATCAACGAATCAGTGACACGATAAGTTATTCTAATCCGATTCTTCCAGGCCACGCTAACTAGAGGAAGAAGTCTTGATAAAAGGTAGAGAGAATGTATTCACAGGCACCTAGAAAATACGAGTTCCAAAAGCACACAACCCAAGCTTATTTATACAGTGATAAACGCCCTAGGTGAGAGCCACAAAATATTGTACTAAAATAATCCATCAACTAATGACAGTCAAGGATTTTCCGAGTGGGAAGTACAAGCTAAAGGTCAACTAAACTTGTTTGGTGTGAAAACATAAAAATTCAAAATTTCAGAAATAAATTACAAAATTAGGACCTTTTCCAAGTGGGTTCTGGGAATCTGACATCCCCAACAGTCTTTAAAACGTGTATCCGGGATCAGTTACGATACCTTAGTAAGTGTCATCATCTTAAAATCCCGTCTTTGGTTGTTTGGGTGTGTGTAATGAACGTCATCCCAGCAACTTACACGTCGTGCTGTATTCGCGGAATCTGGGGTGATATACAAAAGGATGAGAGGTAGTCAGTTTATGACACGGAGCCATAGTATGAAAGAAATCTGTCCAGGACTAGAACAAGTCCTTCAATCACGACTCTCTGATTGAGGTCTTAGATATGGTGCGATTCAGTGGCTTGAGACGTTACCAGACATGATTCAAAACAGAAATCAAAGGAAATCCTGTAGTGTCTTTCTTTTACATTGTGTACCGAAAAAATTGTTGGGAACGTATTTAGTTTGGTGCATAGGTGTATCAGTATGTGTGAGAAACGAAATAATACCTGTGAAACTTAACAATTTTAAAAACTAATTAAGAACAAAAATCCCCAAATTCTTCGAGAGCATATCGACTGTATCACTGCATAAATACAAAGGGAAAAATTGTGCAGATAAAAAACCACAATACTACATGAGACAATCAGCGGTGACTGACGTTTACATATATGAAAATTGGTAGAAATGTTTTTTGTATTTTTGTGTATGTATATCATGATTATCGTTGTAGCAGTATATAAAATCAAATACACCATGTGTCTTGTATTAATTTTGTAAATATGTCGCAGGAACCATTTGTATTCTCACCTAGAAAATAATTCTGAGCACACTCACTCGATGGAAGCAATGAGCATAAGTCCATATATGTTGCATCTGATTTTAACTGATCAACAGGACATTCTCCTAAAGTAATAGAAACGGCTTGATAATATACTTCGAATTCTGTATACTCTAGGCGTTTTTGATGATGAACAAAATTTTCGAAAATTTTCAGAACATCCGGTAATGAATGAACTATTTTAGTACCTGTGAACATTTATAAAAATTTAATAGCAGAAAAACATTGAAGTGTTATGTAGAATCATTGCATAACGATAAATACACTCAGAAACTTTGAACTTGAGAAAACTTGAGAGACGTTAAAGAAGGTAACGAATAATACGAGCATTTTGAACTTTTGGTATTTGTGAAGCAAACAAAATTTAAGTTGTAAAGTCAGAACCTACAGAGAATTAGAGCAACTGAGTAACTGATATTCCATATTCAACTCAAAATGGTATAAAAAATGGTAAATCTATGCATACATCAGGCCAAGTATGATAAATGTTTACTTAATATTCTTTGTGTTGCTGTCGTTTTATTTGTCTGAACTGTATTTGTTTTGTTTATGAATCGTCAGCAAATGTAAGAATATCACAACCAAAGTAGAGTATCAGTAATGGGACTTTTCATCATGAGTACAAATTACTGTGTAAGCATGTTTTTATTCGAGTATTTTGTCCGACTTTCTAAGGTACATTTTTAGACCGAAGTGGATGATAATGAGAAGTAAACTGCCTTGTCGTTTGTTCCGCATTGAAAGCAAAACAGTTCGCGACAACAAAGTATGATTGAAATCTAATGAAACCAATGAAGCATCATTCTTTATCAGAACTAGATACATCATTTTTTATAGTTGCAGAAACATTATTAACACAACTAAATAAATGGTATTAAGAGTGTAGCTGCACTTAAACCAATAAACTTACAGCAACTTGGATCAAGCAGTCACTTTTACCAAAGATAAATACAATATTTATGGTATATCTAATTAACTATTAATGAGATTCATTTACTGTATTAGCGAAATAACAAAACAATTTGCAAAAACCAAAATGAATTTAGAATCTACCCAGCTGATTAACGGCCCATTTTGGAGTATTGAAAAATCGTTTAATATCCAATAATTGGATGTGACCAAGTCGATTTGGATCCATTTTTGTAAATGCCTACATGATTGCAGCAAGAAACAATGCAGTATCTCAGCGAACATTGTTATTGCAAAACTAACAGTTTGAAAATAAACCAGTGATAACTGAATGAGCAATTTAAAAGGAGACATGGTATAAATAATGAAGCATGGCCACGTTAAAATATAGCCTACATTGTTACAAATAAATGAAATACTAGTTAATTTACACAATAAAACTACATAAAATTGCATCTATAGTTGTATCACAGTGCATAAACCATTAAAACAGACAGGATCTTTGACTGTTCAGACGTATAAACGATGCCTTGAAATAACTAAAGAGAATCTTAATCCATCGACGATACATAAACCATTTTTTAAGGCTTACATGTTTTAGGATGCTGATAAAAAGTACGAAACCTAAACTATTGCAAGATTCTATGAGAATACAACTATTAAAGTTCCCTTACCGTTTATGTTAGTTAAATTATGAGCCAAACATACAGGTGAAAGATATTAAAATGCATTTTACTTTCCTCTAGCTCTAAGGAACTCACACTAGACCAAACCCAGAACCTTCAGATATCATGCCTGACACAGCACTCTTAGAAAGTGACTGATAATTCGATGGTCATAATTTTCAAACACATTTGTGTATATGTACTACAAATATATGAACCAGATAAACGTACAGTGAACGTACTGATTTAGCGAATAGTGACTGAAATCTACCAATTTACGTAACTATCGGATACAAGATAATGCTGAGACTTATCCTAAGCCATGATAACTAAATTTATAACGATCCCAAATAAACTAATACTGGAACAAAACACAGTTAATAAGTTGAAATTTTAGTAGGTAAAAAGGAATTGTACTTTATTATTATAACACTAACGCATGATACAAATCAGTTAATTTTGTAATAACCTATCCGTGGGTAGTTAATTGTCAGTTAAGATAATCTGGTGATGAAACCTCAGTATTGAGTAACTATATTAGTCGGGACCTCGAATTACATCTGTTTTTACACACGTTGTTGTTAAGTTTTACCTGCAAAATTAAAATATCTCAGCTTAATTTCGAACATATTTTTATACCGATAGCGTTCGACAACTTGATATTATAGTCTAGTACGAAAATTTGAACAAGTACCACGTTAATCCAGGTTGATCAGATGGAGCAATCAGTATGTTGATGTAGATCGAAAACGATTGGGAAGACAGGGGAATAACAAACGTGCACACAGGGAGTCATAATATAGAAATGTATATTTCTAAGAATGAATGGTTAGGTCTACGAGAATAATTATGGAATCATTAATCAGACGCATATTATTCTGGTAAGAGTTAAACCATAAACAAGTTCAGCATGCCTGTGTGAACTTGAAGTTTCTACAGCTGAAAACCATTAACACACTAACCAAATGTATTTGTTTAAACAGAACCTGTTATTCATATAAATGTCAATATATGAGAATTAGAACCCCAATCTTTATACTTCGATAATTTAATTACTTGCTCGTTACTAAAAAAATGTCATAAACTGCTTACTTTCTTAACAAGTGTACGATGAACTTCGGGCAATTCCCCAAAAACAAGTGAAATATAATCTGCGAAATGTACAATTCCATCATAACCTGAATAGGCCTCCAACGCATTCCATAATAAATCGAAGTTCTCTGTCTAGAAAAAAATTTAAAATATTATCTATTAATTGGTTGTTGAAAGTAGTTTTATTAATAGTCTAATAAAGATTTTAAAAAGTAATAATAAAATAGTATGACGAATAGAGAATTATTGATATGATCCTCTTTCATTTTGACTCAACGCCGTCACTATTTATTTTAACCCATACAAAATTGTGTTTGGTACGATTTATCAAATGAAGAAGTAGTTGCACTAAATTAGTGCACAGAAAGTTGTTAGCATTACTATATTGACTGCCGAATGAACGCGTGTGAAATATTTATCTGATCATGTGAGACTGTATGCCGAAACAATCAAATTTATGATAACAGTTATTGGATTTTTGTCCGAAATCCGAAATTCATAGACGGATAGTTTGTAACTTGCTAAGAGCTATGTAAAAAATAAACAAAACTTGGCAGTATACTACTACTTAGACTTGAAAAATTGACAAACACGTGACTAAAGAATATGAGTGAATTTGAGCGATTCTTAGAATGAGTTGGAAATGAAATCACCTTTTAGGGAGAAATAGAAAATAAATAAGCTGGAAACATACAACACACTAACGAGGTTTTTGAATTTCGCCAAGTAACCTGAAATATTTTGTGACCAGGATAACAATCTACATAAGTATTCAGTATTATAAATACAAATTAGTTTCCTACTTCAGTAGTGTACCTAACCCCAACCCCTACTCTACAAAATCAAGGAATTATTCATATGGAAAGACTCATTAATCATGCCAAAACTTCTTATTGATTGTAATTATCACTATTTTATCATAGTTGGTTCACAACTAAACACTGTCTTCTGATTGGCTATCAGGCTATTCAAGGTTGGTGATATAGTCAACTTACTGATAAGAGACCGTCGGAATTTATCAAACATCTAGTGATTTTATTACTCCTGGTGCTAGCTAAATATATTCTTGTGTTATGAAAGATATCTTACTAATCTCACTTAATATTTCTCGTTTAGTACCCAGTAAGTTTTCACCTATCCATTGTTTATTTTCCAACAGCAACACCATTCTGGTGAGTTTCCTGATGTCTCAAGGTTACTATTTCTGTTGTTTTATGAACGTTATGTTTTAATTTACACATGGTGGTGATATTTGCAAGTGTTATAGTATCAGAATATCAATCTAATATGCACATATAAACACGATAATTGAGATAAATCAAAAGCCACACCTTTACCTCAGTGTATATAGAAAAATACCGAATTATCCTAACTTCAGCATATTAAACTGTTTAAGGAAGCGTCTCATTAGCAAGCTTTTTCAATAAAAGTTAGAATAAAACAAACCGATTTCTGCAAAAATGAATAACTTAATTAAATAATTACAACTAACTTTGTCTAGTACTGGAAGTCTAAACCATATTAAGCCATCCTCAAATATTTTACGAATTAACTGTTTCCTTAAGGTTAGCTCATCTTCTTTTGTAAGGTTATTGTTACTTTCAGTATTTGTATCATTAATAGTGCCACCCATTAGTTGTTTGTTACTTTTGACTGCATTTCGGTAGTATAAATGTAAATTTAGAAAGGCTTCAATTGGATTATGACGTTTTCTCAAATCTTGGCGCCATAAACCTAGAAATGTGGGATAAATACTAAATACTGATCTAACACTTAAAAAAGGATCAGGAAGAGATAAAAAGGATAATAATCTCAACAAAGAAAGGAAAAGATACTGCCTAAAATAATGAACCCAAAAAACGCAAAATTAACATCAATTATCTGAAAATATCGAATTAATTACGAAACCCAAACTTGAGTTGTTGAAAGCCTTCAATATATACTAAAAACTAAAATAAGAATCGTACATAACACTGTCAATGAATAAACGTGGACATTACGTATTTACGTTAGGTGGTTAAGGGTAGGTTTCATTCTGACTGTCTCCAACGGGCTAACATAAAGATATGATGCACGAGATCTCGATTCACTTGGGCTAATAGCCGTGTTCCAACATAATCATGATAATTTGATCAAGGTTAATAAACTAGACACACATGACAATGACTAGTATTCAGTGACCAATCAATGTAGGTCCTATGTTTCAAATACTGGGGCGTTTAAAAATTAGTGGGAATGTTTATGACTAATCGAAATCAAAAGCCGTAGGAGTAAAATATTGATGGGGGACATTACGGAGGCGATAACTCACAATGATCAAGCCTTCTTTTTCGACAAATCATTGTTCGCCATGATAAATCCCTTCCGTTTACTTGACACTTGTAGATTCAAATGACCTCTTTTTCTAAGTACTTACAATGATAAAATGACCATTGATCATACAATAAAACTAATTCTCTGCTGTATTTTTTAAGCTGCCACTCATACTTCATAAAACCGAATCCTTACAGTTAAAGTTAAGTGGTTAGTTATAACGTTAACAAAAGTAGTCATGCAAATAAGTAGTGGGTATACTTGTCTTATTCCGTCAATCAAAGGTTAAAAAATCGTCTACTCGTAGCAAACAAAATACTCACACTGTAGTTTGAACAATTCCATCAAATATCTCGGCCTCATTAATAAACGTGCAACATGAAGTTTTGCCATAACAGAAAACCACTGTTCTTTGGGTACCTTCTGTCGTGTTAACTCTGATTCACTATGGCAAAAAACAGTTTTAGAAAATTAACAAAAAGAGTTAACATGAACGAACTGTCAGTCACTGAGGTGACGCTTTCATCTTTAGTGCTCTTTAAGGTTTTCAGACCATGGAGTGTATAAAAAATAGTTGTTATAGAATACAGAAAATAACTGTTATAAGTTTGGTCTTAATTGCTTAAAAACCATAAGAACTATTATGCTCACAAATATTATCATCAAAACAATACAGGCCCCTTAAAATTATCCACCCCTTATGGAAATCAACTCTTGTTTTAAAGTGAAATAATTTGTGAGTTTTATTAAGTCATATGTGATGCACAAATTCTTCTAAACCATTATGGATGTATTTGACAAGCCATGAAGTTTTAAAAAAACTCAGTAAAATTTTTGGCCACAAAACGATTGTTTCAATACAATAAAACTTTTTGACATGTTTCTGTATTTATCATTCGATGATATATGCCAGCTTTATATCACATAATATGTATTTTTGGCATTATATTTCTCTATCCAAAAGATAGATTAAGCAATCGCAACCCAGCAGGATTATTGGCTACAAAGAATTACAATGTTTCTTTGTTCGATACTAATGTTTCTGAAATAACTCATTACCACGATAAGTGGATAACAAAATTCAGCAAAGAATGCAATTAAACATTTCATCATACACTGGTCGTATAAGATTTCGAACACTCAACCAAGACTTCAATCTTTATAATCCTACACTATCAGCATCCTAACTGCACTTCATCAACCAAAGAAATATCATGTTACACAGTCCTTAATAATGACTGATCTCTATCAAAGTGAACTGAACTCAAGTGTGAGAACTAGAAATCACATCGGTTTCTGCTCAACCTATTACTTAGTTTAATAAACAGTCAATTACATCTACAGATTATTTGTAAAGTTTTTTATCAATACAGTAAACTCACATTGCATTACGTTTACTTAGTCGATCTACTCCAGTGATAAGAATACGAAGAACATTTCCAGTATGATGCAAAAACTGTTTTAATGGATTAGGTAGATAATGGTTATCGGAATAACGAACAAACAATACTGCTCCAGGGAAAAAATCAATTTCCGGCAAATACACCTGCCCACTTCTTGTTCCCCATACACAATGATACAATGATCGACGCAGAAACGGTAATGGTTTAGAACTAATTTAATGGTATGAACAAAAAAGAGTGAAAAATGAGTAGTAATAAAATTTTAAGAAAACTCTATAAATCATTTAACCTTAAGGTAAACTGATAGAGGTGATATGGGTTTAACTTTTCGAAGAGATGGCGGCTGAAAACGAACGAAAAAAAAATCTGGTAGTTAAAAATTTAAACCTTAAGAGGATCGGTAGTGAGTTTGAATCCCACTAGATCTACATCAGTTTGAATTGCTGGACAGCACTTACAAGAAACATCTGATCAAACCGATACAAGACAGCTAAGTGATCGTTGAAAAGAAAAACACTCTTATCGTAATTGTTACATGTTCAAAATTACGAACCATAGAGAATTAAGTGTGCATAATATCACGTAGTTATGAACAATGACATAAATTCTGGACGATTTCTGTCATTATTATTTTTAGTGATTCTTTAATACTTGTGTTCATTTAAATTCTACAGCCCACCATTGACTGAAAATATGATCAGATATTTTCTTGTGAAAACTTTAATTGAACTCAGAACTAATTTTTAATGCATTCGTACTGAGAAGGCACTAATTTCTGTATACCAGACTGATTACTACTTATAAACTCAGATAAAAATTGAAAGCAAATACGCGGATTATTTACCTAATCCAGTGTAGTCTCTTAAGCTCATTAAAATATAATTTTTCAACAGACTATCAATGTGTTACCATAAAACAGATATTAACAAGATTTACAGTTGGAAGGAAGGATGTAAAAGACGAATTGTATGTAAATGTCCATTGACAGTGAAAATTAATTAATAATGAGGATACTATATACACCAACTGATTAAACAAGAAAATACCTTTTTAAAATCAGAAACAATAATGAATTCAATATTTCAAAGAAATAACTAACCTAACTCCTATTTTATGATCTTCATATAAAGCCCAAGTAGAATCATTCGGAAAGCCTATTCCAATAAAGTCACGTAAAGCAAATGAAGATATTGAATTGGTCCAATCCATACTGCTTGTATGCCTTGTATGCTTTGCATTTGTTATATCATCCATATTAAACACAAGTAGACGTGCAGTAAACCATATTCTCTTGTTGAAATTCGTTTGCACGTCATTAATAATTGTTAAATGATCTAAATGTTGTTTACTTGGTCTGTGTATAGAAGAAATAAAATAAAACAAGTAGAAACTCAGTGAGAAATTTGTTCATTTTACTATTTAAATATATTTATGAGTGAATGACAAGTTTTCAGTAATTTTAAGACCAACTAATATATCTCCTATATTTTTTAAAATTTACAATATCTTTTATATTCAATGATTGAAATGTACTTAGATATCACCGATTGCAAGAATGACGGTTAGACCATACCGTAAAATGATTGAGGTTAGCGTATGCTCTCTTAGATCCTAATACAACACCTAGAGATTAGACCCAACATTCAGGTCTTAATCCACCGAAGAATGAGTAGAACTAAAGCTAAATCCCCCATCTATTCAAAGCACTTTGTTGTATTTACTTTCTGTTCATAACCTGCATACAAATATTATTTTATTGCATAAAAAGCATTGATCCAGCTACCGGTGTTGCTTTTGATCGTTAACCATTGGATCGATAACAGTCTCGTGAGAAGCCATCAGTCAGCCACATTATATTACTGAGTTCGCCCATCGATTAGGATTCAGTCAGTCAGTCAGTCAACGTAACATTGATTTTGATAAGCAGAAATTTTGTTTCATTAATCACTAAAAACTATATAACAAATCCATTTCAGTCAGTCGGTCAGTTACAATGTAGGATGTTGTATGTACGAACATCAGTTCAAGTTGCCATACCTCATTAGCACAGAGGTGCAATTGTTGATTCAAATCCTAAGTGGTAGAGGAAATACAAGTTTGAGCAGTAATCGAAAAAATCACAGTCCGAAGATATTAAGATGGAGGAGAAAATTTGTAGCTCAGGTGCATAAACAGTAATTAGAAAGATCACAGTCCGAAGATATTATTCAAGAAGTGTAATCCAGTGAAATAGATTTGAGACCAGAAAGACGAAGGTCATGAGGAGTTCAGACTGGAATTTGAGCGAACACAAAAAATGGATGCAGCTGTGCCACTGCAAACGATTTTGAGCCATGTCGTTCAAGGTTTCTAACCATCGGTTACTATCATCTTGCGAACCCCAACCGGTTAGCCTACATCTACCAATATGACTCAGTCCACTTGTCAGTGACTTCATGGATTTGTGCCTTGTTTTGCTTTGGTTACGTCTAGCTTTCTTCCAACCTACTCCTACACCACAAAATATAGCTTGACGAAGCAGTCAGCGTTTTGGCATTCCTAACACATGTTGCGACCACCTCAACTGATGAAGTTTCCATACTTCATCTATTGATCTGCAATCCTTATTTAGTTCTCGCTTCCTAACAACAACATTACTTCCTCGGTGGTCCCAGGATACACGAGCAATGCTTCGGAGAGCGCGAACTTCTGCGCAATACATTTGTCTTTTGGTTAGCAAACGGATATGTCGCCTACTCCATAAGTGCCTCAAGTTGGCAGAAGCCAATCGAGCCTTCTGTATCCGTGCTGAGATTTCGTCACACATCAGGCTATCAGCACTGATGCGACTCCCAAAATAAGTGAAGTGGTCGACACGCTCAACTGCTTCACTTCCTATCACTAGTTCAGGCGCCAACGCAACCCTAGAGCAACATTTAGCATTTCGAAGGGGAAAATCGCATCTCGAACATGCTTGCTTTCTTGTTTGGGGTAATCAGAAGACCCAGCATTTTGTCAGCGCCTTCACTGAATAGAACTATATCGTCGGCATATTCTTGGTGAATGAGCGTGTCTCTGGGTGGAAGGCCCACCCCTGAAAAGTCAGACGAAGATAATGTTATCTTCAAAAGTAAGTCTATGACAAAGTCAAACAAGGATGGAGAAAGTGAACATCCCTGAAGGACACTACTTGAAGTAATTAATTCCGATAACAGTTCACAGTAAACTAGAACTCGCACTCTAGTGTTCGAGAGAGAGTTAGTATAAGGGTAATGTATTTTTTAGCACTCGTTTAGTGATAGACATTGCCACAGAACCTCACGATCAATAGAGTCCAATGGCGCCCCAAGGTTGAGAAATACTTCTATAGTGGGACGCCTAAATGTGTGTCTGCGTTCCAGGACCTATCACAGAGTGAATGTTTCGTCTATACATCCACCTCCAGGTTGAAAACCAACCTAGCTTTATGGAGTCTTCTCTTAACGATTGAGTGAGTGATTGAGATCAGTCAGATGGGATCGCTCCCAGTTCCCGAATTCTACGTAAGATATCAGTCAATCTTACTGCTAAAACTGGACCACTACCCTTAAAAATCTCGGGAGATAACCTAACAGCAACCGCTGTTCTCCCTTGCTTCAGATTTCTTATCGCTTTCTCAACTTCATAAGGAGTCGGAGGGCTTACGTCGATTTGCGATTAAGGTTGACTAGAGATCGTAGGCAAACGAAGTGTGGCTGCAGGCCAGCTGAACTGATCCCTGAAGTGTTCTGCCCATCTATCTAATCTCCTGGATTTAGGATGAATAATTAGACCATCTTTTTCCGAAATAGCCTCACTCACAGTCGGATTCCTAATACCAGTTTCTTTGATAAGTTCGAATAGTTGCCTACTGTTGCCTATCACCGTTGCCTTTTCCATCTCCCTTGCTTTCGCTACCCACCACTGTTCGCGATCATTGCGTAGGCTTTTTATCAGCCTGCGCTTAAATTGACTCTGCTCTTCCTCACCTTCAGAGCCAGATGGGATGAGTCTCCGAGCATCCATAAGTTTAGCAGTGTTTGCTAGAAGTAAGCGATTATTTGAGTATAGCTACTGCAGGCGGTCTCCATATCTGATCTTCAAGCCGCGACATCATAAGATCCACCCAGGTGTCTCCTTTTCACCTAGCCTACCTACATGATAGTTATTATTATCACTACATCAGACAGCTTAACTTTCTGGAGGAGGTTATAGAGGTTATAGTGCCTCCACATTTATTTGAATTCGCTTACATTTAATTTGGTCAAGCCTTTCGATTAATTTATTTAACCAAAGTCATTTGTATAACAATAAGTTATGTGTACCATTGGCTTTTATTATTGTGTGTTTTATATGAGCTGGTATGACTGAACATTGTTTAAACTTACGAGCATATTCATCCTATTCGCTTTAATGTTAATCTCTTAAATACCTCGATGACTCAGATATCTTACTACGTATATATACGAACATTTTAATCTTATTAATTCATTCGCCCATTCGCTCGCTAGTGTGCCTGCCTGGTCTGCTTGTGGCCTGCTATCCCATTTTTGTGGTGTGCCAAAATAGACGTACTCAACACCTCGAGTTTACCTTCTGATTTATAAAGCTTTAGACGCTATTTAGCAACGATTGTCTGGACGAGCTGATTAAGAAGATTAAGAACACGTCGGAACTGGCCACCACAAGGTTTCTGTAAAACTCATCTTTTATCTCGTCTGAGTGGCAGTCAGTGGGAGCGTAGGCAGATATGAGGAAGAGGCAATGGCGAGTTTCCTTATCTTTAAGAGTTCGTACCGTCCCGTTCAGTCGGACGGCGCATAAGCGACTGTCTACTGAGATTCAATCTAAGAGATTTACTTCTGCCCTAAGACTTAATACTAAACCTACACGAGCGAGGCCACGGGAAGCAGTAGCAGGGCTTCCAGATACACGAAGTGCAAACTGTGTTGTTTCTCTATCTTGAAAATGTGAAATCATACTAATGATTTTACACAGATTTTGTATGCGCATTTCGGAGACTCAGCATAATCGATGGCATGGAATTCCAGAGTCTTAGCTAATAAAGCCTGCTGCCCTAGTTGACACAAGGTTCGAACATTAGAAGCCCCAAAATTTCGTTTAGCGAGTGGTTTCAGAATAACATTTTTTGAACTCGAAACGTCTGCATCAGCGGCACGATGTAACAAAGGAACGAAAGAGCAGTTTGTCGTGGAGATAAGAAGTTATTAGGAGGTGTAGAAGGGATTTATTTGTTACCGATTCGGTCTCGTGTGCTTTTATGGGTATGAGGGCTCTGGATGTCAGAAGAGGAATCGGCCTCTTGAGTTCCGAAAGAACTCGGCTTTGAGCATGAGACACCATAACCCTTCTGAATGAAGACCCGCTAACTCCCAGGGCAGACTCTAAGTGGTTCGAATTATTTTTACCTGTTAGGGTATTTAGCGAGTTAGTATTTTGAGGGATGGGGTCGCCAACCTGAAGCTCAACCCTCCTCCTGTACCCGGATTTGGACAGGCAGTAGCATCAGAGGGGCTCCTGTGATCTAAAGGTGTTATGCTCTATGTGAGACCGAGGGGCCCACGTGGAGCCATGGATTCCAAAACTGGGGCAATAGCTGTTTTACGACTATAGCATAGTACAAAAGTAACACAGATAAGTAGCATCAGCACAGAGCTTGTTAAATATGTGAATTGGTAGAGTATGCTATACGTTATTAGTGTGACAAGATAAAAAATAGCAGAAGGGGACGAGATAATGTAGTAAAAACAATAAAAGAGAAGACCTAACCTTGAGAAATTCTTTTTAAAAGAGAGTGAAAATATATATAGGAAGAAATGCTGGAATTCGGGATAAGCTGATCTTATTCTAAATTAATATAAAATATAATAAATCCTAGGTAAGCCTTCATTATTACCATACAATATTTAGAAACTTACAAACTAAGTATCTATGCCATTTATCAGATGCTTTGACCAATAAAAGAATGATTGGTTACTTTTGCGTACTGTTATGAGTAACAGTTAAATAACATGAATTTACGTTGAGAATAACTTTTATATATGCTCAGTGCAATCGTACAACCACTTGTACACGAAAGTTCCAATCGATTTGTTTGACAGAAGTATTCTAGCTACAATTATGTTATCACGTCTGTTTGTATCAAACTTAATTCTGATTATCTGGGGTAATTTTACAGAACCTCACCACTAAATGCAATACAACGACAGTCATTAAAGTCGTTTAGCTCAAATTTTAATAGATTTCTCAACAGACTTCCTTCTTTGTGCATCGATTTTGAGTAATAATAACGTTCAAATCATCCCTCCTCACGAAAAAAATTCTTATTTTTGTCGGTATTGCTTGAAACACCAGTGTGTTCTAAATTTAATTGTACATCAGTAAGGTGATTTTTAAAAAAGTAAAAGTAACTGAGGGACAAAAAATAAAATCTATACCTCGAAAGACCTGGTGTCTGACGAATTGAATTGTCAACCAACTGCTTAGGTGTAACCATACTACTGAAACTATGTGATGTTTTATTTCTTGGAGTGACAGCCTACGGTTGAGAGTGATTAAGAATGTAAGTTTCCATACCTCATACTCAGAGCTGTTACAAACTGATTCTTTTCGCCACAGTTTTTCGAGATCAGAACATATGCGCTGAGTTATGTCGCCACACGATGAAGATGAGTCTCTATTGTTGTCCTTTTTTGAATATCTTAAACTTCATGTAATCACTTACCTGCGCGTTACATGTTGCTCCCTTGTTTTCTATTTCATTTAAAGAAGTCTGAAAACTAAACTGCCTGAATAATTAATATCTTACCAACGGCAAGTGTGTGGCCCAAGGCGGATAAACAGCCGGACGTACTAACAAATTACGACTTGAGTCTTCCGACGATTCTGTTCCCCAGCTGACTGTTGAACCAGAGCGGGAAGATAAATTCTCTTCTTTGGCAACAGTATACACTGGTTCGTCCTCAGAACTGGGACAGTTATCAAAGCACAATCTTGGAACACTTTAACAATAAGAATAACTAATTACTGCATACCTAGCGCTAGTTATTTTTCCTTCTCTCATGGTGCGATTTAAGCATTTGAGCTAACACCTGATAGCAAAATTAGGAAATGAAACCCATCAAAAGTTTATAACTATATTCAAAATGCTCAGGAACTTAGCACTACATTGTGTGAATCGAATAAAAGTCCTTGCGGACCAGTTCAAGTTAATTCTTAGTAAACATATTAAATAATACAATCACAATAAAATTCCCTACTCTACGTTGTGACATTAAAAAAACCAATACACATAAGGATCGTTACTGTGAAACAAGCATATTACGTATTAACCTTACATCAACCCCAGTTTATTGGATATGTCAAATAGGATCAGATGAAAAGTTCGTTACAGCTTTTTGGGATAGTAATCATAGACGTTTGTAGTAGTTGTAAAGATTATAAATATAGTCTTTAAATTTAATCATTTTTTCTTGACTGGAATGTACATCAACAAAAGTATACCCAAGTTAATTTTTTATGCAACATTTCTCAAGCGTCATCTCAAACACCATAGAATGAAATTCAGCAACTGAAGAACTTGTAGTGTGAGGTCACTACAAACTTACATCATATTTCACTGATCAGTAATTTTTTGAAAACTATCGCTCAGTCTACTATCTTTGACCAAAGTTTTTCAGCCTCACCAGTTGTTTTTTTTGCATTATTTTACTTCCCTCTTTAACTGGCTTTACATGTACTGACAGGGAACAGAAACTTGGATGAATTATTTAAATTAAAACGCCTTGGGACTTTGGATTTTTAAAGATTGCGTATAAAACTTACTTCAAATGCACCATTAAGCATAGAGTCGAATCCGTACTTATCACTATCTTGGACTCTGTCAGATGGCTTCTAACAGGCTGTCTGACTAGTTTTATGATTGTCCGTTCATCAACATGACTCATGCAGCCAATCAGACCCTTGACTAACACAAACTAGGTACCGTTATTAGTAATAATATCTATTTGTTAATGATGTTACAAGTTTTAATCCGGAATTCAAAAACGGAAAGGATAGACCATGTTGCACGCTGCCTACACTTACGGTCGTTAATTTTAAATGAATCCATACCACCGTAAAAGCAAACAAACTACCGACTAGTTCAAATGTAATAATAAAAGCTTATCTAACATTTCATTTAGTCCCTTCAAAAAAAGATGCATAATCTAAAATTTGTTATTTCGAAATACTACTGTGAAGCCCAAAAGGATGAAATCGATATGGTGTTCTGATACTCAATATTCTCATGTTAAGGGACGTTTTCACGTAAAATAACGGACAAAAACTTATCAAAGGATCCCTAATTAACAACGTGAACAGATGACCGAGAAAAATTAGAGACCATGGCGATATGTTTCAGAAAAATCTGAACTAAACAGAATTAGCAGCAGAACCAATGAAAAAAGAAAGCCATATAGATGTATCAAAGACTTTAAGTACATGAAATTCAACGGAATCAGATAAGTTATGTCCGCAGTTAGGCAGAGAGCTTGAAATGTATACAGAGGCTGACCGTGTAATGATATTTCGGCCGTTGCCAACCAGGCATAAACCAGCCATGAACTTGAAAAGACATTAGCCTCACTCCGACCCACTGAAAGGACTACAGGCAGAATCAACCTAAGAACCAATTTTGAAAGAAATTATTTAGAATTACCATACATATATATTCGATTCTCTTAATTGATCCACGAAGTATTTTTAAAGGTAGCTTTCGCGTGGGAGAAACCTTATCCGAAGGTGAAAAAACACCCTGGTCACAGTAAGCCATATCTCGAACAGCATGGCTTATTGGCTCTTAGTTTTAGAACTCTGTGGGAGTTAGGTGCTATGAAATGACGTGTGTACACGTTTTTTTATACAAGCTTGGTGTGGAATAAATAAGAGAGCTCGGAAAAGATCACAATACCATGTTTAAAAACTAATTCAGAGCTGCTGGAAACAGTTCAAGGGGTCTTCATACAAAAGGTACCAAAGGTACTTGACGACTTTAAGTGTAACCCATTTAAACCAGATTAGAATAACTAGAAAGATGCAGTAACTACTTCCAGTTTTGGGCGATAAACCATATCATATCCACCCATTCATAAACATTTCAAATCAAATGCCGGGAAAACCATTATTGTTGGCTCATTATCAAGCCTAGATAGAGACAGAAATTTACTTGGAAAAGACTAACATCAACATCTCTACTCTTTCCCTTGAAAGCATACATATTAGATGACGGTTTAGTAACATTGGTCATTAGAAATGTCGTTCAGGAGTCATAAAATAAATACTGCTCTGCTAATTAGAGCAGTAAGTCGGTGTTTCAAAAATTAAGTTAGAACTATTCCAAGCAATGATAAAATCGTATGTATATACTAAAAGCCTCCTGTAATGACACAGCGACAGTTAGTTCAGTCAGACATATTGCCTAATAAACCCTCAAATCGTCTTAATGATAAGATAAAGCAGCATTTAGTTCTCATTGCCGACTTTATGTGGATCAAACGGTGATAAGGTTAATTCTAAACTCTAGACAGGCCGTAAGACGCGAAGTTAATGTATAAAGCATTGAATTTCCATCGTATACTACTCCAGTGAATAGCAATGTGACTCACTTTTTACAAGCTACGCGAGAAATACAAGTGAATAGACAAATATGGACTACGATGCACAAATGTATACAAGCGATCAGGGTTATGTGTAAGTCACTGGCAATGCGCAGTCCACAAATTAAATGTAGAATCAAGGCTTCTGAGATCGCTTTTAAAAGACTAATGTTGTCTAAAGTTTCCCAAAGCTTCTGCAACGCCCGTTAGAGCACTATTTGGATGCATAGTTTTATGCCATTCACTTCATCGTCTGTGAAATTTACCACTAACCAGCCCCTAGAGTAACCTATACACTTTTAACACAGAAAAAGAAAGACAGCCGAAGTGACCACAAACTCATCAACCAAAATTAGTAGTCATAGACACAATATCACCGGAGTCGAACTAATTTCTCGGAGAAACTCACATATGGTAACATATATAGCATATGCATATGATCAACAGAATCCGAATCATAATGATAAAGCGCCGTTTTTTATCAACTTTCAGCCTTATGTATTCTTACTCGTACCCTAAATTTAAGTTATCAGCTTGCGAACACGGTGTGCACAATAATGACAGAGAAAACCAAAGAAAATAGTGGCTGATGGCACAATAGGAACATGAGGTTCAGCCACATTAACAGAAAAACCAATCTATAACATTTTGCAAGACACCACATGGTAATCGAAACTAATAGTAAGTAGGATTTTGAATATGGTACATTCACGACCCACCAACAATGCATCAGGTTACCATAGTACCCAATAAACGAAAAACATGTCGATTTATTTACACAATTACGTCAAATTGTGAATTACATTTTATAAAATTTCGAAGAAGGGAATAAACAATACTGAGAACAGGTTGTTGTTTTACTAGTGCACTAAGATATCTGTTGTCATAACAGCAACCGCAGGCTTCAAAATACAATTATTTCAGTAATTCACGATTCACAGTCTCGTTATGTATTTTAGCCCATAATTCACCGACATTCAGATATGTCTGAACTCGAACTAGATGATAAGAGGGCAGAGTTTATGGCTGAGTACATCCTGACATCATATAAACTGAAAGAGGATAAATGGATGAAACTATGGAATACCGATGATATCCGACAAAAAATTATCGATTTCTTTGATAAGCCGGATGTTACGCAGCTGTTTATCCTTCTAATGCCAAGTGGATTTTTGACAGCTGAAAATGATTTTCCTGTTGGTTCAAAGTCCAAAGCTAGCTTTTTTATGAAGAAATCGAAAGAGGCTATCCCTAAAGATGGTATCTTAACAAAGTATATTTTCTATGGTGATCTTTCATACAGCCCTTTGGACCATTTTTCTGTGTTCGTCGACGAAGTAAACCCATCATTTTTACCATAAATATTTCTTAGGTTCTTGTCCCTGTTTTGTCTAACAAGAAAAATTATAGTTCTTGGCCATCTGTGGTCTATGAGGATGTCATGAAATATGCGCACGGTTTGAAGAGACAAACCGATATCGTCGTTGGGCAAACAAAAGGAAAGACATTTCTCCCTCTACCAATTGAGCAAGAGCGTTTAATGGAGCATGTTAAAGAAGGGTAGATGTTTGTTCATTAAAAATTCTCATTATTGTTCGTGTATGCTCGAGTAATCTAACACCTTTCTCTAATAACACAGACTGATAATAATATAGCACTCATTTATTACCATAGTATATTGCTCACCCATGTTTCATGAATTTATCCTTACTTTTCCAATATTAGTAAATTTTTATGTTTGAATAGTGATTGCATTCCGCAGCTATCTACGGAAACATACTGATCCATTTATGTTTCACCTGTCATTCACTGCAAATCTGGTTTATCATTCAGAATGAACTAATTATCACAACAAACTTTCATATGCTTTATCAACTGACAAACAACTTACATATTATGGAGCTTTTTCATTGTATTCTTTCATATGCGACCTATTCTCATAACAGAGAAAACCAAATGCTCGTTGTTCAAAAATTAGTTACACGTTTCTAGATATGTCTTAATAAATAATAAAACTAATGGACTTATCAGTAGCATTATTGATATTATCCATGTAAAGCTTTCATCTCTTAACTTTAGGCCTTCAAAGCATCTTCAGCAGTAGAACTACAAGTTTTATGAGGATTGTACAGTTATAAAAAGAATCAGCTCTCTTGCTGAAGTGTACAAGAACTTCAAAGTTATCTTAGGTAATTCAATGTGATTTGGCACAAAGTGGCTTTCAATGAAGATATAACGAATTTTTTTATTTGTCACCATTTTTAGATAATAAATTCATGTCCACTGGATTATAATGACCGTTATGTGGTTATTAGCGTATTTCCTTTTCACTGTCGTCCACCTTCTGAGTATCATCGTAACTTTGTTTTGTCTAATGCTGTAAAAAATATTTTATTCTGTCCATGCCTGCGAAATTTCACTACTAACTAGAAATTTCCAAATCACTTAGGCTGAAATTTGAATTAGCTGCTTTATCATGTACATTTTTTAGTGGTAACTGTTATTTTTTGTGTATTTCTACTAGCAGCTATTGTTTTGCCTCGCTTATAAATATAAGTTAGAAAGCAAGATTTAAAGATAATTCTTTGTCTCGTGTAAAATAGTAGAGAAATAGTCACCCAAAACCTCAAGATTCGTGGACAGTTAACGACTTTTACATTCATTACATTCGCAAAAAGTTTTTTGTCACAAGTATTTTTGATTTATTTTTAAAATCTTAAATTTAAAGCCTTCACTTTAGAGCGTTAACTTGCCCGGTTGCTAACATAGGAAGATCTCACAACTTGTGAGTAAATTTTCTGCGTTTACTTCTTTGTACATTAAAGTCATACCAAACTACTATATTAAAATCAATCTTACTCTTTAGTGAATAAATTTCTCTCAAACTCGTCTGTTTTAATAAATCCCTCTGAAGTAGCAAACATTATTTTCCAGTATTTAGTCACCATCAAACTAACCCAAATAGTTGTTGACTTTAACTTTCGTTTATTACAGATAAATACTAAGTCATTTGTTGAAAGACAACTTTTCAACTACTGTTCTTTTTTGTTATTCGCTTCCTAGTAAAGTTAATCGAAGTTTCGTTTATGCTATTGAATCACTCGTCATTGAATGGTCACATCAAATCCACAAAGTATTACTTAAGGATTCATCTCAACCATTACTAAGTGGATTAAACCCCACTCCATTGATAGAATTAGATTTTTGGAGAGCAAAAGTAAAGAATCTTGAAAACATCTATTCTCAGTTATGTACACCAAAAGTCAAACAAATGGCGCAAATTTTAGAGCAGGCTAACAGTAGTTATTTTGTTCCATTTAAAGAGATGTTTAAGTCTGTTGTAACTGGTAAGTTTGTTTATAAATTAGAATTTATCATTAATTTACTAATAAATTAGTACTTTTCCCCAGTAAAGGTATTTTATTAACTTAGTTTGATATGCTGAAATCAACATATTTTTATGCAGTCATTTATATGCCTACTAATGTTAGGGATAGAGTCGCAAGTAATGAAATCTTAGAGGTGTTCGCTGCATTTAATGGGAGTATTGTAATGTGTTTTTCTGCTTAAATGGAGTTTGTATGTAGTGTGAGTCATTCGATGTTCACTGTTGTAGTTAAATATGTGATAAGTACGGATTGGACTTATCGAATAGATGTATCTTAATTGCCAATACAGTGGATTAAGTAAATAACATCCAAGCCAAAAGAAACGGAAATAAGCAAAGGTCAACCACATGTAATCCGCAATATAAACTACAGCAACTTTAGAAAGCTCTATATAGAACTAATTGGCTGCTCTCACCTACTTCCGCCACGTAAGCACCATCTAATTTTTAGCAGTACGAAATTCCCTTGCCTATATTAATGCTTGCGAACTGTTATAGAAATGATTTTTAGTGATAAGACGTTAAAATATTGAACAGAGGAAGCATAAAGAAAAAAACAGGGAATTTCTGGAAGTCTGGGACTCTGGCCAATCAACCCAGCCTATAAGCAAAGATAAAAAAGGATTAGCAGCTACATGATCAGAGATCAGGTCAGGCGAGAAAACAATCAAAACAAATTAGCAAATAAAAGCTACAGAACTATGAATAACAACCAACAAAATTCCTGGTCGGCAGATAGGTGATCAATTAATTATAGAGAAATTCTAATAGGTTACCTCTTTTTGCAGCATAAACTGGTGATGTTTTCTAAAGTTAAATCTTATATCGACGATAAGACAGTTTGATGAACAACACCTGCCAAATTTTCATTTACAGATAATAATATTCTCCAAGATCTTCCAAACAGAGTTTCACCTGATAGGCCATTTCGAATACCGATACTAATAGTTCCATAAACGTTCTAAACAGGAGAATTCCTTTGTCCTTCGAAACTATTTTTGATTCTTTTATGCTACTGAATACCATGGTTATGGTAATATAATACTTTATGATAATAAATATCCCATACTTACCAAGAATCCTTCATATAACATGTTTACCTCAAGACCGACGAATGAAGTAGATTCACTGGTAGTAAGCTTTTTCAAGTTTATTATTTTATTGCCTATTTTTCATTTCAATAAGCCTCGAGTTAATATTATTTTACTTTAGCTTTACGTGAAGCACAAGATATTGACATGCATTTAACTATTATGCGTACGAGATTGGAGGACATGGAACAAGCTGAATTCAACCAGTTATCACAGCATATTGAGCCTATTTTCAATCTCATCTGCTTAGTATGGGCTAGTTCCAAGGGATATCGACAACCGGCAAGAATATTGGTTCTTTTACAAGAATTATGTAATCTAATGATTAATCAAGTGAGATGATTGCTAAAATAATGTTGCATAATTATCCATTCATGGTTTAAATGTGTCATTAATAGACTTATAGTTATTTTTCAGTTGAAAAAACCTATTAATATATTTGCATTACAGGGTTGTGAAGATTGTTAAGTTACACATTTTTGAAACCATGAATCGATCGATGTTAGACCACCATTAGAAGCCTGGAAACACTGGACAGCTGTTTCTTCCTGGTATGGGACTCCTCAGCAGTGCGCATCCACGACTCCTGCACCCCGCAGGGGGAGTCCCATACCAGGACGAAACGGCCGTCCAGTGCCTCCAGGTTTCTAATGGTGGTGTGACATTGATCGATTCATGGTTTCAAAAGTATTAAGTTATTGTCATTCTCTTGAGAATGGTAACTCGACGGTCAAATCACTTCCACAGCACCGAAGTCGAAAGACAAGATTTGTTATGAAATACAGTGGCATTATATAAAGATTAAAATAAACACTTAAAAACCTTAATAATGAAGTATCCAGGCACCATTCACACCATCAGTTGCAGCAAATTCAGAGATAAAGCTCATCCTTAAAATAATCAGAAGGCAATTATTATTCAATATAAGAACATTGGCTATTAACGAAAATGTATCAAATGTCATATATTTTTTAAACATGGAAAAATCTAAGAAATGAAGTTTTTTAAACGAGAATGAGAATAAAAAGGAAGTATGTTAGAAATTCTATTCTCAGGGTACAGTCAGTTACAAGGTAGAACTTTGTTGTACGTACGTACATTAGTAGTTCAGGTTGCCATACCACATTAGCACAAAGACGCCACTGTCTGTCAGTTCACATCCCATAATAATAGATAATACGTCTACCATCTCAATGTGCAAGCATATGGAATAAATGATCTACAGTGACAAATAAATATATTTCATCTACAAGCTATAAAAAACAATTTAATACAAAAACGAACTACTTGTTGGTCTTAAGCATGATAGCTTGACGCACAAGCTAGACTATCCAACGATAATAAGAATATAATAGAACATAGTTAATAGATTTATCGGAATCGGTCATCAAAATGTAACCTTGCTTATTACATATCGCATGAACATTGAATAGAATAGTGAATAGTGAGAAAAAACAATAGTTATGTAGACAAAGTTATTTGTGTTACTTGCCTGAGCTGGAATGTTTTTACGTTTGTTATTGATGAATCATAACATATTTCCAAACTTAAATAAACAAAAGCTCCCTAAAAGAGAGACTTTCAAACTGAACTCTCAATTTAAATGAATCATTAATAATGGGATAAACTAGACCTTAACATCACATTACAGTAATACAACAACTTGAGAGCTACTTAACATGAAAACAGCTAAAAATTATGCTTTTATATTTTAAAATAAGTTGTTCGAACCAACGACGATAAGTAAATTGTAATTATGAATGGCGGTTTAGCATATAATGTGGATATTTTAAAATTTTAAATCATACAAAAATCAAAATGATCAATATTTTCAGTGTTTTCATTAAAAAAAGTAACTTCTGATCAAGGATATTCCCTGGTATACTTGTTAGGGAACGACGAGAATTCCATTCCTTGGTTTACTGTTATGTATGGCGAATTAACCACAAAGTTCATTTTGATTAGATGTTGACGATTTGCAGACATTTCTAGATTGACATTTTATTCTTAGAATGTATATGCCAAAGTATTTGACGATTATTCGAAATTCGATTCATCGCAATGATCCCACCCGTTCCATATTTTAATCAGTGTAAAAACTAATACTACTCACAAGTAGCTTTCATTGAAGGATCATAAATAGTAGTAATAATAATAATAACAATAATAATAATGGCTTTGTTCAGTGTAATATGTTTAGTACAATATAGAATTCTGAACATTGAATATTTCAACAAGTCTGCTTTACAAAACAATTAGTGGTCGGTAGTTGGAAGTAAGCAGTTCAGAAATCGACATATTATTATTATTGTTCATTCTTTCCTAAGTAAAATTGTGCCACCCTACAAGATGTCTCGGACTTTGGACCTTTTCAAACCTTGTGAAGCAAGAGCTCGTAGACATTTTACATACGCGCCTGAATAAATTGTGCTACTAACAGGCACAAGTGACGTGTGAAAACAAACCAAAAAGAGGTAACTTGACGAAATATTTTGATGTTAGGGAACAGGTACCACAGTTATTCAGGCAGGCCGCCAGATTAATATTCCTTTACGCAGAAATATTCAAGTAGTAATTTGACTCCCTCTGTTATTACAAATTACAAGTTGATATTTATTTTAGAAGAAAAGGTGTTCATTGTGTTTGATGCCCCACTAGACTACAAGTTTGATTTGAATTAAGCTGCAAGATCCCTTTTTACAAAACATGTTTGTCATAACTACTCACTCCTAAATGAATGAATGGTTATACTTTTGTTTTTCTTCAATAAAGAAATATACTACATAAAAAGGGAGGTGTTTCATATCTTAATCATCAAAGCTGATAAGGATTACAAAGCTAGTTTTTCCCATTTTTGTTTACAGCGCAATAAATTCACTTGTATTAACTATGTGAATAAGCATACAATGTGTATGCTAGCTGTTCTCTGCTCAGATAGCTTCCAATTAACTAGTTATTCACAGACATCGAATAATCCTAAGTTGTATTCTGCTTATTTCAAATACTCAATTTAAAACTCGAAATGAATTGAAAGTCTTTATGAAGTCACAAAACTTCTGTGATATTAGTGGTACAGTCATTTATCTTGATGATAGTTTTTTATTCTGTATCCCAGGTCTTTGAAAAAATGGAAAACAACTTCCCCCCCCCTTATTTTGTTATGTAAACAGGTTATCTACTTCGCTCATTATCCAACACATCCTTTGGTAACCCTTTAATTCCCGTACATAACTTACTTTCCTACTGTTCCCCTTATTCTTTTCCGAATTCCTGATCAGTGATTATGTAGTTGTTCTCTATCTCGTATTCTGAAGGTTTCAACTAAGAATAATCGGTTTTTATTTCTTAGCCCATCATAATACAGTAAACTTTAATAGGTATCAGTGGCAATTTCACTACAAGAAGTTATATCGGTCTGTTAGTGGCCATTCCATTCCCTATCTAAATGACAGCCTTTTTTCTCATATTCTTTGAACAAGGCTTACCGCCTCCCTACTAGGAAACATTTTCGACATAAAATTACAATCAAAATATTATCGTCGTATAGTAATTTTTCTTAATAAAACTACTCTGAACACGATCTGTTGTCACACATTCAAATCTCCACTTGTAATTGAAAATGCACTAGATCTGTTCACAGTAAATTATTAACTAATTCGCCTTTAAATCATATTAATAAACATATTCATACAGTATATTCTGCGTTAAAAAAAAGTAATAATTTTTTTCCAATTACTGAAACTAAATGTCATTTTCCCCCCTCTTCCTCCATTGTTGTTTATCTTTTTTTTTTGTAGGCTCGAACAAATTTAGATCCATATGATGTATTGAAAGGTGAAGCTGAAGAGATTCAATTGAAAATAGAATATACTTTAAAAGTATTATATAAATTTAAAAATATTTATCATCAACATCGTGTAAATTTACCAAAATATTTTGAACAAGTTTCTGAAAAACTAAACATGTCAAATGAACTTACTTTGTGGGAATTTAAAAATGAACTTGCATTTAGTCGTTATGACTCATTTGTTGAACGTATTGAAGCAGTACATGTGAGTAGATTACTTAATTTTGTAATCAAACGTTTAGAAGATGCAAATTGTTTTGTTTTGCTTTTTAATTGATCACTGAATGTAGGCTAAAATTGTATTTTATTGGTTGATTGATTGAAAATCCATCTGGAAGAATCCATGGATCTAGGTTTTGCGATTCCTAGTACTTCTTATTATCAGGGAATATTTGAAATCCTTGAGAAAACGATATAATCTATCGAATTAGAATCGATACCACTGGGCGCTGCACATTCATAGACTCTATTATTAACGAGCTATTCGAACTACAACTAACCACCACCAGTAAGACTGAACATTTCATAGCAAATAATGGCATATTGTGTTACGCCTGCTCGTAAACACGTCAACTTGATATACTTGAACTATTACGAGTTTACCTAGTGGGAAAAACGAGAACGAGGATTGAGGATCCGGCGACACGACATACTACTCAAATCCGATTATCCCAACCACCATATTGAGTAAAAGAAGACAAGATTTGATATGAAGTAGAACCTGTATTCTACAAGCACCCAGAAAGTACGAGATCCGAATCCGGAAGACAATCAGGATCCCGGACTAGGGATCCGGGACCAGGCCCTGATCCTGACCATAAAACGTTACAGATCATGCGTATTTATAAAATTTGGTCGAATAGGAAACAACATCGAAGTCTGTGACATTGACAGTTAAGACAACCAATAGGAAGCAACATTTGAAGTGACTTTGATAGTCAGGACAACTAATAAGAAACAACATTGGAGTATGTGACATTGATTTCTAGGACGATCATAAAATTGACCAGTAGGAATTAGCCAATAGGAATCGATCAATAATTCTCTTAAGATATTGGATGAATATTCTAACATGCTCCACTAAGTGACAGTGATTAAGAGTCAACTAGGAATATTTGAAATTGTTTTAGAAAAAATGCAAAACAGTAAATCACAATAATAATAATAATAGTATGTGGAAGCTTTTTTCCATAAACATAAAGAACAATATGTGATATATGAGAAGAAACATAAAGAATAAATTTATCCACGATAATATGATATGTTTGTACTCAGGAAATTTTGTGGCCATCACTAAGTGCCGTTCTCGAGTCACAAAACTTTGGCTAAATAGGGTTCACTCTTTGTCACTGGTGAAGAACTTCATAAAAGGATAGGGAATTTTATCTACTTGATATTAGCTGATATTGGACTGGAGCGAAATTTTATATGGGGTTTTTTTTCATCTTTTTCATTGATTTATTTTTCCCTCGACAGCATTTAGTGTTGACAGCTATCGAATTTTTAAAATTAGAAAAGTTAGTCTTTGGCGGCATTGAAGGCGGTTCATTAAATCAACGTGTCACAGAAATCTATGAATCATTTTGTAATACATACAAGGTAAATACAATAGTGTACGACTTAAAGGGTTCTTTTATGGTTTTTTTTAAAAAATTTAGTTTTTTGCTTAACGGAAATCTCATCAACTTAAATTGTTTACTATCTTCACCATTTTTGCATGACACGGAAGCGTTCACCTTTGAACTGTTTATCTGTTTAGTTTTTTTGAAGGATTGAAAAACATATTTTGTTCACCTCATAAGTATGATTGTTAACAATGTGTTATATTTTTTACTGGTAATTCCTGTTCAGAATCCCTGTTTGAGAGACTTCAAAAGCACTCACCAATGATCCCATGCAAGATAGGATGGAGCGAATTCAGCTATTGTAACGAATGTATTTACCTTGAAACCATTAAACAATGTATAATACTGACTGGATTCGAGACAGATGCAAGAAATTCTGGCAAGAACTCATGACTGGTAAAGTTCAGCCATGTCGAGTATATAAGACAGTTGTCCACGGGTGTGATTGAGTGACTGTGATACTATATAGAAAATCAACTCAAGTTGAAAATGAGAATCATTGGAGTCCAACTCTCTAGTCCAGAGGCAAAATACTTTTCCGCGAGTCCTGAAGAAACTGGATCGTTGTGTTCATTGCTTAAAAATCGTAAGATAGGGCTAAACAGATGTCAGTTGAATAAAGATTTTCAATGTTTTTTTCTAAATTATATCAGCCGGTAAGGAAATCTCTCTTCAAAATGAATTAATCCTTATACACACTGTTGTACTGATAACTAATTTTCGCTGTCAAACTTCACATCTTTGACCAGTGGTAAAAAGATTTCAGTTTTTTCAGCTTAATGAATTTGATTCAAAAGATATTTAATATATTGAAAATTTCCATATTATGAATTAGGACAACATTACAAATATCAGCTGCTCCATTGGAAGAAGCAATATTAGGCGTGAAACGAGACAACTGAGCCAAAGAGTTAACAAACACCTTCCTTCAAGGTTAGGAAAGAACATGATCAACATAGTATGCAGCTCTGTTCTACCACACTTGATTGATGGCAGTTAACGTAATTTATCATATACCCATTAGTTTTCCTGATGGAATTAGATCTCGTCTCTTGCCCATATCGAAAGCTATAGGGATTCGAGCTAACAGTCCAAGCCATGTTCTTCAAAAATTGGCTCTTCCTTGGTCGGGCTGGACTTAACAAATGACTTTACTTATTTACTTATTATCATCCTCTCCTCTTCGAATATACGCCTCACTATCTACTGATTTGAAGCATACTTGTTATTACGTAACCTCTTATTCTAATGAGTGCTGTTATAGACTCTGGTTTTCCAAGCCGTCTAACTTACTCCCTGTTTATTATGAAATAAATTTAAATCAGACTGATTATCCAGACGTTTATTCTTCGTCTGGCATTCTTGGCAGAAATTTTTTTTATAAACTGAAACATAAATATTATGCACTGTAGAGAGCACAAACTGAATTTATCTATACTGTGAAATAGTTTCGATCAAATTAACTATATTTTGTTAATATTTGTCTATTTGTTTTTTTTTCATTTTATATTTTAACCATCTATCCAAAAAAATTTCGTTGATTAATTTACTACTAATCTGCTGACCTTAGATTAAACTAGAGAGACCTCAAACAATGAAAACGGCTTTTTGTTGCTACTACTCACTGTCAACCATAAACCTGAAATTAATTGAGTTTCGTTTCTGATCTGAAAAAAAATAATAATAATAATTGAACCCGTTGTTACAACAAAATTAAAATCATAACAAAAACAAACAAAAAGATGTGCTCTCAAAAGTTTCTGTTGTTTTATCTCAAGCCCTCTAACAAAACTAATACGGTTATTATCTTTGTCATCACTTATAAAAATGAAAAAAAATGCAAGTCAATAATATTAATATATCAGTGCTGTGATCCATGTCGTTACAATCATTGGCATTTACAAATGAAAACAACTAAAAGGTTGACGGAAGGAAATTTGACTGTCCAGCCAGACTTAGTGATGCTATCTGAACTATCGTATCGAAAAGGCTAACGCTCTCAACCATTTTATGATTTGTAGTCAAAGTAAATGTAGTTGCGTTCTTATTTTAATGGCTTTAGAATAATATGAATGTTTTGTTTGATAGGAATATAATTGATAAATACCGTAAGTGATGTAAATGATTTCATAATTAGATAATATAGATGATACCTACAAAGTCATGGACAGAATTTGGTCCCACAAAAAAATATGTATAAATTAATTTACAAAGGACTTCAAAAATGATATATTTTGCTTTATCCGATTCAGGTGGTAGTACATTCCAGATTTGTGAACTGATACGATAGCATTAGTGCATACAACATGTTATTCTAAACAACACGCTCAAAGCAGATGCGGTGAAAAGTCTTCCAAAACAAAATTAGGTCATAAAGCTCCTTGAAATAGAAGTATGTGACATAGTTAAATCCTTTCATTGAATTGATAATTAGAGGGTGAATAAATGTTGGTTACATTCTTAATCTGCCCTTAACTATTATTACTCGATTTGGATTCTGTAACTAACTAAGTTGTCGTAGACAAATCACTCTTATTGATTACATTATTATAAGCAGTCAACGAATTTCAAATTCCCCTTTATTTGAGATGTATTCAAATATGTTCTGCTAACCATTTCTTAATTATTTGTGTCCATCATAATTTCACTGAGAAATCATCTTATTCAATCATTCTACATCTCCTTAGATGTTCAATGATAGAACCTATGATGTTTTGGATCCACTGAATGAAGAGTTTTCTAAGGATTTCGCAGAATTTAATAAATGTGTACAAGATTTAGAACATCGACTATCTAATGTGGTTGAACATGCCGTAGACGATTGCCCTGCTATAGAACATTTTCTTAAGGTATTTCACAATTTTTAAATACATTTTAACCTACTGAAATTTGGATCAGTAATATGCAGCCAGTTATCCAATTTTTATCAAAAAATTTCCGCCACAAAATATGACAAAACATACTGGTCCAAATTAAATTTGAGTCGTCATTATAACGGTCTTTAAACTCCCCCCCCAAACGACTTACGCAAACATTTTGAATTTGTAAACGTTTTCACTACATCAGCTGTTTGCCTTAAATTGCATAAGAATATAACCGTCAGATGGTCCATTAGTCTCTATTCTGAAAATAACCTGATTGAGATTGGCTTGAATTAAATGAAAACTGTATGTCGTGTTATAATTATATCGGTTAGTCGTAATAATAAGTATCTAAAGGTGACCAGGAAGCAGCTACAAAACCAGGTTATGTTATAGTTGGTACATATTAACAAGATGTATCTCAGTCTTGTTGAGACTGATGCTATCTATAGGATTTAAGCCTTGATCGTTATAATTTATTGGAGCTGGGCTATAAACTTTGATTCGAATAGTTCATTTCGTGCTACACTTGCAGTAGCTTTGACCTCAAATAACAGATGTGTTCGTCTTGTGTCCTGAGCATCTTAGCACGCCTAAAGCGAGAATATTATTTTTAGACTCAGATAAAATTGATTGGTACTTGGTTCTAGTAACTAAGTTGGATACTGGGCAGATATGAATTGTTTTCCAAAATCCAACCACAAAATCTAAGTTCTTCAAACAATAATTCTTATCTACACGTCAAAAGTCCGTCTCACACATCTAACTTAAATTTATGCTTATATTATACTACAGCTCATTAGCATTCTGCATACATTGCTGGACAGACCCATAATAAAAGAGAGTTTCCAACCTAAATACAAAGTTTTGACACAAATGTTAAATGATGAATTGGATACAGTGAAAAATATCTATGATTATCATATAGCCGGTGAAAGAATTCGACAAGAAAGTGAGTCGCCAGTTCCAAAGTTTTGTTTTTATCGAATTACTTGTCTACTTAAATCGCTAGCTTGTTTATTTCTTAACAGTCTAACAATATCAGTGACTTTCCCTGTTTTCAATTTGCTTTCATTAACTAACACAGGTAAGGGTAGCAGAAATTACAGAGTTAATAGGTAAAATAGAAAAACCATATCGTGAATCGTTAATTTGCAAAATATCAATCCATCATATCGAACTGAACTGTTCCCGTTGCAAACATCAATCCATTGTCTGACATTTCACTATTCATGCGTTTCATACAAATCCCATTGTGTTCCCGCTCTTCCTTTCTTGATCTTCCCCCATCTTCTGCTGCCAGACGTTACGTTTTACTCGCGTCATATATTACTTATAAGTAGTGCACACCACAACACTAATGGAAAGCCTACAGCATAACACCATCCGACGTTTCCCAAAACTCAAACAGAAACTTTACTGTGAGTGGTATGTATTTTCTGTCACTGTTTTCTCCTCGACACACACAAACATGTAATAATTCGTACAAATTGCTCAATAATGCTATACACACGAGTAAAGTAGGGAAGATAGAATTATGAGAAAATGTATTTGAATCCTGAAGACAAATAGCTGCTAATCACTGTTGTGAAGACGTTGTTTTCATATGTCTCGAATCGATCAATCATTAACAAGAACTAACATTCACTTGCACTTGTATAAATGAATTATTTAACACAGTTTTCAAATTTTCCTATAAAATGCAGATCGATGTGGAAAACATCTTACTTTCTTTTACGCCTGCTGCCCCATGTAAGGCTTAGGCCACACACAGAGATTCTCTGGTGAACACTGTCCTGGGCCTCCTACCTTCTGTTTCTTGCCAAACGTCATTCATCCTTTTGATGTCTGCCTCCTATGTCCTTTGATCTATCTCTTTTCTGTTACTTTGAGGGTTCCATGTTAGCGCTTGTTTTGTGATCGAACATGATGATTTCCTTAAAATAGGACGTATTTACCTTCAACGCCTTTCTCTGATTTCTTATACCCGACGGAGTTACTAGTCTTTGCCTAATCCACTCTTTTGTCTGAGCTTGGAACTGGCAATAACTCTACAGAGGCTTCAGGCGGAGTTACAAAAAAATATTAGTGTTCAAAAAAATTTTACGTTATTTCATGCTTCATTATTTACTGTATTTCCTCTCTTTCATTCAATCTAGTATACATTTATCATTATGAAATGGTAAATGAACAGTTTTCTTCTATTATCAGATCTATTATTGAACTCAGCATCTGACAAACCATCAGAAGAGAAGCATACAATGAAACATGGTCTTTACAAGAAACAACCATCTTATTACTTGGAAATTCATAAAAATATGCCCCGATTATCAGGAAATTTAAAATGGGCACATGATTTGAAAATGCGTATTACACAACCTATGGAAACGATTCATCATTTAGACTTACCGTAAGTATGCTCTAAATTTGTGAAGTTAAACAAGGTTTAATTGTTGGTTTAACTGTGTATGTATGTATGTGATATCTTTTTTTGGCTTTCTACTTAATCCTACTTTCTTAAGATGATTACATGAAACCTTATTCTTCATTTCTTCAATAACTGTACCATTCAGTTTCATAGGGAATCCGAACTGATGACATTTTTTGTCCATCCATTATTGGTGACCGACTTTATCAATATTTTATTTATAAAGCTAATGATGAGTCATTTTAAAGATAATAACCAATGTAAATAAACAATGCGGCACTCCTACAGTAGACTGTTTACATAAATTTAAGCGAATAACACAAAAGGTATGCAATCGTAGTTCATAGGTTTAAGTCGTTATTATTAAATTCAGTCCAAAAACCAATTTCATTCATCTTTACATTTACATTGTGTATCTCTCATTCACCAATAGTTTTAGATTTTAATATCAATCAAAAGCAGTCAGTCGGTGATCTCAGATCTTGACATTCAATTGATCTGATACGAGATCAGGTTTTTTTTCTTTCAACACTTCAGTACTCATTCTTGATTGCTGAAATTCACAGTCAGGTTATTAAAAGCTAATTTTTTGAATGTTATATTCCAAAGCAATACATGAATAAGTCAGACTAAATCTGTTCTGCACCTCAAAAAAGACAAAACAAAACATCAAGAGGAATTCATTGCAAATAAATGGTTGCGTTTAGCTTGTTTCATCTGCTCTGATAACCGAACTATATATAGTTCAGTTTTGTTTTTAATTAATACCACTGGCAAAATAACCTATAGTATGATGTTATTTCGTATTTCTTACAAATATTTCCTCGACTGAAGATTACCAATCTAATCTTATCTGTTTCATAAAGTTCATATGTTAACTTAAACAAGGAACCGATTTCTTTTTAACGGATAGTTTTGAAAACGTGGACGTTAAGTGAATTTATAAATCATGTTAACTGTTGAACTTAGATAACCGGTGAACAGATAAAAAGAATATATGCTAAATGATGTAATGCAATATAATTATTTTCAAATCTAATTAAACCTCATAAAGTTTCGCTTCAGCCACACTAAAATTAATAGTCTAAACTATATATACTATTTTAAATGTGAAAATCTTTCTGATTTATTAACAACATAGGGTAGGATTAAATTGGTCATTTAATCTTTTGATAAGATCAACTGAGTCGATCAGGGCATTTTTTAACGGACAACCATCCACTACCGACTACTTTGACGAATGATATGGTCTGGTGTAAGAGTATATCACAAGAAAGCTTGGAGGAAGTCATACTAACTAAGGCGTGACATATTTATAGTCCACGAAATTACTCACAACTGAACTAAGCCACTTATGTAAATGCAAACTATCTGGTTGAAGTTCAAACGATTTTTTTTAAACTAACACTCAGAAACTTTGAATGACATAGTTCAGAATTATTTTCAATGATGTAGTAGACACATTGAGTCTTTGTCTTCCAACCTACGTTTTTTTCTATTCAACAATTAAATCTTCTATTATGATTAGTTATTTTTTTTGACCTAATCAAGCATTCATTAACCTCGTTTAATGTTTTTTTAAAATTTTTCTATTCTAGAATAATTCATACTGAAGAAGGTGAATTAATTCAAAAGAAATATGATCAAATATTGAGTCTTCTGGACGAGTAAGCCTTAATTTCTATGGATGATAACGATCGATTTTGTATATATATATATATATATATATATATATATATATATATATGACTTTGAAACTAAGCATCCTAATCATTCATCCCGTCAGTTTTCACTAACAACTGATAATAATTTACTAAATAGGGGCAACATTAGCCATAATATGATTCAAATTATCCCACTGTCTTGAAATATAATTAGATCATGAATACCATAATTCATTTTTATTGTTTGCATTTAAGGAAAAAGGTTACACACACACTAATTCAATAAAACCTACTTTATTTACTCACTAATAAAATTATATTGAATTTTATATTTCAGATATGAAAAACGTGCATTTAATGAATGGTCTAAGGGTGTAGATGAAATATGTTCATTCAATTTGTCTCAACCACTACTTGTACGTGATCCAAATACAAAAATGCTAAGTGTCAATTTCGATGCAAAAGTAAGTTTGTCAAAAGTTTTACTTGAAACTTCATAGTCCTAGCATGCATTATACACGCTTTGAGATGTTGCACTAGTTTACCATAGATGGTCGAAAATAATTTCAAGACCTACTAGACCGAAGAACAATACTTAGTCTTTAAGCTGATTGAATTCACAGACCGAAACGTAACAGCGAATATTGACTTCTCAGTTTGGTTTCTCGCAAAAAAAAATCGTCATAAATGAACGGGAAACGAAAATGTCATGGTTCAGTGATGATAATAAATAACGCGAGTGTTTTCATTCTTTTATTTCTCCACTACATCTAAAGATGAGGCGTTATTTCAAAGCTTTGAATGCATGACTTTATTATTCCTTCTTTTTTAATAGTATACACTTTGTTAAGGTGTTACTATCATTGATATTACTTACAATTTCAGTTTCCTTGCTAATTTTGTACAACACTCTACTCTTTTTCGTGACTGAGTGAACGAAAGTACTTTCTTGCAAAACAATCCAAGGGAGGAACTTTTAGACAACCAGTGCAATACTTTTAAGTTGATACAAATAAGATTACCGTTTAGGTTTTAATCAATAAGTACACAACCATGAATACCATTACAATGAGCTGATTCTATGCAATTAATTGAGACAATAATAAGTTTTACAATCAAAAGGCTCTTTGTTTCTCGTTTCTTTAAACATTTTGACATAACGTTACTGTTTGCTGTAAGTGTTTGTGAATTCTATCCCAGATTCCTTTAGAGTTTATCTCATTCTAGTTAGTACATTGTTCATGCTAAAATAGATAATGGTGTGATGTAAGACAAGTACCTCAAATTTCAGTCAATAATAAAATTCCTCATACCAACAACACTAGCCAGTTGATGTATTTTTGAAACCAAGAATCGATCAATGTTAGACCACCATCAGAAACCTGAAAGCACGGAAAGACTTCCGTTTTGTCCTGATATATGACTCATCAGCATCGCGTATCCACGACCCCTGCACCCCAAAGGATTCGGTATAGTGTGCGAACGCCTAACCTCTGGACCACTGAGCCGGTATCTAACGGGTGTTAATGTCTAACTTCCAGGTTTCTAATGGTGGTCTGACATTGACCGATCCATGGTTTCAAAAATGTGTAACTTAACACTCTTCACAACCCCGTAATCCAAATTACCTGTGCTCACTAGTGACTAGCTTGGTGAGGAATCTTCTCTGCGTTCTAGTTGAAAGTCGTGACTAGTGAAGTTCAACCTGTTCGGGTGTAGACAGTAACTACCGAAGAATGTGTATGAGGTTGCGCGCAACTCCGTGAATTGATCAAGTTAGACATTAACACCATTAGATACCGGCTCAGTGGTCCAGAGGTTGTAATAGTGTTACATAAGTAACTTCTCCATCATGCATAAAAAACCCATTCAAAGGCAGGTATTCAGATCTATCTGTTTTGAAAAATAAATCTTATCAAAATACAGCTGTTAAAATCAAAAAAATATTACTTCCTATCACTTATTCATGAATACACTATGACAAAATCATGATCTGTCATGATCGTACACAAATACATACTGAATAAAATTCGCTCATGAGATCAATCGTTTCTTTTTACATTAGATGTTAGAGCCAACCAACCAGTTATTGGAAAGCACAACTACACTTACCATGTGTGTTGTCTTGTTTTAAGACTATTCATAAGTCAGAAATTTTTGTAAAATAAGTGTGTGATTCGACGGTACTTTTCATCACGCACGTAATTCAAAGTTTTGTTTTGCAGTACAAACAATCTGACATGCTATTAGATTCAGACAGAGTTCTCAGTTCTCGCAGTAAGTATAAATATTTTTCAACTGTTACGTAACAATTCCTGGGGTCTACATGTACAGCAGTATTTATTCATTTACTCTTGGATTTTCCAACCAACAAAGTTTGTTACGAAGGTTCTTTTCAACGTGTACAACCCTCGCACACCGCCGCCAACATCCAAGTTAAGTGCGGATAAATCTACTATTGATCGTTATTATTATTATTATTATATATTACTATTCTGTTCAGTACTCCTTGATCTTCAGTTGTCATCTCATTAATGTCAGTTCTAAACGAAATCAATCTACTCTTTGAGAATTATTTGTTTAATGCAGTATTCAAAAGTTAATGATCCTTTAAAGTTTAACTGTTAATCACATTTCATTTACTTTTATTTCCTCTAGCTTGTAGCTATTCTTCGTGAAGTTAAATATTTAGGCATATTTACCGAAGAAACAGTACCTAATTCAGCAGCCAAATTATATGAACAAAATGAGAAATTACGCAATTTCCATATCAGTTTAGATATGATTGTTGAAGCTTATAGTTATTTATCTAACCAACTTATACCTGTTGAAACAGAATTAATCAGCAAAGAAATGAGTTTATTTGATAAGCAAGCGGAACAAGCTGAAACTTCATTGAATTGGGAAACAAGTGGTAAGTGACTTTTTCCTGATTTAAACAGTTATGACGGATTATATATTTTATTTATGTATGAAGAAATCGACTCGGAATGATGGAAAGCAGTCGGTGGGAAGTCGTATAAAACAAGTCCCTTAATAATGAATGCATAAAGAAGGACGATAGTTGTTTTAGCTTTATGAATCGAGATCATGTCTGATTCCGGTGTAAAGCACTGTTTATGATGTTTTTTCACTAAACACATCGATATTTCTCAACTGAACATCGTACAGGGTTTAGAATTACAGTGATTTCAGCATAGTTTTCACCTCTATCGAGCATTATGGAATAATTATGATTACTATCTGATAAGTCAATTTTATGGGGAAATACTTTGCATATTTATGGTAACAATTTAAATAAAATTCAGCAATTTAAATTGGTTTAGCTTAACTGATAATGCGGTATGTTGGAACTTGACCTAGTAGGCATTTGCATTTGCACCAGGTTCTACGTTGAAAACTACCGTCTGAGGTAGTCATAACTGATCAGACATACGTTTTTTTAAGTTTCTTTAAAAACGGAACTATTTTTCCACAAAACACAACTAGCGTCTATATTATGGCTGTTTTTGATGTGCTTTATAGGAGAATGTGTGGACTAATTAAAACCCATGATCTGTGGATTCATTTAAGTTGCAAGTGAGACAGTAGCTCATCGATGACACCAGATCATGATCACCCTAGATCTGTATCTCAAATTTAATGAGGTTTAGGACGTGGACTTACGGATTCTAAACTTGATAGTTTGTATAAAATACCTGAAAGACTTCGGTTTTATCTTACGTGACGTCGTGGCGAACATTTCACAGGTCCTGTAAATGAATTAATGTGGTTCTTAATAGAACTTTATTTTCAGTACTTAACTGTAACTACACCTATCAGATACACTGAATACGATTCATAAAGAGATTTTAATATTAAATAAAAATATAACTTCTTATAATACTTATATGAATAGCAAGTTATATATGTATTTATATATATATATTTTTTTCTCTATTCAGATGCATGGAATTATATACAAATTACACGAAATCAGATTGATGATTTAAAACAACGCGTAGTACAAACGCAAGAAAATATACAACAGATTCAGTTAATTACAACTACATGGTCTAAAACACCATTGTTTGAACGTAAAGATGGTAAAAAAGACACATTATTAGGATTGGATGATCGTGAAGATAGATGTTCCAAGCGGTATGCTGAAATTACAGATTCCGGTAAACAAATACTGAATATTCTAAAAGTAAGTAAAATTAAAAAGATCACATTCAAACATGTCCCATGTAAAGTCCATTAACTGGGATGACCTGGTTGACCACATGATCAGACTAAATCAGTTGATCTCATCTTCTGTTTCTGTCAAATTTTGAAAACCTGTTTATCCGGGCAAGAAAGCAGCATGTCAATCGATAACAATGTTGAGCCTGTGACAATTATGCATCCACGACACCAGTACATGTGTGTATGAAATGATCAAGATCCATTCTGAATTAGTAGAAGTTACCGTCATATAACGGATGAATGAAAATATTCTTCCCTCTCGGACAATATATTTATTGCCTTACTATCGATGAGTCAGGAGTAGAAATCACATTCGACAGTCAGTACGCTAAGTACCTTGTCTGTCCACAATCGATGACTAATCACAAATTTGCTTGCACTTCCACACAGCATACTGATTTGTAGTTGTCACTCAGTGATTCTAGACACTGATCATAGTAACCGTGACAACTTCAACCACTCATTCCTAACTGAATTCGTAAGCTATGAATTAGTGAATTCAAACTTTACGATTGTATTCCGATGGTATTCATTATGAAGTTTAGAGTGTCTTGGTTGATTGATAATAAATACAATCCTGGATCTCTGTTGTTAATACGTTTCAGACTGAAATGGGAAGGATTTTCGGGATATTCTAGTCAGTCATTAATGAAGGCTATTCTCTTAAATTAAACCAAACTTTAAAAACAAATTAGGTGATACAGGTCTATTTTTGACAAGATGATCAGTTGAACACGAAGTAATGTAAATCACTAACTAAGCACAATTTTATAAGTTTCGTTTCGCCCTAATATCCGACTCGTTAAAAGAAGTTTCAAACATAAAATGAAACTTTTCTGTTGTTTTAATCGTTCTTCCCACTTATAGTTTTATGTACACTTATCTGAGATACACTTGAGTTTTGTAGAGGCTAGTCATTTAGTGAGACTATGATCTCAATTTTCATAGGATCTCATAAATTTCTGTCATAGACACTGGGTTTTCAAATTTGATTTCCACTTCATTAGTTCAATACCGTCAAAATTTATGGTTCATTTAATTTGTGCTTAATTTGGCATAATCATATTTGTTGAAATCAGTACATTAATATTTGTTTCAATCCTTACTTCTAGATGTTATATGGCTCTCCTTAAATTCTTCAACCTAAAAATTATGTAATGCTTGGTTTTCAGTCTGTTGTGAATTTCTTTACTGATATCTACTAACACTGGGTTCTGCGCATGCAAAACTACTCACAACTCTCATCTGTACCTACACTCCCTCTAAACTACCAATTGGAATCCTTGAAAGATAGCTAAAGTATAATTTTTTGACGTTAAAGCTCATATCATAGATATAACATTTAAAATCATAATACATCATAAATAATTAATCTTAGCATATACATAGCTTAGTCTATTTATGATATAAAGTATGAAAAACAGATTTATCATGAATAGACAGTAATTAATGGTTAATGAGCCAAATAAAAGGTTAACTATCAACTGTTTTTGAATGCAAAGATCACATTTAAGTCTTCTGATTGCTATGGCTTCCTCGAATTTTAATTAAGGCATAATTAAACTGTTTGTTGACTACATTGAATACATTTGTTGCAGTCACTCTGTTGTCCCGACCGAGCTATATTGGCTGGAACATATGTTCCTGAAGGTTTTACCATGCCAGGCAGGGCGATCGGAGAACGATCAGACTAAAAGCAGCTACTCAAGGTCTGAGGGCGAAGTCGTACTACTGACTGCAGAGGGGTGTGACAGCAGTAAGATATTCCCCTCGGACAACCAGCATCTGCAGCGATGTTGCCTTCTCACGAGGAAGGAGGGGATTAGAAAAGGTCGACCCTAAAAATGTCACACCTCACCCTACCTCACGGATTTCCGTCTCCTTGGGTAAGGTTGCCCACTAAGGGCTTTCAAGAGCGGAGCTGACACTCAAGAAACCCTTCATAAAAAGGCCGTGCATGACCGGCCTCAAGCAGTTGTCCCTTGAACTCTACGGTCACGCACCCAGGTCTCTAAGACCAACACTGATCTACCTTCCCTTTCAGGTCCCTCAAGAAAAAACCTTCCACGGTGTGGGCAGATGGGAAGTGACAACCGCCCTCATACCCGTACCAGCAAACGAGACCAAATTGGTCAAAATCAAATCCTTCCTACACCCCCTAGTACCTCTCTTATCTCCACGACTAACTCTTCTCACATTCCTGTATCTCACTCCACAGCTAATGCAAACGATGCAAGTCCACGAAACGTCATTCCTGGTGTCCTGAAACCTCATTGTAAATTACATGTTGAAGCATTTAATGTATGGACATTGTGTCAAGTAGGGCAACAGGTTTCGTTAGCTAGGACATTAAAATCTCGCTCAATCGATGTATGCTGCGTCTCGGAAACGCGCATACAGGATCCTAATAAAATCATTAATTTGGTTTCACCTTATCAAAACAAAGAAGCAGCCCAATTTACTCTGTTGTAGCCCGTATCTAACAGGTGACATGCTATGGAACAACAAAGATTATTGCATGAGAATATGCTCAAATGCGTTTCTTTAAATCTTCCCTCATCAATCTTTGATCAGTTTATACAATTACATATTATTTTGTTTTCTGGCTCCTTGGGGAAGTGTTTTTACGAACCTTTGTTTTAGCTTTGTTAGGTTCGTCACTAGGTATGGCTGAAACTATTACGGGTTCACCTTAGTCGATAAACGCGAATGAGACAATGAACCAGCGTCCAGGTAGGCTACTCTGATCTACTGACTATTGAAAAGTCTTGATGCAGCGTGGAAAATATATTCTACAAACACCCAGCAAGCACAATACAATCAAATACACAAATCTTATTTATACATCATAGAAACGTCCTTGGGACAGTCACAAAAATAGCACACTAAAATACACAGCAGCCAGTCACAGCAGGGGATTTTCCTGGTGGGAAATGAAATCTCAAGGTCAACTAATCAGCCCATGCTCGCAAACGTGAAATCCAAAATAAGGCATTTATCCATCGAGTACTAGGGATCTAACGTCCCAAACAAGCTTGTAGTGTAAAAGGGTTTCGTTGATTTGTACATCGTTGCTCATTCATGTCGGTTCAAATTGGCCAGTCTTAACATTGAAAGTGTATTATTAACACTGTCAAATTAATATTCTCCATAAACACTTCGTACTCACTCTCAGTAAGAACTGAGGGAAAAGCAAAAAAAGAACGTAAGTCATTTTGTGTAGAAAAAACATTTCATTTTCTTCAGTATTTATTCACAGACCCACTAGTTAAACTGAATAGTGCCGAATGTCATAGCAATGAAAAATGAGTAAGTAAAATTGTCCTTTTGCTTTCTAGACAAGTCGTGAATTATTTAAAGCTGATGAAAACGATCCTGCTTGGATAAAATACATTGAATACATTGATGGTATTCTAGAGACTGGTCTTATTCAAGCCATCGAGTGTAGTTTAAATTATTTACTCACCGAAACTGAAGATAGCCCGAACACAGCTGCTTTATTGGAAGCTCAAATGGAACTACAAGTAACCGTTAATCTTCTATATAATAATACATAATTGACTGTTTGTTTTTTCTTTTAAATCTCAAATGTAAACCAGTTTTGGGGCACAGTTTTGGAGGTTTGCGTTTTTTACACATTTGAAATCATCAGTCAATCATTGTTAGACCAACATTAGAAACCTGGAAGCACTGGACAGCCGTTTCGTCCTGGTATGGGACTTATCAGCGGTGCGCATCCACGACTCCTGCTCCTCGTAGGATTCGAAGCCAGGACCTTCGGCATTGTAGGCGAACGCCTTACCATCGGTCCACTGGGCCGGCATCCAACGGTGTTAATGTCTAACTCTGATTGATCCATGGATTTTGCACGACCTCACCCATTTGTCTTTGGTAGTTACTGCCTACACCCAACAGAGTTGAACTCCATTGGTCAGGTCCTCGCAAAGCTAGTCACTATTGAGCACTGTTACGATATTTTGGGGCACAGTTTTGGAGGTTTGCGTTCGCCTACAATGCCGAAGGTCCCGGGTCCGAATCCTACGAGGAGCAGGAGTCGTCGATGCGCACTGCTGATGGGTCCCATACCAGGACTAAAAAAGGCCGTCCAGTGCTTCCAGGTTTCTAATGGTGGTCTAACAATGATTGATTGATGATTTCAAATGTGTAGTAAACCAGTTTATTGTTGGGTCAGTAAATTTTCGGTTCACAGAAAAAAGAGAGATATTGAACTAGCTAAAAAAACAAGTTGTATTGTGCAAATTATACAAAGTACAGCTGTTCAAGTGTGATTAGTTGAACAGTGAATCCTGTTCATTTAATTCGCATATGCTTAAATTTAGTTAATATAGTATAGTTAGGGGCGGCTTAAATGAATTTTCTCACTCTGTATCATAACAGGCACTTTGAAAAAAAGGTAATCTCTTCAGCTAATTAATCTTTGAGTAATACAGAGACTTACACTAATAATAAATATCATAAACAGAGTGATAAGTAATAGTGGTTGGTGTATTAGTATTTTTGCGATTAAAAAAAAGATATGCCACATTAGGATCTTCCAACATAATGACAACAATAATTTAGCCATTATCCTGACAGTTCTCCGAACCTCCTCATGATTTGAGGTTTGATGTTTTGAGCTGATTATTATTACATTCCTAGACAACTAAAAATCACAATTTGGAAATTGGTGATGCCTCTGGAACAAAACAAAAAAACAAACATTCTCTCATTCATTCCAATGAGCTGGTTCATTCTTCTTTATTTACAAACAATTGTGATGTGTGAACGATGTAGTTGTTCCCTTCTTTTTTATCAATTCACTTTCACCCTGTTGACAAGAAGCTATTAGGCTAACATTACAACCTCACCCATGCTAGATTGTTTCACACTGATATCATCATTTAAACTCCACAATGAAACCATTAAAAAAACACACAGTCCATTGGAAATCCATTTTACTAGTTTATGTAATAATCACCTTTTTGACTTGAATGGCTGAGCACATTAGTTGTGATTAACTTGGGTGGCATAACTGAAGCTTTTTTCTTGTATATTACTTACATTTAGGCCCCGGACATATCATTTCAACCGTCTATGGATATTGATTCGAAAAATGGACTGTATGCACTTGTCAACCGTATCATTGATGATATTTACAAACAAGCAACATTTATTCCTTATATAACCAATATGAGTATGAAAGATAGCTATTTGGTTAGTGACAATACTACTACTTTTTCCTTTGTTTCATCCTGCAATTAATTGATTTTATTTTTTGTAACATTTGTAGATTGATTGAATTAGAGAGTGGATTAAAAATGAGAGGAAACTTGGTTTGTAGTGTTACTGTTGCTGTTTTTTCTCTGTGTGTAGTGAATAAATTGAAAAGTGCAGAATTATTATGAGTAGTCGAATGGATTCTGACTAATTGAGTGAATAGATTCCGACTCATTTGAAAACTCGAGAATTCCTCATTCGACTCCACCTATGAGAAGTTTCGAACTGGAATAAAACAGATTCTCATTCGAGCTAGTTATAAAAGATATATATACTACACTTAAAACCGAAACTGAACAAAAATAACTGAACAATCCACTGATAGTTCACGACCACACATTATGAAGGATCAAGTTAAAGAAGTCTAGTTCATCACAGTTGTTTTTGTTTGAGCAACAGAAAGCTCTCTTACAGGCAAATAAATAGACATATGAAAAAAAAATGCTTTTTGTATATAATAAAAAAATAATAAGTGGAAATTTAGTGAATAATTATCAAATTAGCATAAATAAGCCTTAAATAATTCGGCTTACTCTCTCTCTCTCTGAGTACTACGTGACTTATCTATCATTTCAAACGGTTCACGAAAGAAGGATCGCATTGATTTCTTTTTACTGTATCCTTTTTCATGTTACTAGCTTCTCACTATCACTGACTTATTAAAGTGTGGCGGCACCTTGAATCTGATACATATTTTTGTTACAAGTCGGTCGCATATGTGATTTAGATCTATCAATCAGTCTACTTCTTTCCATCACCCTTTAGAAACTCAACCACTTTCCTATGTGTACTAGTTAATTTATTCATCAAATAAACGAAAACTTATCCATTGTTCATGAATAATAATAGTTCTTCCAAGGTGATTTATATTGCAGGCAGGTACACACCGAAACCAGTAAATTTGTGGGGCATTAAGATATTCGCGCATCTTATCACTTATGATGATTATTAATAGACAGAAATTCATAATTTGCAACGGTTGTCTCATTTATTGATGAACAGACAGCTTTCTTTGGTTTATTATAAATAATAACTCATACCAAACACATACAACATTGGACAGTAATTTAGTTCAATGTACAAGCAATGTGCAAGCATTGTTGCCAAGTCCCTTTGTGTTGCGCGCTACTTATAAGTAGTATATAACGCAAGTGTAAACGTAATGTCTGGCAGCAGAAGATGAGGGAAGATCAAGAAAGGAAGAGTGGGAACACAATGGAATTTGTATGAAACGCATGAATAGTGAAATGTCAGACAATGGATTGATGATGGATTGAAGATTTGCAAATTAACGGTTATGATATGGTTTTCCTATTTTACTGAGTAACTCTGTAATTTTCGTTAAATGCAATCCGGTTGCCCCACCTGTGTTCTCCTTCACTACACCTTGACCGATGCATACTTAGGCTCAATTTGAACTTAAATTGACAGAGCGAACAATGAGTCTGTAAGACACAAATTACTTCATGTAAGAATTTGTTCAATTATAAAACTCCTAAATATCAGCTTTATATTCAATATGCATCAGTTGACAGCAACAAACAATAAATTCTTTTTCCTTTTTTCTTTATTTATTCTAAACCTATTTTCAATGCACATTGTTTTTTTTAATTTTCTCTGGTATATTTATCATATAAGTTATGCTTGCTATCTGATTAAATAAAACAAATAATCAACTAAATTTTAATTAGAGCAAAATGCATCAAAATGAAAATTTATCAAAAAAACGTAAACAACTCTTGGATCGTGTAGAAATTGTCATGAAAAAGGCATTGAATTATCGTGCCACATTTGATAAATATTCTTATTTATGGATTGATGATCGTAATGAATTTATGCAACAATTTTTATTATATGGACAACCGGTTAGTCAAGAAGATTTAGATTTAATCAATGCTAGCGGCGGCATACAACCAACCGGTGAAGGTGCCGAAAACTTACCAGTATTAAAACCACCAACGTTGGAACAATTTAAAGAGCAAATCGATTACTATGAAGAAATCTATAATGAGGTAATAATGTATGCTGTTCTCCATTTCTGTTTGCTCAAATTAGAGAATGCAATAGTTGTATTTGACATTTGAAGATAGTAGTGTTCAAGAGGCCCAATCTATTAGCAACTTTGTCCAATGTCTATTGAATATATATTATGATGTCCAGGATTTGTGTTCATTTTTCTGTGTTATATTCAGTAGGTGACTACTGACTATTAGGATGTAGCTTTCGTGAAAATTTTCATTTAAAGCGTTGACAGTTATCCTAAAATATCAGCCATCAACATTTCAGTGTGGCACAGTCCGACATTCTTCCAATCGAAAACCACAATTAGTTACGGTTTAAGATAAAAACTTTCATTCTATCTAATAAACATCCCTCACCTACTGAATAGCACATAAAAACAACAGAAAATCCTGGGTATAACGTACTCAGAGAATATTGAAAATCTTGCAAATAACCTCAACGTTTACAAGTTAACAGTATCTATCCATAATTCATTAAAAAGAGAGAGCACTAAAGACTTGGTTATTTATTTCATTGTAGTTTGGAACTCTTTTAAGTGATACGCATTTATCTATTCACAAAGGCTCCGACTAGTAGTAATTCTTGATAGGGAAAACACAATCAAAATATTTCGATTTTAAACAGATGAACGTCTTGTTTTACTAAATTAGAGAATAACAACATTTAATTTATAAACGATCTCTGGTATATTTATTTTATCGCTTATTAGGATTGAGATACTTTGATTTTACATCATTTACGATAATTTAAGCAGTTAGCTGATAACGACACTCTTCATTCGACCGGTCTTTGCTATATAGCCTTGAGAATAAATTCTATTTTGAATGATTCAATATATTAACTGTGTATTCTGAGCAGACTTGTTTGTATATGATAAAGTGTTTTGGCATACTTTAAAGCTAGGCTAGGTTTGGAGCATAAATAAACCAGTTAACTTAATTACCAGTAGCTGTTCTAATTCTGTTACTCTTCAACTAAAGTTTAATTTCTCTTGTATACAGTGTCCAGAGTGCAGTTCACTCCTGTGCAAACATTTCTATTATCATCACATTGATGAACTGTAATTACTCTAATCATGTAAATAGAATATAAAAAGAGACCGCTAATAAAACAACTCACAAGAACGTATGCATAGTAAGGTATCTGTTGATTGAACACATTTGATGTACAGATACAACAAAATAACAGCCTTAATTAAGTATTGTTGAGTTTGTACATAATTCACTAAATAGTTTGTTTTTTTAAACAAATTTGAATTACTTTTTTTTTCTAAAAGGTTGGTAAATTAGATGGATCTACTAAATTTGATTCTTGGTTCCGTGTTGACGCGCGTAAATTTAAACAAGCGCTCATAAACGTCATTAAACGATGGAGTCTAATGTTTAAACAACACTTGATTGATCATGTTACAACCAGTTTGGAAGATTTGAATAATTTCATTCAGGTAAATTCTAGTGATTTATTTTATCAGATTTTAACTTTTATAATTATAATAATAATTAATATGTTGTTTACTGCTTAACACTCACTTATACTACTGCATGAGGAAAAAATAGCTTACGAGAGTTGGCGATTAAGAATGGTAAAATTCAGAGGACTATGAATTGATAACTTCAAAAGGAATATTTTATTGTCTCGATATTCAACTTTGTAGGATATTTAACATTCATATTAGTTAGCTCTGACATGTCAGATTTCTTTCTAAAATTATTATAGGTTACTAATTGATTTTTTTGGTATCAATCTCCCGTAGCATATTCATACTTGTGCATATTGTTGAAATGAGAGAATACAGATTAACACATCGATCCGCTGATTAGTACTCATTGTAGTAGGTAAAGGTACTCAGACTTATCCTTTCTTGTAATGTCGAAATTTTTTGACGTTTATTTTCTAGAAAATATCAGATTTGTTTTCATTCGATCCAAAACAATAAAACTTTTACTTACTTACTTACTTACGCCTGTTACCCCCAATCGAGCATAGGCAGCTCACCAGTTTTCTCCAACCAACTCTGTCCTGGGCTTCCCTTTCCAGTTCTGTCCAATGTTTGTTCATTCCTCTCATATCTTTCTCTATTTCTGGGTGTAATGTGTTCCTTGGCCTTCCTCTTTTCCTTTCGCCTTGAGGGTTCCATGTGAGGGCTTGTCTTGTGACGCAGTTAGGTGCTTTCCGCAATGTGTGTCCTGTCCACTTCCACCGCTTCTTCCTGATTTCCTCCTCCATTGCAATCTGGTTTGTTCGTTGCTAATCGTGTCTGACCATCGAATACGAAGTATTTTGCGTAGAAAACTGTTAATAAACACTTGGATCTTGTGGATTATGGCTTTCGGAGTTCTCCAAGTTTCCGCTCCATACAGTAGAACTGTCTTGACATTTGTACTGAATATCCTGATTTTGGTTTTGGTTGAAAGTTGTTTGGAGTTCCAGATATTTTTCAACTGTAGAAATGCAGTCCTTGTTTTGCCAATCCGCGCCCTCACATCTGCATCGGATCCACCTTTCTCGTCGATGATGCTGCCCAGATATGTAAAGGTGTTAACCTCCCCCAAGGCATATCCATCAAGAGTGATTTGGTTGGTGCATGTTGTGTTGCATCTGAGAATTCTGCTTTTTCCCTTATGTATGTTGAGACCTACTGTTGCAGAGGCTGCTGCTACACTGGTCGTCTTCTCTTGCATTTGTTGTTGCGTGTGAGATAGAAGAGCCAGGTCATCTGCGAATTCCAGATCGTCCAGCTGCGTCCTAACTGTCCAGTTGATACCGTGCTTAACCTCCAGATGTCGACGTCTTCATAATCCAGTCGATCACCAGGAGAAAGAGAAAGGGTGAGAGTAAGCAACCTTGCCTGATACCGGTCTTCACCTTGAACGAATCTGTTAGCTGTCCTCTGTGTACGATTTTACAGTTGAATCCATCATAAGCATTCCGTATGATGTTAACTATTTTCTCAGGCACACTATAGTTTCGAAGAAGCCTCCACAGTGTTTTCCTATCCACGCTAGCGAATGCTTTCTCGTAGTCGATGAAGCTGATGTAGATTGGTGCTTTCCATTCAATCGATTGTTTTACAATGATCCGTAATGTAGCAATTTGGTCAGCACACTATCGATCCTTACGAAATCCGGCCTGTTGATCTCGAAGTTGGGCGTCTACAAAACTTTTATAATCTCAATTTTTATATTAATGTTTTTTTTCTCATCTTCATTTCTTCTTCCCCTGCTTTAAGGATTCCACTCAGGCTTTAAGTGTGGATCTTCAAGAAGGAAATTATGAGGCTTTAATTTCTGTCATGAAAAATTTAGGCCAAGTAAAAGATCGTCAAATTTCCACCGATGAAATGTTCGAGCCATTGAAACAAACAATTGAACTATTGAAAACGTATAATCAAGAAATGCCTGATAAAGTGCATCAGCTATTAGAAGTAAGTGACTGGAAATTGGAATTTTTATTTGGGTGTCGGTTCTCTTTATTCATGTCACGAAGACAAATGGTTTTACTACAGATCAAGTAACAATATTTAATACAACGTTGTTAGTAATTAGAAATTCTTGTAACCGAAGATCAAATCTGTCCTTTTCAATCATGTAAAAGTAACTGATGAATCCTTCTACAGACTTGGATATAAATGACTGCACACTGCCCATCTAATGAAGCAGATTGAATAAGACCATTTACTTCGTACTCATTGTTAACCGGTATGAGATTTATCTTTCTTAGAGCGATAGACTGGAAACTACTTCTTTGAAGAGCTCACTGGGGCAAAATCACCCCACATTGTCATTGAGTATAGGTCTTGAGAGGCCGGTTTTCTGACTCTTACTCAGATGAACATATGAATGAATGAACAGTGAAAATAAATACACTGAAGCTGAACCCCTTTGTTCGACGGTAGTAATAAGAACCCAAACGAGGACTCAGTTGGATGAATGTATTTTAAGCATTCGTTTACTCAAACGAACAATTAGGTGAAAAGCAGATAGGAGAAGCGGAGAAAACTAGTGGTATCAACTCCATCGGATCAAGTGTGACTCGCTGGTTATATTATTGAGACAAAAATAAATACATTGTGATGAGTAGTAGAGTAAACGATGCACACACACACACCCAGCTAAAAACTGTCAAGTTTTAAAGTAAATAACTGAAAATGTCAAAATAGGTGGTGGTTAATAACAACTTGAAAAGAATAAATTAACTGGTATGTTCCGTAAGTTTGAGTAACAACCCATGTAGGCACACTACAGATTATTTTATGGTTAAACTAAAACTTATTTAATCCCACCTTGTAAGAGGTAAGCAGAACACACACATGTCAAAGCCAGTCAATCGATATTCAACTGTAATAAACTTCAAACTTATGATCAAGCAAGTATATATGCTGAGGTGGTGGCATATCTAGGAGATACACTTTTCAGAAACATTTGTACTCATGGATTTATCTACTAACTTACTTATTTATTTTACTGTTCTTCTTTAATCAAATATTCGCTCAATTTGTTTTTAGTTACTGCCTGAAAAATGGAACAATGTCAAGAAACAAGCGGTATTAATGAAACAAACAGTTGCACCACTGCAAAATAATGAAGTGGCTAGTATACGTCGTAAATGTGCCAGGTTCGATGTGCAACAACATATGTATCGTGAAGAATTTCGTAAAATAACACCGTTTAATTATAATTGTGAAAATCCTTACGAAATCATGGACAAGGTAATTCAATATTTCTTTATCGATAATATGTCCTGATTGTTTCAAACCATTGCGAACACTGATTAAAAGTGTTTTGTCATATTCGGATGGCTTTTGTCTACAGAGTAATCATATGAAATATGTGTATACTCAATAATAGCTAAGTGTACCGTATGTGCTGTTGATATGTTCGTCACTTAGGATGCTTGAGGCTATTACGAGTTTACCTTAGTCGATAAACGCGAACGAGACTTTTACCAGCTTCCAGGAAGGCTACCCTGAATACCCAGAATCGAAATAGAAGGCTTTGTAGGCGTAGAAGTATATTCTACAAGCACCCAGCAATCCCAGTACAATCAGGCATACAACTCTCGTTTATTTATACAACATAACAACGTCCTTGAGACAGTTAAGAAAATAGCATACTAAAATACACTGTAGCCAATCACAGCCATTGATATTCCTGGTGGGAATTGAAATCTCAAGGTCATTTGATCAGCCCCTGCTGGCGAACGTGAAAACCGAAATACGGCATTATCAAGCGAATTTCGGGGATCTAACATCCCCAACAGCTGTGTGCTATGTATACGATTGACCGACGAATTAAAGCTAATGAAATGTATTGACAATGTTTTCGAACCGAAAATTGTTTCAAACTTCTTATTAAATGACTGAATATGAATTATGCACTTGTGAGATTGTTTGCATCCCTAGTTTTATGTACCTTCGAAAACAATCCAAGTGTTTATTTCGTGTATTGTTGATATTTCTTTTTTTTTTTAACGTTGAACTGTTCATGAGTTAACATTTATCACACAATATGAATAAAGATTATCAAGAAACTAAAAATACCCGATGAGATCACAGAAGCGTATTATCGTTCTCTGACGATTCTTATGATGAACAGCCAAAAACACGATTTACTTCATCATTTATGTGATTATAACATTTGCTTGGTTTATGACCAGTGTCGATGAATGGTGCTTCTTCGTAGAGTAATTAGGAAATAACAAAAAAAATAGTAACCCAAGACATTTATAGTCCATTAGGGTCATATGAGAAGTATTTGTACATGAGTTGGTTAGATTTCAACTGGAAAGAATCGACGGAAAATCTGGACAGGTTTATAAAGAAAATGTAGTTTTTTTTAACTATACAGTGCACGCAAATCACACATGTAGAAATAAACGCTTGTTCTCGTATTTAAGGACATGAAAAACTACTCGTAAATTTGCGTGTTTTTTTTTTTGTAGTCTTACAAAAAACGTTAAGAGGAGCACTGAACCTTCTGTTTCTGAAATTCATAGTGCAAATATTTTAAACAGTTTGGTTTTTTACGAGATTCCATATTTTAATTTCTATATATCTGTTTACCTATGCTAAGTGGACTCTACGGAGTTAAACGTTTAAGATCGAGTGAAAACCTAATAATGCATGCTTCGTCTAAAATAATAGCCATTATATGGTATTCAAATACAAGGATTCAAATCTTTCAATCAAACTGTTGTCACATCCAGTTTTGATGCAACTCAATCATCGCAGTTGATTCCGTGTTATTTCTTGAATACCGAATGTGTTACGCCTCCACGCAAGCACGTCATTCCGATATGCTTGAACTATTACGAGTTTACCTAGTCGGAAAATGAGAGCGAGAATCGAGGATCCGACGACACGACATGATACTCAAATCCGATTATCCCAACCACCATATTGAGTAAAAGAAGACAAGATTTGATATGAAGTTAAACATGTATTCTACAAGCACCCAGAAAGTACGAGATCCGAATCCAGAAGAGAATCAGGATCCCGGACTAGGGATCCGGGACTGGGTCCTGGTCCTGATCATAAAACGTTACAGATCATGCGTATTTATACATTTCGGTCGAATAGGAAACAGCATCGAAGTCTGTGGCATTGACAGTTAAGATGACCAATAGGAAGCAACCTTTGAAGAAACAACATTGGAGCATGTGACATTGACTGATATCTAGGACGACCATAAAATTGACTAGTAGGAATTAACCAATAGCACTTGACCAATAATTCTCTTAGGAAATTGGGTGAATATCCTAACAGAGTGCCAGTAAATTTTTTGCCTAATAATGAGAATATTCTCTCTTACTAACCATAAAATCTACCGCTTTCATGTTGGTGTTATTTCACAGTGCCTAATATTATGTCTTTTTTCATTGTTTCTTTTTTCTATACTAGAATCATCATAGTTTATCGTCATTCGAAAGTGAAATGTCATCTCTTGTTGCATCAGCCAGCTTATTTGAAGTGAATGTTCCTGAATTTAAACAACTTAAACAATGCCGTAAAGATTTGAAAACATTGAAAATATTATGGGATTATATTTATTTAATTCAAACAACCATGCATGATTGGACACTGAGTCCATGGCGTACTATCAATGTGGAACAATTAGATTTAGATTGTAAAAAATTTGCAAAAGATTTACGTGGTCTAGATAAAGAAATGCGTGCATGGGATGCATATATTGGTATTGAAGAGAAAGTGAAAAATATGCTGACATCATTGAGAGCAGTAAGTGAATTACAAAATCCAGCAATACGTGATCGACATTGGATACAATTGATGAAAGCGACCGGTGTGAAATTCAAAATGACTGAAGAAACTACACTAATGGATTTGTTATCATTAAATTTACATGAATATGAAGATGAAGTACGTAATTTAGTTGATAAATCTGTAAAAGAGATGAGTATGGAAAAAGTATTAAAAGAAATCAACTCAACATGGTCACAAATGGAATTCGAGCATGAAACACATTTACGCACAAATTTAACTTTATTAAAAGCAAGTGAAGAATTAATTGAAACACTAGAAGAAAATCAAGTACAATTACAAAATATGATGACATCCAAATACATTGATTATTTCCTTGATGATGTATCAGTATGGCAAAAACGATTATCCATAGCTGATCAAGTGATTACAATTTGGTTTGAAGTACAACGTACATGGTCAAATCTAGAATCAATATTTATCGGTTCTGAAGATATACGTAAACAGCTACCAGAAGATTCGGCAAGATTTGATGGCATTGATCATGATTTTCGCAAATTAATTCATGAAATCGGTAATGATTACAATGTGATTCGAGCAACAAGTCGACCACGTTTATATGAACGTTTAGAATTAATACAAAAAGATTTAACTTTATGCGAAAAAGCATTGGCTGAATACTTAGAAACTAAACGTTTAGCATTTCCACGATTTTATTTTGTATCACCAACCGATTTGTTAGATATCTTATCTAACGGCAATATACCAGAACAAGTTACTAAACATTTAACTAAACTATTCGATTCATTGGCTTCATTGAAATTTCGTCCAGGTGAAAAAGGTAATTCAAAAATTGCCTATCATATGGGTGCCAAAGACGGTGAACAAGTGAAATTATCCAAAGATATAGATTTAGATGGACAAGTTGAAGTATGGTTAAACAAACTATTAGATGAGATGCGTGCCACTATACGTTATTATTTAGCAGAAGCTGTTTCAACATATGAAGAGAAATCACGTGACCAATGGTTATTTGACTATCCAGCTCAAGTATCATTGGCCGGCTCACAAATTGGTTGGACAACAGAAGTGAATATAAATTTTGCTAGATTAGAAGAAGGCTATGAGAATGCATTGAAAGATTTTAACCGAAAACAAATTCAACAATTAAATGCACTGATCACATTGCTAATTGGTGAGCTGAATTCACAGGATCGTCAAAAAGTCATGACTATCTGCACCATTGATGTACATAATCGTGATGTCGTCAGTAAATTGATCAGTCAAAAAATCGATAATGCATTATCGTTTACATGGATTAGTCAATTAAGACATCGTTGGGATGACAAACAACAAGATTGTTTCATTAATATTTGTGATGCACAATTTCGTTATGCTCATGAATATTTAGGCAATACACCAAGATTAGTCATTACACCATTGACAGATCGTTGTTACATCACACTGACACAATCGTTGCATTTAACAATGAGCGGTGCGCCAGCTGGTCCAGCCGGTACTGGTAAAACAGAAACAACCAAAGACTTAGGCCGTGCATTGGGTATCATGGTTTATGTGTTCAATTGTTCAGAACAAATGGATTATAAATCCATTGGTAATATTTATAAAGGATTAGCTCAATCTGGTGCATGGGGTTGTTTTGATGAATTTAATCGTATTTCAGTGGAAGTTTTATCTGTTGTCGCTGTTCAAGTGAAATGTATACAAGATGCAATAAGAGATAAGAAGAAACGTTTCAATTTCCTCGGGGAAGAGATTAGTTTAGATCCAACAGTTGGTTTATTCATCACAATGAATCCTGGCTACGCTGGACGTGCTGAATTACCAGAGAATTTAAAAGCACTGTTTCGTCCATGTGCTATGGTTGTGCCAGATTTTGAATTAATTTGTGAAATTATGTTAGTCGCTGAAGGTTTCACTGATGCTAGATTATTAGCTAGGAAATTTTTGACGCTATATAAATTATGCAAAGAATTATTATCGAAACAAGATCATTATGATTGGGGTTTACGAGCTATTAAATCTGTATTAGTCGTTGCCGGTGCACTGAAACGTAGTGATCCAGGTCGACCAGAAGATCAAGTACTGATGCGTGCATTACGTGATTTCAATATACCGAAAATTGTCACTGATGATTTACCGGTGTTTATGGGTTTAATTGGTGATTTATTCCCAGCATTAGATGTGCCTAGAAAACGTGATTTAGAATTGGAGAAACAAGTGAAACAAGCTGCAATCGATTTGAAATTACAAGCTGAAGACAATTTTATATTAAAAGCTGTACAACTGCAAGAATTATTCGCTGTTCGACATTCAGTATTTGTATTAGGCAATGCTGGTACAGGTAAATCAATGGTATGGAAAACATTATATCGTACAAATTTCAATTTGAAAAAGAAACCAGTCGCTGTTGATCTAGATCCGAAAGCTGTTACAAATGATGAATTGTTTGGTGTTATCAATCCAGCTACACGTGAATGGAAAGATGGTTTATTCTCTGTGATTATGAGAGATTTAGCGAATTTAACACATGATGGACCTAAATGGATTGTACTCGACGGGGACATTGATCCAATGTGGATTGAATCATTGAACACAGTGATGGATGATAATAAAGTTTTAACATTATCAAGCAATGAACGTATTCCACTGACGCCGACAATGCGTTTATTATTTGAAATAAGTCATTTGAAAACAGCCACACCAGCTACTGTTTCACGTGCCGGAATTCTATACATCAATCCACAAGTAATTTTCTTAGATTGATATCAATAATTAGTTGTGTTATATTTTAATATATTCACAAACATTTTATTTATTAGATAGACTGTAATCATTTTGTCTTTTCAATCATGTCCGAATTCCAACTATATATAAACTACTTAGAGTTTGTCAAAGAAACACATCAACTCGTCAGGATTAAAGATAACCATAACAATAGTGATAGAATTTATGGTTTATTTCATAGATTTTCTAGGTCAAGCTATACCCAAAGTTTAATCATATATTCACGAAAAGTTACTTGATTATAGTTCACAGTGATAAAAGATCATTTCACTTGTCGGACATAGGTGCACATTCTACAGAAACATGAAACACAGTTCAAAACTATGCAGTAACCTACGAATATCTACTCTTACGGGCCATGTTTCACAGCCAAGAAGTAGGATGGAGCGAACTACTGCTCAGTCCTTCAGTCAACAAACGGATATCTCACTTTCACCATAAATGACGCAAGTTGGCGAAAGCAAATCGAGCTTTCTGTATCCGTGCTGAAATTTCGTCACACACCAGGCCATCAGTACTGATGAGACTCCCAAGATAAGTGAAGCGGTCTACACGCTCGACTACTTCACTTCCTATCACTAGTTCAGGTGCCGATGAAACTTTGCATTTCAAGGGTGAGAACCGCATCCCGAACATGCTTGCATTGTTGCTTAGTGTTGGGGATGTTAGATCCCCAAAATTCGCTTGATAATGCCGTATTTTGGTTTTCACGTTCGCCAGCAGGGGCTGATCAAATGACCTTGAGATTTCAATTCCCACCAGGAAAATCAATGGCTGTGATTGGCTACAGTGTATTTTAGTATGCTATTTTCTTAACTGTCTCAAGGACGTTGTTATGTTGTATAAATAAACGAGAGTTGTATGCTTGATTGTACTGGGATTGCTGGGTGCTTGTAGAATATACTTCTACGCCTACAAAGTCTTCTATTTCGATTCTGGGATTCAGGGTAGCCTTCCTGGAAGCTGGTAAAAGTCTCGTTCGCGTTTATCGACTAAGGTAAACTCGTAATAGCCTCAAGCATCCTAAGTGCCGAACATATCAGTGGCGACGGGGTAAAAACCATATCCACAAAACATATCAGTGGCGACGGGGCTCACAATTCACAATGTCAATTAATCTTGAACAGTTAGAATCTTTACTGGAACGTCAAGGTAAACGATATGAACAGTTTCAGGAACGTATGTTGGAGCTGTTAATGAAACAAATGAATTTGAATCACAGAGGTTTTGCCGATGATTCATGTAATCCGCATACAGACTCGATAGTTAATTCCATTCATGAATTTCATTTTGATGGCCTTGCTGGTGTGACTTTCGAGTCTTGGTTTAAGAAGTATGAGGATTTGTTCAAGGTCGACCTCAACAATCTTGATGACGCCACCAAAGTCAGAATCCTTTTGAGAAAGCTCGGCACAATCGAACACGAACGTTATAGTAATTTCATCCTCCCAAAGAACCCACGAGATTTCTCTTTTGATGCTACAATTGATACGCTGTCGCAAATCTTCTCTGAACAGTCATCTCTCTTTAATATTCGTTATCAATGCCTCAAAATAATCAAGTCAAATGAAGATGACTGGGTAAAGCATGCTGGCTTAGTAAATCGTGAATGCGAACGATTTAAATTATCATCAATGACGGAAGATCAGTTTAAGTGCCTTGTGTTTGTGTGCAGCTTACAATCTCCCGACGATGCTGATATAAGAACCAGAATCCTAAGTAAAATTGAACAGTGCCCAAACATCTCGCTTCAAGAAATAACTGCAGAGTGCCAGAGATTAGTAAACTTGAAGCATGATACCTCCATGGTCGAAAACAAGGGCCTCTCATCATACGTGCATTCCATTAGTGAAAAGAAAAATTCCAATTCGGCCCAAAAACCCAAAATGAATCCACCTTCTGCTTGCTGGCACTGCGGTTCATGGCACTATGTACGGAACTGCCCATTTAGGCAGCATAGATGCAGGAAGTGTAAAGTCATCGGTCATAAAGATGGCTTTTGCCTACAGAAAAAGCCAAAGCGATCCAGAAGTGCTAAGAAGCCTGTTCCTAGATCCAGTACCAATGCATTGAGCCTAATATCTTCCTGCCAAAGCTCATCACCAGGTGAGAGGAAATTTATTACTCTTAATATTAACGGTTATTTGTGTAGAATGCAAATAGATACTGCATCTGATGTCACTATCCTCTCACGCAAAAATTGGACCAAATTGGGCAACCCAAGCCTGCAGCACACAACACAAAAGCCGCGTACAGCATGTGGTAATTATCTTCGTCTGTTAGGACAATTGGAATGTAAAGTTGCTTTTCGAGATTCGTCGTTTACTGGGGTATGCTATATAACGCCAGCTGATCTAAATTTACTTGGTTTAGATTGGTTCGACCAGCTAAAATTGGCTGATGTCCCGCTAAATACCATATGCAACTTGGTATCACAACGACATGACCCAGAAGCGTATACGAAGAACCACGCAGAATGTTATCTGACAACCGCAGTTCGCGCATTACCGGTGTCTGCAACAGACATACAAAATGCTTCTAGAAACGACCCCATCATCAAGATGACGATGAAATATGTCACTAACGGTTGGCCGTCGAAAAAGTTTGAAGGTGACATGAAGCAACTGTATCAACGGCGGGAGTCACTATGCATCGTCAACGATTGTCTCATGTTTGGTGAAAGAGTAGTGGTTCCAGAATCTATTCGTGCAAAAGTGCTGAGACAGTTTCATCTTGGTCATCCTGGGATTAAACGAATGAAGTCCATAGCCAGGAGTTATGCATACTGGCCTCACATGGATCAACATGTCACAGCGTTGGTTGAAAAATGCATGCGGTGTCAGCAGGCGGCAAAGATGAATGCCAAAATTCCGCCGGTTTCATGGCCCAAACCTGAGCATCCTTGGTCCAGGATACATGTCGACTTCGCTGGCCCAATAAATGGAACTATGTATTTAATTGTCGTCGACGCCTTTTCTAAATGGCCGGAAATCAGCCCCGTTATGCCGCCCACTACAACTAAGACTATACAGCTCCTTTCTGAAATTTTCTCACGAAACGGCATACCAGATGTGATCGTATCCGACAATGGCTCTCAATTCACCTCTGCCCAATTCCAGAATTTCTGTCAACGGCTAGCTATTAAACACTTACGCTCGCCACCATACCACCCGCAATCGAATGGGCAGGCGGAAAGGTTTGTGGATACGTTTAAAAGAGCACTGCTCAAGTCAAAAGGGGAGGGGACGCCAGCCGAAACGTTACAAAATTTCTTGTACGTCTATCGGACAACACCAAATGAATTGTTACCGGAGCAAAAGTCCCCAGCTGAAATCCTGATGGGAAGAAGATTGAAAACGATTCACAGCCTGATGCATCCGACCAATGCACCCTCATCAGTAGGGACAAAGCAGCAAAGACAATCCGCTTACGAGGTGGGATGCCCTGTGTTTGCCCGCGACTACAGAACGAACCATGGTCCTTGGGTAGAAGCGAGAGTGGTCAGAAGGGTTGGTCGAGTTATGTACGAAGTAGAGGTAGGAGGTGATAAATGGTCACGTCATCGCAATCAGATACGCAGACGGCTAGCCACAGATCGCCCATCAAGAGCAGAAAGCCTTCCCCTTGACATCTTGCTTGATACCTTCAACCTACCGAGAGCCCCGCCACGAGAAGAAACTCAGCAGCAAGCTGTTCTTCGTTCCCGAAGGTATCCCCTCAGACAGCGGCGAACAATAGTCAAGATGCAAGTCGACCCCAGGAGAACAAGCTATTAAAAAGGGGAGGAGTGTTGGGGATGTTAGATCCCCAAAATTCGCATGATAATGCCGTATTTTGGTTTTTACGTTCGCCAGCAGGGGCTGATCAAATGACCTTGAGATTTCAATTCCCACCAGGAAAATCAATGGCTGTGATTGGCTACAGTGTATTTTAGTATGCTATTTTCTTAACTGTCTCAAGGACGTTGTTATGTTGTATAAATAAACGAGAGTTGTATGCTTGATTGTACTGGGATTGCTGGGTGCTTGTAGAATATACTTCTACGCCTACAAAGTCTTCTATTTCGATTTTGGGATTCAGGGTAGCCTTCCTGGAAGCTGGTAAATGTCTCGTTCGCGTTTATCGACTAAGGTAAACTAGTAATAGCCTCAAGCATCCTAAGTGACGAACATATCACTTAGGGTAGTCAGAAGACTCTGCATTTTGTCAGCGTTTTCCCTGAATAGAACTGTCATATTCTAGGCATATTCTAGGTATAACGACAATGTAAGCAAAACCTAATAAGTTTAATATATCTTCTTGACTTGTGAAAGCTTTAACAACTTGTAAGATTTCGGCAATAATCATCGTCATCATACATTATCGAACAGCTGATGATCCAAAGATGAGATTATTGGAGAACAAAAGATATAAGCTTCAGTCATTTGATTGTTCAAATAACTTTTAACGCCTTATTTCTAATGCTCTAGTAGTGGCATGATCACAGTGAAAAGGTTTAATTCATTGATATATTAATGTTGTTGTTGTTTCTGTGTTGTTGTTGTTGTTCACTGATAGGATCTTGGCACCACTCCATTTGTAGCCAGTTGGTTGGCTAAACGTGAACTACAATCGGAACAGGCTAATTTACAAATTCTCTTTGATAAATATATTCCATCCTGTTTAGAGGTATTACGTACACGTTTTAAAAAGATCACACCAATCGCTGAAATAGCTCATGTACAAATGTTATGCTATTTACTGGATTGTCATTTAACGCCCGAGAATACACCACCAGATAGTCCTAAAGAATTATACGAATTATATTTTGTATTCTGTGCTATCTGGGCATTCGGTGGATCATTATTCCAAGATCAATTAGTTGATCATCGTGTGGAATTCAGTAAATGGTGGGTGACTGAATTTAAAAGTGTTAAATTTCCGACAACCGGCACTGTTTACGATTATTTCATTGATCCTGTGAGTAAAAAATTCGAATCATGGTCAAAGAAACTGCCAGAGTTCGAATTAGATCCGGAACTTCCACTACAAGTAAGCTATAGTATATATATATAACTTATGCGCTAACTTACTTATTTCTGTATTTATGAGCTTTTGAGTTTTTCTGATGGCGCGTTTTTATACGCATGGTCGCTAATCGTGTTGAAAGATCTCAGGAAATTATTTCTAAATTCCACTGCTACACAACATGTGATATTGCGAATTCATCTTCAAAATGTTGTCTGTATTTTGAATTGTACTTAGTAGTGGAATTAAGATGGAACGTTTCAGTGTGCTGGAATTCGTCAACTGAATGTGGCTTCATTCGAACGTTAATATCGTTAACAAAACCTTAATTCAACACCCATCACTTCAGTCACAAACATCATCTATTCAACTGACACACTAAAGATATATATATATATAATATAAGGGATTTGTCAAAAAAAACCCTACTCTTTTACCACTAATCAAATGCATCATATTAACCGGTCAATGACATATCAGACCTTTAAAACTGGGGGATCCGGCATAGCAATAACAGTTGTAGTCAGTGGCTGACAAGTTCTCAAGGTTCAGGGTGGTGGGGAATAAAGTGAATAAATTTCTACCCTTTCTCCAAAAAGTACGCATGTATTGATTCGATCTCACTTTGTAATGGAGACAGTCATTCAGTCACCCTTTCTTATTGTAATCTGATTCGTTAATAAGTTCCATGGGTAATGGCTAATTTTTATTGGACGGTTAGAATTGGAGCATGGATAAAACGTCTCAGTCGATTCACCTACTTCGAAAAAAATGTTATCCAAATTACTAAACTTTATCGTAAAATGAATGAAAACTTTTAACAAATAGTACTGACTTCTACCCATGAAAATAAAGAATATTAGTGAGCCAACTGTTCAACAGGAAGAATGTTAAAATTATCAATAGTGAATAGGATTTAAAACAAGTCAATACTGGACGCTTGTTTAAATTTATTCAACAGTTAGTTCTGTGTATGGTGAGAATTGTTATGCAACGAGGACTATTAACAAAATTCAACAAATTAAGTGTCTATACCAGCAGTAGTAAATGATTGCAATTAAGAATTTAGAGAATGAGTTGGATGCTGACATTAATAAGTGTTTTGTTTATTATCAAAGTAAAACTCCATATGGTGATAATGATCAAATAGACCTAATGAGTGACAGAAGAATGGGATGCGATCTCACTTAAAATGAATTAAAGATATGTTTACCTGTTTACCTGTCCAAAGAGTTCATTTAATCCATGTACATTTAAACATGTTTGGATTAACGTTCAATACAGTATGTCTTTGCGATTATTTTAAGCACAATTTCTACATCTACTATCATTAAAATATATCGAACGATCTATTGTCACGTAATTATCATATTTAAATCTTGAAAACTCTAACTTTACGCAGTCTTACTTAGTAAAAAAAGGAATAGTTTTAATGATATACAGACTTATTAATTGATATTTTTTAAAGCTGAATAAAAAGAAGATCAGAAGTCATGACAATGAGAAATAAATGCTTAAATTACAAGACTAATAATTATCATTGGTAATCATGTAGACATGGGGAACTAAGATTTTTTCAGCCATAATGATGTAATTTTTAAATGATACTACCAAGAACAAATGTAACTGTGACTGCAATGTCAACTAGATCGATAAATGAGATTAGAAACAAGACAGAAGACATTCAGAACTGTTTATTTGTCAACTGTTGCACAGAAGAAATATATATCACGGCAAAGTTGTGTAGTATGGCATGCACTGATTGACACAAGTCCGTCGTGGTCATAATTAGTAATTTGTCTTAAAATGAGTAAAAATCACTTTTATAAAAAAAGAAAAAAATAGTTATAAATTATATACTCTTTTCATAACATTCAAGCTAGGAACAATTTAGCATTTTAAAAAAAAGTGTCGACATTTCAGTGAAAATATTCTTTCGGACAACAGTGCTTTCTTAAACTGCATAATCCTAATTACATATAATCTTAGCGTATATAATCTAAAGTGAAATATACCATTCATTTGTAAGCTGCTGTTAATTTCATCCTCAATTTAATATACAATTTCATTTTGTTGCAACGGCAAACGAATCATAATCGTTCGCATATTTAAAGTAATGACACTCATTGTCTTGAATTCACTGGTGAAATGAGATGCCAACGACACAAAAATGAAAATATATAAATAAAAATCCGGTAGAACAGACCATTAATACAATTCCAATAGTCTCGAACGTAAAATAACTCATATTTACTAACTACTCAGCAGTAAATAGAGTCTTTCTTATAAGTGATACACGACAACTTGTGATTATGACTCACTACATACTGAATTCAAGTCTTCTGTCTTCCGACCAAATATGTAGTACGATTCACAACCAGTACCAACAGACTGTCTAAACCGACGGACAAATAATTTACTATGAAACCAACCTTTGTTTCTATTGAGTTGTTGGTCGCCGACGATGACACTTCATCTTGCATACGTATTTTACGTAAAAATCATTTTGATGACTTCCTCGTATTATGAAATGGCAGAAAGTCACATTCACATAAGCTCCTAGTTGTCTCAGGAGTTCCACTTCCATTGTAAATCCTACTCCACGTAACATGTCTTCGGAAACGATATCAGCTTCACTATTTGGCTGACAACAATTCTAACTGCCACTAAGTAGTTTTTCATTGATGATTTGGTCCCATCCGCAGTCATACCATTATTTCTCTCCACCCTGCGTGATTTATGTTTATTCTGACTATTAATGTCACTTTCATTTTAGGCTGACAGGTTTCCTATAGAGAGGAGGATGGGCAGCAGTGACTTGATAAATCTCTGTCACTTTTGTTTTTAAAACGGTTCCAGTTTGATTAGTCTATGGATTCGTCAGCACCTATACCTTTGTCTTTCTAAACGTATCTCACTGAATTATACTTCTTGAATAATATCTTCAAACCCTAGTCTTCTTCATTACCATTAATCCCGACCGAAGCTGCTACCTTGACGTGGTGGTCGGGCTTGCCTATCGTGATGACCCAACCGAGCTATACTGGCTGGAACATATGTTCCTGCAGGTCCTACCATGCCAGGCTGGTCGATTGGAGAACGATGAGACTAAAAGCAGCTACCCAAGGTCTGATGGCGAAGTCGTACTGCTGACTGCAGAGGGGTGTGACAGCAGTAAGGTGTTTCCCTCGGACAACCAGCATCTGCAGCGATGCTGCCTTCTCACAAGGAAGGAAGGGTTAGAAAAGGTCGGCCCTAAAAATGTCACACTCCCCCTAACTCACGGATTTCCGTCTCCTTGGGTAAGGGTGCCCACTAAGGGCCTTTAAGAACGGAGCTAATCCTCAAGAAACGTTTCATAAAAAGGCCGTGCGTGACTGGCCTCAAGCAGTTGTCCCTTGGACTCTGCGGTCACGCACCAACACTAATCCATCTTCCTTTTCAGGTCCCTCAAGAAACAACCTTCCACGGTGTGGGCAGCCGGGAAGTGACTACCGCCCTCATACCCGTACTAGCACGCGAGACCAAATTGGTCAAAATCAAATCCTTCCTACACCCCCTCATGTCTCTCTTATCTCTACGACTAACTGTACTCACACTCCCTTTTCTCACTGCACCGCTAATGCAGACGAAGCGAGACCACGAAACGTCGTTCCTGGTCTCTTGAAACCCCGTTCTAGACTACATGTTGGAGCTTTTAATGTACGGACATTGTGTCAAATAGGGCAACAGGCATCATTAGCTAGGACTTTAGAATCTCGTGCCATCGATGTATGCTGCGTCTCGGAAACGCGCATACAGGATCCTAGTAAAGTCATTAACCTGATTCCACCTTGTCAAAACGAAGAAGCAGCTCGATTTACTCTTCGTGTATCCGGTAGCCCTGATGCTGCTTCCAGGGGTCTTGCTGGCGTAGGCATAGCGTTGAGTCCTAGGGCAGAATTATCTCTCCTAGACTGGATCCCAGTAGATAGTCGTTTGTGCGCTGTCCGACTAAACGGGACAGTAAGGACTCGGAAGGATAGGGACACTCGCCGTTGCCTCTTCGTCATATCTGCCTATGCCCCCACTGACTGCAGTCCAGACGAGGTTAAGGATGAGTTTTACAGAAAGCTTTCGGACCTCCTCCAAAAAGCTAAGCGCTCTGACATAGTAATAATGGCTGGTGACTTTAATGCTCAAGTAGGTAGACTAGGTGAAAAGGAAAGACATCTTGGCGGATGTTATGGTGTAGCGACTGAGAGAACAGACAATGGCGACCGTCTGTTGCAACTATGCTCAGATAACCGCCTATTCTTAGCGAACACCAACTTTAGGCATAAGGAAAAGCATCTGTTGACCTGGCGACCGCCGAAGTCGTCTCAACGTTGGACTCAACTAGATCACATCGCCATCAGCCACCGATGGAGGGGTTCGATAGAAGACTGTCGCTCGTTCTGGAGCACATGTTTGGATTCAGATCATGCTCTAGCGCGAGCTCGTATCTGTTTAAGGCTTACTGGACGTAGGAAAGACACCGTAAGAAAGCCTCTCAGGGTTTTACTTAATGATAATCAAACCAAGAAAATATTTCAGGAGCAACTAGAAAGACAGTTAGGCGACCATTTAAGCGATTCCCATCCGGAAGCAGGATGGAATGATATCAAAAAGGCTGTGGAAACAGCAGTGATATCTGCTAGTAAGGTTGACCATAAGGCCAGAATGAAACCGTGGATCTCAGTAGCATCCACCGAACTGATGGATGCTCGAAAACGCATCCCACCTGACTCTGAGCATGATGAAGAGCGTAGTCAGCTTAGGCGCAGACTTATAAAAAGTCTGCGTAACGACCGCGAGCAGTGGTGGGTGGCGAAAGCAAAAGCGATGGAAAAGGCAGCGGCGATAGGCAACACTAGACATCTTTTCCGCCTTATTAAAGAAACTGGTATTAGGAATCATAGTGTAAGTGAGACTATCTCGGAAAAGGATGGTCTTATTATCCATTCTCAATCCAGGAGACTGGATCGATGGGCAGAACACTTTAGAGATCAGTTCAACTGGCCACGAGCCACTCTTCGGTTACCCACGATCTCCAGTCATCCTGAATGGCAAATCGACGCAAGTCCCCCTAGTCTTAATGAAGTTGAAAAAGCGTTAGGAAATCTGAAACGAGGACGAGCTGCAGGTCCTGATAGACTGACCCCTGAGATATTTAAGGATGGTGGTCCAGTTTTAGCAGCTAGATTGACTGAGATCTTAGGTAGAATCTGGGAACTGGACGTAATCCCATCCGACTGGTCTCAATCCTTGATTGTCCCAATCTATAAGAAAGGACAGAAGTCTTCTTGTGACAATCACAGGGGAATAAGTCTAACTAATATAGTATCTAAAATATTGGCCTCAGTAATACTTCGACGCTTAACGAAAGCTCGTGAAGAGCAGACTCGAGAAAACCAGGCTGGTTTTCGACCTGGACGTGGCTGTATAGACCACGTCTTCACACTCAGACAGGTCCTGGAACATAGACACACATTTAGGCGTCCTACAATAGTTGTTTTCCTAGACCTTAAGGCGGCATTTGACTCTGTTGATCGTAAGGTTCTGTGGCAGTGTCTGTCATTGAAAGGTGTACCACAGAAGTACATTAACCTTATACAAGCTCTTTACTCGAACACCACTGGTCGGGTGAGAGCTTATGGCGAACTGTCACCGGAATTCTCTACTTCAAGTGGTGTCCGTCAGGGATGTCCACTTTCTCCATTCTTGTTTAATTTTATCATAGACATGCTCCTAGAGTTAACATTATCCTCGTCTGAATTTTCTGGAGTAGACCTTCTACCAGGTGGCTCGCTTATTGACTTAGAATATGCCGATGACATAGTCCTACTTGGTGAAGACGCTGACAAAATGCAGAGTCTTCTGACTACCCTAAGCAACAATGCAAGCATGTTCGGGATGCGGTTTTCCCCCTCGAAATGCAAAATGTTGCTTCAAGACTGGGTTGCATCGGCACCTGAACTAGTGATAGGGAGTGAAGTAGTCGAACGTGTAGACCGCTTCACTTATCTTGGGAGTCTCATCAGTGCCGATGGCCTGGTGACAGACGAAATCTCAGCTCGGATACAGAAGGCTCGATTGGCTTTTGCCAACCTGCGTCACTTATGGCGTAGGCGAGATATCCGTTTGCTGACTAAAGGACGAGTGTACTGCGCAGTAGTTCGCTCCGTCTTACTTTATGGCTGTGAAACATGGCCAGTGAGAGTAGAAGATATTCGTAGGTTGCTGGTTTTCGATCATAGGTGTCTACGAAGCATTGCTCGTATATCGTGGGACACCCGAGTGAGCAACGCTGTTATTAGGAATCGGGTGCTAGGTAAGAATGGCAGATCAATCGATGAAGTATTGAAACTTCACCAGTTGAGGTGGTTGGGACATGTTTTGCGTATGCCCAACCACCGGCTGCCTCGTCGAGCCTTGTTTTGTAGTGTGGGAATAGGTTGGAAGAAAGCTAGGGGCGGCCAAACCAAAACATGGCAGAAATCCATGAAGTCATTGACTAGTGGACTGAGCCATGTCGGTAATTGTCGACTACCTGGTTGGGGTCCGCGAGATGATAATAATCGATGGTTAGAGACCTTGAATGACATGGCTCAGAATCGTTCGCAATGGCGCCAGTGCATTTATTCTCTATGTTCTCTCAAATGCTAGTCTTCTGGATTCTTCAACCCCTCTAGTTTCGACTCTCTAAACTTTTCTCACTGAATCATACTTCTTGAATAGTATCTTCTAATCCTAACCTCTCCGATTACTTTTAATTCCCTTACTACCTCTTCTACTATTGGATTTGAATTGACGATTACTTCTCTGTGCTGATGTGGTATGGCAACATGAACTGATGTACTTATGTACAAAGTTCTACGTTGCATCTGACTGACTGACTGACTCATTACCATTAATACCTCTACTATCTCTATCACTATGGAATTTGAACTGACATTTGCGTCTCTGTGCTAATGTGGTATAGCGACATGAACTGATGTACATACGTACGAAGTTCTACGTTGCAATTGACTGACTGACTGAGTCTATGCAATCTTTTTGAACCAAGTCAATGAGATAATCACTGCCTCCTACGCATCCTCGTTTCAATGTAATTAGTTTAATATGATATGACTTGGATAGTTTTGTATCTTAAAGCTATATGATCACAAAAATTCGTCCAAGTTAATCTCTTCAGAATAAACCCATCGGGGAAGCTTAGTGGAAAGTTGTTGTCTGAGTTTATGGTTTAACTTTAGACCTGCCTCAAACTCGGCCGTTCTTTCAAACCATTAAGTGTAGAACTAAAGAAATTGATAAGGGCTTACGGAACCAACTACATAGGTTGAATTTAATCTGATTACTGAGTTATTTGACCGCTTATGAGATTTTACCACAATCTAATGTCAAACATACTGTTATAATCTAATGACATTTGTTTCTGTTTTTATAAACTTCCAGGCTGTGCTTGTCCCGACAACAGAAACAATTCGTATACGTTATTTCTTAGATTTACTACTACTACATAAACGTCCTGTCATGTTAGTTGGCAATGCAGGCACTGGGAAAACAGTACTTGTACAAGATATATTTTCCAGTTTTAACGAAGATATAATGGTTACAAATGTACCATTCAATTTTTACACAACAAGTGAAATGCTTCAAAGTGTTTTAGAGAAACCATTAGAGAAAAAAGCTGGCCGAAATTATGGTCCACCTGGTAGTAAACGTTTAATCTATTTTATTGACGATTTAAATATGCCCGAAGTGGATACCTATTTTACGGTACAACCACATTGTTTAATTCGACAACATATTGATTATTCACACTGGTATGACAGAACAAAATTGACCCTGAAGGAAATCAATAATACGCAATATGTGGCGTGCATGAATCCCACATCCGGTAGTTTCACTATTGATCCAAGATTGCAAGTAAGTAGGAAGACTTACTTTTTTTAAAACAGTATGATTCAGCATGATATTTTGATTACTGCGAAGTATCGAATGCAATTGGAAAGTAAAGTACATTTCCGTCAATAATAATTCAGGATAATCACTTAACTGACCGAGTTAATTAATCGAAAATCGTATTGTGATACCGCACATTTATAAAAGGGTTTCGTTCTCTGAGCTGGAAGTTTTGGTCTTGGAGCTTTCATTGTTCTTCTGAACAGCAGCATCAGCTCAAACTTCAGACTTCTATCTGTCTTAGTGATGACCCTTAGATGTGATCAGCTAAAAGTTTAGACCCAAATATCCATGATAACTCGCTTTTTCCACCAGCATCCGACCATCTTTTCCTATTCTAAGGAGCCATGCGGTACATAAGGATAACATACAGAAAATGTGCACTATCGAAGCCAATTTTCGCGTTCATCTTCTACCTTTCATCATTTCCACTCAGTCGTCCTGGAAAAGAGGAAAAACAAGTACGTATGTGCATGTCGAAACAACTCAACCTGTTTTTTAATGAAAAATATATTGTCATATATGACTTTTAGTTTCCGACGCAACAGAAATTGGAAATATGAACAAAGAGTTGTAGAGTACGAGAAAGATGAAAAAGTAATGGGCTTTTGAAATGTTCCACACTTAATAGTCATCAAGATTCCTGGACAGGCGGCCTTCAACAGGTCGACGTTGATGCTGCCTTTACTCTTGTTCCTAGCAATCGTATGAAACTTCTGCTCGGTCAGCGATGAAGAACTTTGCAGAGTCCTTCGTATATGACTTCGAGTGGTCGACGGAATGAGTCTTGAAGTACGAAAACATGTATACTCAGTCATTAGGCAGGTTTGAAAGAATACATCAGTTTCGTGAGGTCAAGCAGAAACAGGTTTAACTGAACGCAATGCGTGTGTAAGCCTGCCCGTGTAGATTTTCAGATCTACATCTGTTGAAGCAGATAAAAGATTTACGAATTCTCCGTAAACGAGTTCGGCTACACTGCATCCAACGTCGTCTTTCACTGTATTGCGAATTCCGAATAACACGAGTGGAAAAGTGTCAGTCCACTGTGATCCGTTCGCAGCCGAAAGTGGAGCTTTCAACTGTCGGTGGGATCATTCTGCCAAACTGCTAGCTTGCAAATAATAGGAATTGTGAGATTCCTAGAAGTGTAGTAAGATAGCAGAAAAGTTCATATTCGAACTGGCGTCCAAATGATCCGGACATCTGAAGTTTGTTACTCATCGTTTGACAAAGCTATGGGTCAATATTCCCGCAGTAACATCCTTGACAGGCATTGCCGCTGGTCATCGTCTGAAAGGATTTAAACACGCCAGGAGGTAAAAGTACCCGTTTGAATCTTGTGACGGTCCTACAAAGTCAAGGTGAATGTGGTTGAACCGAGCCTCATTAGTTAGGAAGGTACCTAAGGGAATTTCATTGGCCAATGACCTCTCTCACATGTAGCAACATTTCTGTTGCCTAGTCGTGTTGCAGTACAAGGATTGTAGAAAGTTGAACTAACCTTTGTCGATCGTTTATATATTATAAATCAGTATATAGAATATTATAATATGCATAAAATACTTTTCGTTCTCTATGGCAATTAGGCTTCTTGTCATTCTAAGCTCATATGATCCGAAGAGTACCAGTGAAAACTAGTCATCTATTAATAAATGATTGTCTCCATCCAGGTTCTCAGATTCTATGCGGTTGTTGTTGTTGTTGCCATTGTGTTTTGTACAAGTTGTGATTGTAAAAAACTAAAAATGTTTTGTTCATATTACCAAAATTACATAATTTTAATTTTTTTATTATTATTATTGATTTTCTTCTATTTAGCGACATTTTTGTGTATTCGGACTAAGTTTTCCTGGTCAAGAAGCATTGAAAATAATTTATTCATCGATATTAACTCAACATTTAGGATTAATTAACTGTTCGCCAGCTTTACAAAAATTCGCCATCAGTGTTGTCGACTGTGCATTATTATTGCATGCTAAAGTGGCCAGTATATTTTTACCGACTGCTATCAAATTTCATTATATATTTAATTTACGTGATTTATCCAATATATTTCAAGTGAGTTTTGAGTTGTTTTTTTTTGGATGCCTTGTTTTGCCTATCAACCAGTGTCCAACTTTTTTTTTTAAATATCGAAACAATTCTATTAGGATTGTTCATATATCAATACAGATTGATCAACTGACTGAGTTACGCTATAACAATGATGGCAAAAAAAATATAGATCCTTACAATGGGCAAGTAAATGACTAATTGAACACAGCAAATCACTGGATAGCATGGTGGCATTTAAAGTGAGAAAGGTGCTGGGCTCCAAGTTTCGGCGTGAATTTCAATCCTGGAATGCAAGTGTATTCAGTTTGTGAGTTCCGAATAGAATGAATGGAACGCATGTACTAGATTTCACTGTGAGCTGTAATCCAACTGAAATCAAAATAAACTGGAATTATCGAATATTGATCGTGTAAAGAATTTCATTTTCCCGTTTTTTTAGTATTCCAATATCGAATAGTGATCAGCCTTTTTTCAGAAGACGAGGTGTAAAGAACAAATTGATTGGTTTATTTTCCACTTTAATCCTCTGAATGATCTAGACAACAGATACGCCAGCGTAGAAGTTGACTAAGAAGAGTCAGTTACGCGCTTCATTACATCACAACAAGTAAAAACTGACTAAAAAAAGTAGTAGGACAATCCAATTAAAAATAGAAAGTAAAATGAAGTGAGCAAGGATAACTGCATATATATACAGTAATGGTGAATAGTTGATAGAAAGTACCAAGTAATTAACGTATGGAATATAAACATTTTTTGACATAAAGACACGCGTGGTTGTATGTGTATACTGCTACTAAGTACCAAAACTATGTCAAAACAGTTTTTTTCGCGTTTCACGCTTTCTCTGGACTTACTTCAGGTATATATTTTGGGGGGCTGCATTACCGACTTGAAAACTAGGAAGCACTGGACAGATATTTCTTCCTAGTATGGTGGGACTTCTCAGCAGTTTACACCCACAGCATTATTATTACACGGCATCAAACTCTGGAATTCCAGTATTTTGGGGCAGAGTTTTGGAGGTTTGCGTTTTTAAACATTTGAAATCATCAATCAATCATTGTTAGACCACAATTAGAAACCTGGAAGCACTGGACGGCCATTTCGTCCTGGTATGGGACTCATCAGCAGTGCGCATCCACGACTCCTGCTCCTCGCAGGATTCGAACCCGGGACCTTTGGCATTGTAGGCGAACGCCTTACCATCGGTCCACTGGGCCGGCATCCAACGGTGTTAATGTCTAACTCTGATTGATATAGGGATTTTTCTCGACCTCACCCATTTGTCTCTGGTAGTTACTGCCTACACCCGACAGGGTTGAACTCCATTATTGTCTTGAGTGTGTTTACTCTAGACCACTTGGCTAACAACCATTCGTATGCATGTCTAACTTTTTATTTAGCCAATTCACAAAATCATACAATCATCAGTTGTTCTTTTTATTTGTATGGTTTAATGTTGTTTGTTTATGTTTCTGTATATATTATTTATATTATATATAGGGTTTATTATTTTCAACCAATGAGTGTATTCATCAACCAAGCGATCTAGTCCGTTTATGGATGCATGAATGTGAACGAGTCTACTCAGATAAACTAATTGAACGTGAAGATGTTGAACTATTTCAGAAAACTTTAACCGATATCACAAAACAATGTTTTGAAGATATCGAAGAAGGTGTATTATTTAGTAAACCAAATATGTATTGTCATTTCACTCAAGGTATTGGTGAACCGAAATATTTACCAGTAACTAATATGAATGATTTACAAAAATTATTAAATGAAGCATTAGATAGTTATAATGAATTGAATGCTGTCATGAATTTAGTCTTATTTGAAGATGCCATTGCGCATGTGTTACGTATTAGTCGTATATTAGAATCACCACGTGGCAATGCCTTATTGATTGGTGTCGGCGGTTCCGGGAAACAATCTCTATCAAGACTGGCTGCATTTCTTAGTTCATTAGAAGTATTTCAAATCACTTTGCGTAAAGGTTATGCAATTCCAGATTTGAAAGCTGATCTAGCTGGTCTTTATTTAAAAGCTGGCTTAAAAAATACTGGCACTGTGTTTTTGTTGACTGACAGTCAAATCACTGAAGAGAAATTTCTGGTCCTAATTAATGATTTATTAGCATCCGGTGATATACCCGAATTATTGCCTGATGATGAAGTGGAAAATGTCATTAATGGTGTACGTGGTGAAGTGAAAGCACAAGGTATACAAGATACACGTGAAAATTGTTGGAGTTATTTCATTGATAAAGTACGTCGATTGCTAAAAGTGGTATTATGCTTTTCACCAGTTGGTTCGACATTACGTGTGAGAGCGAGAAAGTTTCCAGCTATTGTTAATTGTACCGCAATTGATTGGTTTCATGAATGGCCAAAAGAAGCATTATTATCCGTATCAAAACGATTTTTAAGTAGTATAGAACTATTACCAGAAAATATTCGATCATCTGTCGCAGAATTCATGTCATTCACACATCAATCAGTTAATGATATAAGTATTGCTTACTTACAAAATGAACGTCGTTATAATTATACAACGCCGAAATCATTCTTAGAACAAATACAATTATATGAAAATATGTTAAATCAAAAATATACTGATTTAATTAATAAAACAGTACGTTTAGAAAATGGTTTACAAAAATTAGAAAGTACTGCACAACAAGTAGATGAATTGAAAGCAAAATTAGCCGCACAAGAAGTGGAATTAGCGCAGAAAAACGAAGATGCTAATAAGCTATTAGCAATTGTCGGTGCAGAAACGGCAAAAGTGACAGGTGAAAAAGTGTCTGCAAATCAAGAAGAAGAAAAAGTGGCTAAAATCAAAATTGAAGTATCGAAAAAACAAAAAGATTGTGAAATTGATTTAGCCAAAGCTGAACCAGCATTAGTAGCAGCACAAGAAGCATTGAACACATTGAATAAGAATAATTTAACCGAAATGAAATCATTCGGTTCACCACCAGCAGCTGTAGTGAATGTCACAGCGGCTGTTATGGTTTTATTAGCACCAGACGGTAAAATACCCAAAGATCGCAGTTGGAAAGCATCAAAAGCCGGTATAATGAGTAAACTTGACTTATTTTTAGATAATTTAATCAATTACGACAAAGAAAATATTCATGAGAATTGTTTGAAAGCTGTACAAGAGTATTTAAAAGATCCGGAATTCGATCCCGAATTTATTCGCAGTAAGTCGGCAGCCGCGGCTGGTCTATGTTCTTGGGTTATCAATATTGTACAATTCTATAATATTTATTGTGATGTCAAACCGAAACGCGATGCATTAGATGCAGCTAATGAAGAATTACGTCAAGCAACTGAAAAATTAGAAAATATTCAGAAAAAAATTCAAGAATTAGAAGAAAAATTGAAAAAACTAACCGATGAATTTGAAGTAGCCACAATGGAAAAACAAAAATGTCAAGATGAAGCGGAATTAACTTACAAAACCATTGAATTAGCTAATCGTTTAGTTGGTGGTTTAGCCTCCGAGAAAATACGTTGGTCACAACAAGTAAAACAATATAAAGAACAAGCGATTACATTACCTGGTGATGTTTTATTAACTGCTGCATTCTTATCTTATGTTGGCTGTTTCACAAAACATTATCGTACTGAACTGCTCGATCAGCATTGGTCACCATTTTTGAAATCAGTCAGTCCATCGATACCGATTACCGAAGGCTTAGATCCATTGGACTTGTTAATTGACGATGCAGTTATAGCTGTATGGAACAATGAAGGTCTACCATCGGATAGAATGTCTATTGAAAATGCTACTATTCTAACCAATGCTGAACGTTGGCCATTAATGATTGATCCACAATTACAAGGTATAAAATGGATTAAAACACGTTATGGAACTGATTTGAAAGTGATACGCCTCGGTGCCAAAGGCTATTTGGATCATATTGAACGTGCTATATCATCTGGTGATACTGTATTACTAGAAAATATTGAAGAATCAGTCGATCCTGTCTTGGATTCGTTATTGGGCAGGAAAACAATTAAAAAAGGCCGAGCCATACGTCTCGGTGATAAAGAAATTGAATATAATCCGGAATTTCGTTTAATTTTACAAACAAAATTGGCTAATCCACATTATAAACCAGAAATGCAAGCACAGACTACGCTGATTAATTTCACTGTTACACGTGACGGTCTAGAAGATCAATTATTAGCTAGTGTTGTCAGTAAAGAACGCCCAGACTTGGAACAGTTGAAAGCTGATCTAACACGTCAACAAAATCAATTTAAAATTACATTGAAACAATTAGAAGATAGTTTATTAGCTAGATTGTCCGCAGCTGAAGGCAATTTTCTTGGAGATTATGCGCTTGTTGAAAACTTAGAAACCAATAAACGCACAGCTATTGAAATTGTAGAAAAAGTTGGACAAGCTAAAGTTACTGAAGTCCGTATTAATGAAGCACGTGAATTGTATCGTCCAGCAGCGTGTCGTGCCTCGTTATTATACTTTATATTGAATGATTTGAACAAAATTAATCCAATGTATCAATTTTCATTGAAAGCATTTCGTAGTGTATTTGAAGTGGCTATGGATCGATCGGAAGCAGCCGAGGAAATACAAATACGTGTTAAAAATTTACTTGATTCAATTACTTATTCTGTTTATATGTATACATCAAGAGGTTTGTTTGAAAAAGATAAATTAATATTTACTGCACAAATGACCTTTCAGATATTGTCAGTAGCCAATGAAATTAATCCAGTTGAATTAGACTTTTTATTAAGATTTCCAATTGTACCGAATTTAACATCCCCGGTTGATTTTATTACAAATAATGGTTGGGGCGGAATTAAAGCCCTCTCCAATATGGACTCATTTCGGAATTTAGACAAAGATATTGAAGGTTCAGCAAAACGTTGGAAAAAATTAGTTGAAGGTGAAGCACCGGAAAAAGAGAAACTACCACAGGAATGGAAAAATAAGACAGCATTACAAGTATTATGCATATTTCGTGCTTTACGACCAGATCGTATGACTTATGCTATATCTGATTTTGTTGGACAGAAACTAGGTCAAAAGTATGTTGAAGGTGCCGGTCTGTCATTTGCCAATTCATTTGAAGAATCTGGTCCATCGATACCAATTTTCTTCATCTTATCTCCTGGTGTTGATCCATTGAAAGAGGTTGAAGCACTTGGTCGTAAACTTGGTTTCACTGAGGATAATCAAAATTTCCACAATGTCTCTTTGGGTCAAGGCCAAGAGATTGTGGCCGCAAGAGCTATGGAGCTGGCTTCAAAAGAAGGTCACTGGGTTGTTTTACAAAATGTTCACTTAGTCGCTAAATGGCTACAGACATTAGAGAAACTAATGGAAGAAGCTGCTGAAAAAGGACATCCGAATTACAGGTTATTTATCAGTGCTGAACCAGCCGGTGATCCAGAATATCATATTATACCACAAGGTATATTAGAGAATGCTATAAAAATAACCAATGAACCGCCAACTGGTATGTATGCTAATCTACACAAAGCATTAAATAATTTCAATCAAGATACACTTGAAATGTGTACACGTGAAAATGAGTTTAAAACAATTCTATTCGGTCTATGCTATTTTCATGCGGTTGTCTGTGAACGACGTAAATTCGGTCCGCAAGGTTGGAATCGTATTTATCCATTTAATATAGGAGATTTAACGATCAGTGTCAGTGTATTATATAATTATTTAGAAGCGAATAGTAAAGTACCATGGGAAGATTTAAGATATTTATTCGGTGATATTATGTATGGTGGGCATATCACCGACGACTGGGATCGTCGTTTGTGTAAAACATATTTAGAGGAATATTTAGTACCGGAAATGTTAGATGGGGATCATTGTTTAGCACCGAATTTCAAGACACCACAAAATACTGATTATAAAGGTTATCATCAGTATATTGATGAATTTCTACCTCCGGAATCACCTTATCTGTATGGTTTACATCCAAATGCTGAAATGGAATTCTTGACAAATACATCAGAAAAACTGTTTCGTACCATATTTGAAATGCAACCACGTGATACTGGCGCTGGTAGTGGTACAGGCGTAAGTAGAGAAGAGAAATTGCAAAATGTTCTCGATGACATTATTGAAAAGCTACCAGAAGATTTTAACATGCTAGAATTGCAAGGTAAAGTTCCACCGGAAGAACGTACACCTTATGTTGTTGTCGCTTTTCAAGAATGTGAACGCTTTAATATTTTAATCAAAGAAATGCGTAGATCATTAAAAGAATTAACACTTGGTTTGAAAGGTGAATTGACTACTACAACAGAAATGGAAGAGTTAGCTAACTCACTTATCATTGATAATGTACCAGCTCAATGGGAGAGACGAGCTTATCCAAGTATGTATCCACTTGGCGTCTGGTATGCTGATATGCTGTCTAGAGTGAAAGAATTGGAAGTTTGGACAAATGATTTCTCTTTGCCTAATACTGTTTGGTTAGGTGGGCTTTTTAATCCTCAGTCATTTTTGACAGCTATCATGCAACAGACAGCAAGAAAAAATGAATGGCCATTAGATCGTATGGTATTGCAATGTGATGTAACTAAAAAGGTCAAAGATGAAATGAGTACACCACCAAGAGAAGGCGCTTATATACACGGTCTGTATATGGAAGGTGCTAGATGGGACATACAAACTAATATGATAGCTGAAGCTCGACTAAAAGAATTAGCACCAAGTTTACCAGTGATTTTTTTGAAAGCTGTACCTGTTGACAGACAAGATTTACGAAATACATATGCTTGTCCAGTCTATAAAACAAAACAGCGTGGACCGACTTATGTATGGACATTTAATTTAAAAACTAAAGAAAAAGCATCACGTTGGATTTTGGGTGGTGTCGCCTTATTATTACAAATTTAAGCAATGTAAAAAAACAAACAAGCAGACAATCAGCCAATGAACACTTTGTTGTTTACATTCTCCATTCATGATTTTTATAAAAAGCAAATAATCTTTAGGAATTCAGAATCATGTTACTTTTTTCAATATTTCAAAGAATTATCCCTTAATATAATAATTCAAAATTTTTTAATCAAACATTATGCATTCTGTTTGTGCACAGTTTTATCTTGACAATTCACTTTTGACGTCATTTTTTGTGAAAAAAAACAAACAAACTGAAAGGACAACTCTAGGCTGATAATCTTCCTTCACTATTCTTATCTATAACACAATTAGTAAAACAATGATTACTGTTCCAAATGGTGTACTTATTCCTTCTTTATACGACGGTTGGGTTTATTAAATCCGCTCAGAAGATTAATTTTCTGCTTTAAATAGGGTAAAATTTACTGAATATAAGTTCGGTTTAAGGAAAGACATTGGTTTATGTCAGTGGATAATATTTCTGTTAATTTGTGCCTACTGAAACGATTGTAAGTAGTCAGTATTGACTTGAAATCTGAAATCAATCTCAGACCAGCATTTGAAAGGCCGATCTATCCCCCCAGTATGGGACTGCTCAACAGGGAGCATCCACAACCTTACACATGAGAGTATAACCTAGGACCTCCGGTCTCGTGAGTCAACACTTTGCACCTAGACCACTGAGTTGGCATGCACTAGTATTAATGGATAATAAGAGTCGGTGAAATAAAATATTTGACCAATGTAATACATTGAATATCCGATTATGAATGACTGCACGTAAAAAACTGTTTAAAATTAACTGATATCGCAATATCTAGGTATCTGTAACCAGAATAATGAATATTAATCGTTCACTCCCTTGATTTGACAATTTTTGCTTGGGACTTTATGTGCCTAAATCCTCCTGGAGCACCTCCAGGGCTACTGCGGATTCCAAGCCCGGAAAAAGGAGGGTTGGGGATGGGGTTAGCGACCACATACTACAGAAAAATGACTTTCTGAAAAACCATTTCAACTCTGCCCTGGGACTTAGAAGGTCTTCATTCAGAGGAGTTACTGCGCCTCACAATGAAAGCCTAGTTCCCTAGGAAGTCACGGGGCCGATGCCCCTTCTGACAACCATAGAAACCATTCTTTTAGGTACATGCAATATTCAAAAAATATGGAAGACCGGAAAACTGTTCCAAATTGCTCCAGAAATGAGAAGATACAACCTCGAGGTGCTCGGCATCAGTGAAACGCATTGGACACAGGTAGGACAACTGAGACTAGCTTCAGGGGAACTGCTGTTTTACTCTGCTCATGAAGAGGAAAATGCTTCACATACACAAGGAGTTGCACTGATGCTATCAAAACAAGCTCAAAAGGCACTGATAGGATGGGAATCTCATGGATCCAGGATCATCAAAGCATCCTTCAAAACAAACAAAGATGACATTATTATGAACGTCACCCAAAGATATTCGCCTATCAACGATTACAATGAAGACGTTAAGGATCGATTCTACCAATGACTGTGGTCAATCGTCGACAGATGCTCATCAAAAGATTTGACGATTCTAATGGGAGACCTAAATACCAAGGTTGGCACGGACAATACTGGATATGAAGACATCATAGGACGACATGGAGTGGGAGAAAGGAACGAAAACGGTGACAGATTTGCAAATCTATGTGCCTTCAACAAACTGGTAATCGGCGGCACGATATCCCAACACAAATGCATCCGGGCTTGGGACCGGTAGTAGCTCTGGAGGGGTAAAGTTTCTGATACTCACTGCTAAATATGTGAGTCCTAGTTTTCATTCATTTTGGAGTCTCGATTGTCCACTGAAATCCTAGATGTAGAGTGAAACAGATGTCTTTTTCGCCATTTTATGAGTCTATGATGAAATTTATTTAGTAATGTCCATTGAATGACCTACCCATCCGGAGGTAGGTTGGTATGATATCTAAAGGACTGTGGAAACAGCAGTGATATCTGCTAGTAAGGTAAACCATAAGGATAGGATGAAGCCGTGGATCTCAATAGCATCTACCGAACTGATGGATGCTCGCAAACTCATCCCGCCTGGCTCTGAGTGCGATTAGTGGCGGAGTAAGTTTAGACATAGGCTGACAAAAAGCATACGCAATGACTGAGAACAGTAGTGGGTGGAGAAAGCGAGAGAGATGGAAAAGGCAGCGGTGATAGGCAACAGTGGACAACTTTTCCGACTTATCAAGGAAACTGGTATTAGGAATCCTAGTGTGAGTGAGACTATTTCGGAAAAGGATGATCTTATTATCCATTCTCAATCCAGGAGACTGGACCGATGGGCAGAACACTTTAGGGATCAGTTCAACTGACCTCGAGCCACTCTTCGGTTATCCACGATCTCCAGTCATCCTGAATGGCAAATCCACGTAAGTCCCTCTAGTCTTAATGACGTTGGGAAAGCGTTAGGAAATCTGAAGCGTGGGCGAGCTGCAGGTCCTGATGGACTGACCCTTGAGATATTTGAGGATGGTGGTCCATTTTTAGCATCTAGGTTGACTGAGATCTTAGGTAGGATCCGGGAACTGGACGTAATCCCATCTGACTGGTCCCGGTCACTGATTGTCCCAATCTATTAGAAAGGACAAAAGTCTTGTGACAAACACAGGGGAATAAGTCTTGAGGTTCTGTGGCAGTGTCTCATTGAAAGGTGTACCGAAGAAGTACATTAACCTTACACAAGCCCTTTACTCGAACACCACTAGTCGAGTGAGAGCTTATGGCGAACTGTCACCGGAATTCCTCACTTCAATCGGTGTCCGTCAGGGATGTCCACTTTCTCCATTCTTGTTCAATTTTGTCATAGACATGCTGCTAGATGTTATCTTCGTCTGCATTTTCAGGAGTAGACCTTTTACCTGCTGGTTCGCTTATCGACTTAGAATATGCCGATGACATTGTCCTACTTAGTGAAGACGCTGACGAAATGCAGTGTCTTCTGACTACCCTAAGCAACAATGCAAGCATGTTCGGGATGCGGTTCTCACCCTCGAAATGCAAAATGTTGCTTCAAGACTGGGTTGCATCGGCATCTGAACTAGTGATAGGGAGTGAAGTAGTCGAACGTGTAGACCGCTTCACTCATCTTGGGAGTCTCATCAGTGCCGATGGCCTGGTGACTGACGAAATCTCAGCTCGTATACAGAAGGCTCGATTGGCTTTTGCTAGCCTGCGTCATTTATGGCGTAGACGAGATATCCGCTTGCTGACTAAAGGACGAGTGTACTGTTCAGTAGTTCGCTCCGTCTTACTTTATGGCTGTGAAACACGGCCAGTGAGAGTAGAAGATATTCGCAGGTTATTGGTTTTCGATCATAGGTGTCTCCGAAGCATTGCTCGTATATTGTGGGACACCCGAGTGAGCAACGCTCTTATTAGGAATCGGGTGTTAGGTAAGAATGGCAGATCAATAGACGCAGTAGTAACACTTCATCATTTGAGGTGGTTGGGACATGTGTTGCGTATGCCGAACCACCGACTGCCTCGACGAGCTTCGTTTTGTAGTGTAGGAGTAGGTTGGAAGAAAGTTAGGGGCGGCCAAACCAAAACATGGCACAAATCCATGAAGTCATTGACGAGTGGACTGAGCCATGTCGGTAGTCGTCGACTACCTGGTTGGGGTCCACGAGATGATAATAATCGATGGTTAGAGACCTTGAATGACATGGCTCAAAACCGTTTGCAATGGCGCCGGTGCATTTATTCTTCGTGTTCTCTCAAATCCTAATCTTCTATATTCTTCAACACCTCTAGTTTTTACTTTCTAAACTTATCTCATTGAATCATACTTCGTGAATAATATCTTCTAATTCTATCCTCTCCGATTACTTCTAATACCTTTACTACCTCTTCTACTATTGGATTTGAATTGACAATTATATCTCTGTGCTGATGTGGTATGACAACATGAACTGATGTACGTACGTACGAAGTTCTACGTTGAATCTGACTGACTGACTGACTGACCTTCACCCTCATAATGTTTGTTTATTTAAACAACTCTCTGCAGCATACTCTCATAATTTTGTTCATTTATTCGTCAATAGCATTAAACTGTTGAATACATAGTTTCTGGATTGTGTGGTCACCTTTGACAGTAATCTGAAACAAATAATTTTTAACTATTTACATGTAAAGCCCGGAATTCCATTGAAAAACAACTCAGTCAACATCATCTCTAAATCAGGATTACCATATTACTATTAATAAATAAATGTAAATTTTAGAAAGAAATACACCTTCAATTAACTCAACTCTTGACGAACGAGATAAATAATCTAATTGATAATACATTCAATTGCCATCAGTGGTTGGTATTCAGCTACTTTTCATGATATTTTGTAGTAGTATATAAGTATGATAAACTAGATTCGTTTAGATGTGAATGGCACTAACTGATCATTGATTATAAACTTATTGTCACAACGTTATCTAGTCCTGAGTGTTGATTAGATTCAGTAGACCAAGTTGTAATATGGTTATTAGGCTGAATAACTGGATATTATTGTGTACTTCATTTGATGTTCAGTTGTGAATACAGTAGTTAAGAGCCCATAAAATTATTTTTTAATCCAGTTGTCACAGCTGGTATATCTTGTGGACTTTTAACTGATTTATATACTTCACTGTGGTAAGAAGTGAATTTGAACCATAACACCAGTTCTGCACATTTTCTGTGTCACGTGGTCACTTTTGTTCAAATTATACGACGAGCATCAGTTTAGCAAAATCTGCACATACATCCGCGAGACGACAGTCACCAATGGTTAGAGACCTTGGACGACATGGCTCAAAATCGTTTGCAATGGCACAAGTGCATCCATTCGTCGTGCTCTCTCAAATTCTAATCTTCTGGATTCGTCAGCACCTCTACCTTTGTCTTTCTAAACATATCTCACTGAATTATACTTCTTGAATAATATCTTCGAACCCTAGTCTTCTTCATTACCATTAATACCTCTACTATTTCTATCACTATGGAATTTGAACTGACATTTGCGTCTCTGTGCTAATGTGGTATGGCAACCTGAACTGATGTACATACGTACGAAGTTCTACGTCGCAATTGACTGACTGACACATACATTTGGATAGCTAGTGTTATTAACTAGCACAAAACCTAGGTCCAGTATTTTATTCCGATCAATAAAACTTATGTATTTTGGATTATTTTTATCATGACTAAGTAGAAGAAACCTTTTGATAGATATTTCAAACAAACCAGCAGTAGTCTCTTTCTAATGCATAATTTCCATTTAAATCGAACAGATAAACAAATCAAATGCTGGC